TCCTGGCCCGCCCGCTGCTCCCCTCAGCAGTGTACTTCATTGATCTGCCTGTTCTGCTCCCCACTCTGTCTCTGGTGAATCCTCTGACCCTCCATCTCTGGCCTACACCCCAGTTCTGATGAATAAATAAATAAATCTTTAAAAAACAAAAAATAAACTTAAATCTCTAACCCTGAGCTGAGGCGAGAAGACTACTGTATTGTGAGTAGTATACTATACTAATATAGATTGCAGGTAATGGTCTTTTAGAAGAAGGAAACATCCAAGGAGAAAAACAATTGACAACAGGGTGTTGCTACCATTGGGATGATCAAGGAAAAACTAAATGTGACCTGGTACAAAGCCACTCAGAGTAAAGAGCTGATAATGATTTGGGGTTGCCTGCGAACTTGTAGTGTGCTCAGTCCTTCTCATATTTCTTAGTGGTCCTTTTAGCATTTCCATAGCTGGAGAAATGTGGGGTTCTACTACTACACTATTTCATTTCCAAATTGTTTAGAAATACTTAAAAAGAAGGCTGTCTCTTGGTAAGAGTCTTTTAGAAAGACCCCAGGTATGCTTACATCACTGGTGATGTCTCCCACGTAGCGACAATGGATCACTTGTGGTGTGTATGGCAGTGAGATCAGGTGACCCTGCATCTTGAAGAAGTCTGATTTGTAGATCAACTGAAGAAAAGTCCAGAAACACACATATTAGAGACCAAGTGGCGAATTTGTACCTGTATTCTACGGCTTGTGTTTTCTCCTAAAAAATACCAACCTCACTGACAGCCTCTTGTGTCTTCTTGACTTGGCGGATTTCAGGTGTGTCTGGAGTTGTGTGAATCTTGTCTTTCAGTTTGTGGTACAACTGTCGATACAATCTCTAAATTGAATAAAAAGCCATTCCAGGTGTTTAGTGCGGGACTGATAGGAAATCTATTTCTAATTGGCTATAAATACTTGACATAAAGAGCCATAAAAGAGAAGACTAAAGATACAGCAAGTGATTGTGAGTGGGGGAAAAGGAGAAAAAGGTTTTTCTTTTTTTTTGCTGAAGAATTCTGAGCACAGTCTCCAGAATTTCTATTAGATAGCTGAGCATTATTCCTACAAATAATGAATGTAGAAAGCAGGGCCATGAGTCAAATGAAAACAAATATCAAAAGAAGGAATTAATTTGCATTTTAGTGGACCTGAGTTTCCAATGATATTACCAGGTATAAAAAACTTTGTCAAAGGATATCAGTATCAAAATGGTACCAAAAAGAATCCCCTTAATCCTTGCTGATGTGTAAATTTACAGTTAAATGAAAATAAATTTTTAATGCACTTCAAACAAATTCATAGTCTTTGAAGCTCAATATTCCCCTACAATCAGAATGCACAGTACCTCACTGGTGACATTATTGACTCTCCGGACATTGACAAATGGAACATCATTGGGGCCAAGAGTGTACCCATTTGCCTTGATGTGTTCATAAGCTTCTTTGTACTTGAACTGCAAAAGCAAAGTTAGAGTGAGATCAATAGCACATAAGCACAGAGCAGCATCATAATTCTCAAACAGAAAAGAACCATCACTTTCATCTGAAAAGTACTCTTAAGTATTAAGCATAGGTAGCCATTGGCAAAATTTTGATAGTCATCCAAGTCTTGAAAATTATTGTTTATGAACAAACTCAGGTTCAGAGAGGGAAAATAATGAATGTCACCTCGATGAAAACTCACTAGGCAAGTATGCAAAATGTAAGAAAATCTCTTTAACTCCAATATGGCTAGGTAATTAGGAAATGCAAGGAAACAAGAATACTTAAACACTGATGAGTGACTTCGGAACTGACTTTAAAAGTAAGTCAGATCATCAAAAACATATTGGGATATTGGCTATTTGGCTTTGCCTGACCAGCAGGTTTGAGTCCCAGGACTCTGCAGGACATTATGGAAGGAAGAGCTTATACTTCAGCTGATATTTGGTATGGAATGTGGCCTGTAGGTTATGGTTACCAGGTAAGTCAAAGTTTCTCTATACCTTGCCTATGAGGTAAATGAGATTGACTCCTAATCTTCCAAATCAGGGAGCTAAAACCTTAGTGAGTTTTCTGGTCTTTCCATGACAAGGTCTCACACAGAGGGTAAGTAGTAAGGAAAGTATCAGAACAACATCTAGGGAAGAAGTTTTTTCTTTTCAAAGTACGAACACTGATGTTAAATCATCTACAGTGAGGAAAGGAAACTGCAGAAGGAAGGCAGTGCTACTGCCACATAGCACATACGCATTTCCAGTGTACAGCTTGGGATAGCTCAGGAGACTTCTGCGCTGTGGGGAGGATGACCATGCTCATGAGCTCTCAGGCACTATGAAGGACTCAGGTAGATGCAATGCCATGAAAGTCCTATCCTAGTCCACTGGACTTCTCAGGTACTGCTGACTGCAGGAGTTGCACAGCAACTGTGTACAGCACCCCTATAACATCCACTGTCTCCTCTCCATTGCCCCCATCATTATAGCTTGTTGAAACTTCAGGATGTGATTGAGGAGTGCTGGTGAAAGTAGGGTATTCATGAATTGAGGGCCACTCCCACTTCAGACCCCATCTTAACAAGAAAGACAGTACTTACATAACTGCTCATGTATTGGGTGTCTTTGGTATGTTTGAAGTGTGGTGTATCAACTGGAAGCCTATATCCTGTGGGCAGGTAGCGCAGGCCAGGCCTTCGGTACAGATTCTGCAGGAATGAGGAGGAGCAGATTCAAAGACAGCTACATAACTGCCTGAGTTTTCAACATGTCACATGAAGCTCAAATTAGGTTACTGATTAACTATTTAATGTAGTTCTGCTCACTGAATTGATTTCATAAAAATTAAATTCTAGTAGTCAGGCAATGTCAGATCACTCTTGACCTATTGTTTTGGAAAAAGTAATTTTAGAGAAGGAAAAAAAGTCTTCTATATGCTCAGGTGATGGCATGGCATCTATAAGAATTTGAAAAGAAAGAGAATATGGGTAAACAACTTCCACGTTGGTTTTTTACCCCACTTTTAGGTGTATTCAGCAATCACCCATGCTGAGACTGTTGTAATTACAAGGTACATCTTTGGAATCCCCTCCTGCCCATAACATGTTCTCTGTGAAGAGACTAGGCTGTGAAGAGTTCAGGGTACTCACAACCCTGGCAGAAGAAGGAAAGGAATCTCTGTCTGTCTTTCAGGGGAGCTCTTAAAATATTTAAAAACTGGCTTTAAACTTCAATGCAGAAGAGTAGCATTAGCGATTGAGACTAATCTCAATTAGTAGCACCCCCAGGTAATATTGTGGCCATTGAATGCATGAGTAGAATCCTGTTTCATTTTTTCTAAAGTCCTATAGCAATTTCTAACTTTATTGTCTACTGTTAATCATCTTTTATGACTATATGTCCTGTTTTGTCATTTTGATTTATGGTTTTTTTGACAGCAGAGATAAGACTGTCTCTCTTCTTTGTAATTTGTAAACTTTGCTCCAAAAATGCCCAGTACTGGATTAACTGTTGATAAAAGGATCCTGCCAGCCAAGAGGGAAGCCAAGCTATGCTAGATTTTGCTTTGTTTTTTCAACTCATGTGAAGAGAAGAGTGTTTTCAGTTTTCAATGCTAGGCTCAGAGGATGGCCAAGCTGAGGTTGCTTCTACAGGCACAATGGCCAGGCCCTCTGAATTTCTGCCCAGTCGTCAGAGCTTACCTCACTCTGCAGCTTGTATGCATGAAGGGCCCGGTCCAGATCCACTGTTTTTGTAGTTGGAGCCACTTTGCCTCTGACACTGCGCACGTAGTCATAGTGGTAGACAGCCTGGAGAGTAAAGAGGAAGACTGAGTTGATGAAACTGCAACAGCATTGCTGGCAAGAAGCCAAGTAAATGGAAACCCAACTCCCTTTTTAAAAACAAGCATCCTGCTCTCCCCTGCCTTGAGAACTCTATCTGATGTATTGTGTTGTCAAAAAAGTCATGATGCATTTCTGCTTGAAAAACAGAAAATATATACCATGATTTTTCTGACAACCCTATATTGGTGTGCCTTGTCCAGTAGGATCAGAGCCAGGATGTGGACCTCACATTGAGAAATAAGTAGAGGAGACAACTCAAGCATAGGAAGAGTTCAGCACTGAGTCCAAAAAACAATAGGTCATGATACTCTAACTCACTGATGGGATTTAATATTTACTTTTATTAACTGTGGGGTCAATAAAGAAGTGAGGAGCCTTTTGTCTGTTCTGCCCACTCCCATCTGGCATGTGGTGTGTGCTTTCCACATGTCCCCCCATTGTCCGTATGTCCATATAACAACACTGAAGTTTATAGGAATTAATGTTCTCCCCAAACCTCACAGTTTATGGGTGATAGAGGCTGGACTCCATCCATATCTTTAACTTTGAAGCCTGCTTCCTTCTAAGTCTACCGTAGTTCATGCTAATTTATTAGAAAGCCTAGAGAGTGAGGCATAAACCATTGTTCTGGGCATAAGATTCAAACAACTCTGGAAGCTCTAAAACACCAAGTATTACACAGACTTAGAGGTGGCTCTGTCTTCTTTACTCTCCACAGTAATCTCCCCAGTTGCACTTACATCACTCAGTTGTTTCCCACTTTTGACAGCCTGGACATAGACAGGTGTATCAGTGACCAGCTTGTAGTCATTCCTTGTTTTCTGTACATGAGCTTTGTACTTAATCTGCAGAAAGGAAGAAAAGGAAATTCTGATAAACCACTCACCATTTTGGAAATTTCTGTTTTTCAAAAAGAGTTCAGTTGCTTTTTAACTTATTATATTGGCACTTACATTCATTAGCACTTGTTTAACAAATCAGGATGTATTTAAATTTGTTGACAATCAGCATAATCAATGCTTATGATCAAGTAGAGCTTCTAGAGTCTCCTAGGAGGTCTGACAACTACTCTAACAGAATAGTTCAACTTTCTTACTGAAATCTTAATGACAATATTAATTTTCCTAGCACATCCTGTTTGCAAATAGATAATGTCTGAGCCACATACAAATGAGATTTTCCCAAAATGTGTATTATGTGCTCATAAATATAACCAAAATAGCCTAATAGGTGGAAAGAAGAGCCAGCATTTCTTTTCTATTAGAGGCTAACAATACAGCCTGACTGCAAGTTTAATAGGCATGCCAAAGGCATTCCTGAGAGATGACTGCTCTCTGTTCCTTACCATCTTTCTCCAGGCTCACCATCCTCAACACCACTTAAGACACAGACCATGACAATGTTTGTACTTCATAAAAACCCTTCAACTCTAGACTAAATAGAAAAGGAAATATACTAAACAAAAACAAAAGAAGGCAGACTCACATCATTGCGAAGATCATAAGCATGTTTGGCATGGAGAATTTCAGGAGTGTCCCAGACATAGCAACCAATGCCTTTCAGCCAATTGAGGTCATCCTTGTACACAATCTAGAGAATTGCAACAGATGGTGATGAATAGAAAAATAAGGTTGGAGCATAACTTTAATAACAAAGCCCAGGGCAAGGCTGAACCTAGGAAGTCTTTGTGGAATAAGAGGCAAAGACATTATGTAACAAGGCCAAGGGTACCATGGACATGTAGGTACACAGAACCCTGCTTCCAGTGACAGCTCTGATATCCAATCAGACCCATGGGTAAACAGGAAAGCAATCCTGGAAAAGGCTGACGTGAAGAAATAAGCGGTCTGCTTCTCTACAGGGAGAGCACACAGATGAGGAAGGGTCCCTATAAACAATGGACTTACATCACTGATCTGATCGGTGACTCTCCTCACGTGATCATTGATTTGCAAGTCAGGGTGGCAAATCCACTCATGGAGATGCAGGCGGTAATCAACTTCACTGACTTTCTTCTGAGAATCCTTAGCAGTAACCATTTCTACCATGTCGGGCACGATGTGGATTTTCATCTTGTTGTTTTCATAAACTGATCTGTATAGACGCTGTGATGTTAAAACAAAATGCCAGTTATACAAGCAACTCTGTAGGGCATGATGGCCACACATGCCTCTCTTATACCCTAGTGAAGCCAGCAATTATCTGGGGACAGGGTTGGAACTGGACTTTTCTGATAATTTTTATAGATTTGATGGTGGTGTTGGATGGAGATAGAGAAGGGAGAGTTGGGAGGGGGAAGCACAATGGGTAGAAATGAAACTTAAGCTTCTTCATATGTGCCAAATCTGGGCTATATGCATTGCTTAATAGAAATGTTCCAATTTGTAAAGCATGGTTATTTTACTTTACTTCAATTCAAAGGAAGATCTTTGGGATTACTTACATCAATGTTTAATTTGCCAACTCTGAGACACCGGGCTGTGTTTGGATCATCTTCAACACTTTTTGGTAAAGTATAAAGAGCTTTGAACTTTTCATATTCCTCCCGATATTTGATCTATAGAGAGAGTGTACAAAGAAAGAAGCACAGTTTTGAAGAGAAATGGATTATTGTGTTTAAACAGTATGAGATTTAATGGGAAGGACCCAACTCTGCACTCCAACCAACTCCAGGTCATTTCCTGATCTTATCTCCTCATCTGTACACAGGTAGAGACACAGCACTCATGCCTCCCTCACAGTGATCCTGAGTTTTAAATCACTTTATATCTGAAAGTACATTTTTAATGATAGAAAGATATAAAGTTTTGCCATTTTAAAAGTTCCTATACGTGTGCTTGTACTTCTATTCCTACTCAGTGAACACATTTTATAGCTTATGCAATATTAAAATAGTCTCATTGTGTGTTAATAGCATTGTTTTTCTTAGCTCTACATGAAAAATGAGAAATGTGCTCAGGAGTGTCTTTGTTTTTCAAAACTGACAATCTGGTGCTTAAGAGACACAATCCTTGTATTGTGGTTTCAAAAAGGTTTTCAAAATATACACTGCAACCAATTTTGATAGAAAAACTTTTAGGTCTTAAGCCATATTGCCTACTTATTAATGCTCCATGATTTCATAATCTAGAGGTAAGCCCCTCACAGAGACTAAGACCCAATCACCTAGCGGTAGAAAAATAATTCAGTTGACGCTCAAAGGGACACATGTTACTTTAAGAAAAAGTGAAGAAAATATTTGTGTCAGACTTTCAGCCAATCCTTTAACTGATGAGAAATCAGCCAAAATTTCCATCAGAATTTTTCAGAACATTAGCTAATGTGTTTGCATCTAACCTAATGCTCTGTTATAGAGAGTATTCAAAAGTATCTTCTTTTTTTTTTTATAAAAAATGCTGTTGGAATCATCCTTTAAAGGATTAACTTCTCTAATTGGTCTAAGAAAAATTCACTAAGGATTCTGTCTCTTCAATTATTGTCATAACTTAAAAAAAAAATTTGCTGAGCTTACTAAATCTTATGTACAAAATTCCTCTGACAAATAAAATTTTGCTACTTTGACTTATCTATATGCAGGTCCCAAATGCAGTTGGGCCTGGGCAAAATGTGTTAAAATATTTTTTTAAACTAACCATCTCTAGACCCATTTGAGGGTAACAAAATCAGTTTAGACTGGATCACTATCATTTTAAATAAACAATAGATTTTAAATAATCAGAGAAAATTGTCTTTAGTGTAGTAAGAAGTAATCTTCTGTAAAACATTCATGCTAGAATTCACATAAACTTCAATGATTTGTATGTATGTTTATGTAAGTTAGTGTGTGTGTTGATGTGAAATATAAATTTTTTTTATTTGACCATGACTGTGTGGATCACAGTCAAAAATGGGTTAAGAAATATTAGTCTAAAATAAAATGTGCGCAATTAGGAGATAAAACTTTCTAATACTTCTGAAAGAAGACTGCGCTTATTTGAACTGCAATGATGGTTACAGGGAAATTTATAGTAAAAGGTTTTATTTGAGAACATTTTAGAAATACAGGGTTAGATGTCATAAGACATTACATTATATTTAAACAGCTCATGTGGTTTAGGAATTTTTTTTTTTTACAATTATGTCTATGCCTAAGAAAAGTTCTGCCTTTAAAAAGACAGAATTTCAAAAGGTTTTTAAAAATGTCTGTATTTCATAGTTACAAAGATAATGATGTACTCTTTTATCATTTATTTGAAGGTGATATAACTGGTTACTCACATTCACTGGCTTATTTTTGTACCAAAGCCCATATATTTCTATTGAAAAGGAGTCAATTTTAGGAGACATATCATGTCTTCTTTCTATGCCTATTACTGTTGGTTAAAACAGAATACAGCTGTTTTGTCTTTCAACTGTGCGAACTGGACCACTTATTTGTGGATTTTTTTCTATTGGAAGATCCTTATTCAACGATTGAAACAACTGCAAAGCCAACTGTTTGAATCCAAGGATGTAGAACCCACCCATAAGAAGGGCTGACTATATGATATAGGTGGATCTTCTATTTTGTGGGGGTCAGTACTAGTAGCCCACACATTATTCAAGGGTCAATTGTATATCCATCCATACCATCTGTAGGCAGGCAACCTAAAATGACACATCTGTGTCCCCACAAGTATCCTTGATTTTCTCTGGACTCTTGAAAGGAATAAATAAGTGCACAGACTTGGTGGTGATAGGCACCTAGAATTACTTGCTGTGTAATTACTATGCCTTGTGAGAGTGCTGGAAGTACTTCTTGGAAACATACGGAACTGCCAGAAAAATTATGGAAGCAGACAGCAAGGAACTGTACAGGATGTGTAGAAGGGCTGTCACATTTGTACTTGACTTACAATGCTGGCCATATGTTTCTGGTTCTTAGCATGTGTCATGGACACACTGTTGGTTGGGAGGATGTAGCTGGTGGCTTTCACTTTCTCCCAGGCATCCTTGTACAGGTTCTGTAAGGGTTAAAAAAAAAAAAAAAGAAAAAATGCCTTTGGTTTGGCTTCCAAGTACTGGATTATTCTTTCATTTCTGTCCTCAGACACTCCTTAATAAACCCCTTAATAAACTACTCTGTAGTTAGAACCTTAAAAGAATAACTGTTTTTTTTTTTTCATGATCACAATTTCTTTTCCATTATTTTGTTCAATACATAGTACTTATCACAGTTTGACAGTTATCTGAATTTTTGGTACAATATTCATGCCTATAATTCTAAGAATTCCCAGAGGATAAAAATCAGAAACATTAAAAAAAATCTATTCCCTATTTTTTTGTAGCTTGTAGGAACTCAAAAGTGTTTCTATTCCTGGGCAGTGGGTTAAAGCACAGCACTAAGAAGCTAATGCTGCTTCAGCATGAGTTCGATCCCTGCCCCGAGGTGACCCACATGGCGCTGCAGACCTCTCCTGACCTGCTCACTGCTCCCCTCAGCAGTGTACTTCATCAGTTGGCCTGTTCTGCTCCCCACTCTGTCTCTGGTGAATCCTCTCACTGGCCCTGCACCTCTGGCCTGTACCCTACTTCTGTATGCATAAATAAATCTTTAAAAAATATATTTTAAATTAACAGTTCAGAGGAGAGGGGAAGTAGCTTTGTTAGTCTGTAAGCAGCTGGCCATTGGAGAAGCCAGAGAAGTTTCAGGTCAAAGAAGTGCTTTAATGAAAAAGTGCTTCTTGCAGGTATACCTGCAAGAAGGTAGGGGTTGCTGAATTTACATCAACTGGGTGAAACAGTACAACATCCAAATTGGAAGTTATTGAGTTGTAATTAAGAGAACTAATGAGATACATAATTTGAATGAGAAGTTTTCAGGAAGTTCAAGTTTCCTTTCAGGAAAAATATTAAGAACACCTTTTTGGATAAAGTGCCTATTCCTTTTATTCTTTTATGGTCCCCAAAAGGGAGAAAGGTAGCTCAACATAAGAGAAAAATTTCAACTCACACTGCTATATAGATTCTTCAGATTCTTGATTCTGTCATGATCCACTGTTTCTAGGACCGTTGTATATTTGTCCTTAATTTTATGATAATTTTCTTTATATTTCACCTAAGACCAAAAAATGGGTTATTTCTTCCTATTGTTTAAAATTGTGTACAAATTAAATAAAGACTTGTCTTAGAAAAGAAGTATAGGGAAGACATACCTCACTGGCATTAATGCCACTTTGCAGAGCAGTCACATAAACTGGGGTATCTGTCACTAGATTGTAATTTTGTAGATTTTCTTTACCAGCTGCTGTGTATTGTATCTATAAGGGGGAAAAATCATGTAAATGGTTAAATATAGATCTCTACCAGTTTTAGCAGTTTGTACCAACTAAAACATGCCTTTATTTCTGGGTTTCTGATTTAATTATATATAAAAAAGTCACCTTTGCTGTAATCATGCAGACCATATGCTTATCAAAACAGTTTTTCTCAACCAAGAGTGGTTCTAGATCTTGGTTTTTTGGTTAAGCTTCCCAAGTTACTGGGTCTGGATCTTCATTTTGTTGTCTTTTTGGAGTCTGTATTCCATTCCTGATAGCAATATTCCATTAGTCTGCCCTCTCAGATCTGAGTTTCTGCTGCAGAATTTCCCAAATACTTGTTTTTTACTTCAAGCCTAACTACCTATGGTCTAAATATGCATTTGTATTCTACTCTCACAAGTTAACTCGAGTCAGCTAAGGCATAGATGTTTGAAAATAGTTCACTATTGAACACTTTCATGTTTCCAGATAGCTTTCTGTTATAAACATGTAATGCCTTAAACCACAGGAGATACTCAAATTAAGAAGGGCCACAGAAAATCATCAGGAAGATTTTATTGGGCAGGGGACATGTGGTTTTCTTTGATCATGTGCTTTTCAAGCAGCATTCTCTACCTGAACACACATACAGCCTGGCTTTTACCCCCCACCTTGGGGACACCAAGGGATGTCCTGATCCATAGTAAGTTAGTCCTTCAGAAACACTGACTTACCTGACTCTGTAGGTCATATGATTTCTTGGCATGGAGGATCTGGGGTGTGTCCCAAACATAGCATCCAATGCCTTTCAGCCAATTCAAGTCATCTTTATACACATTCTGTAAGAAAGAACAGTGAAAGGTGACTATTACTCATTGAATTTATCGTAAGATATTTGGATGATTTCCTAATTGGCTGTCCTTAGTGGCCAGAGGGTGGGCATCTCAACAACTGGAAGGTCTTTAATGCCATGTCCTAAAGTACAAGTTAGTGAAGTGAACAAGGCCAACATCATCAGCTATTGACATCAGGTACCACCTGCTATGGATAACACCTCCTCCTCTCAAGGTAACTAGTAGTCTAATAATGATTAAGAGATTAAATATTTGACATAGGTGTTCCATACTTGGAGAGGATTCTTACAAATCAAGGAATGGTTACTTGTGCTATTTTGTGTTGAGATACAGCGGGGTTTATAGATACAGGGGAAAATGGAGCTTGGAGAACTGAGCAAGCTCAGTGACTCCTGTAACTAAGCAAGATGCAGAAAGGACATCTTACATCACTCAAGATCTCTTGTGCATTTCGGGCCCTTATAATGTTGGGTTCTTCTGGAAGAGATGTCCATTGGTGGAAGTAGTTTCGGTATTCCAGGTCACTGAGGATATACTGGCACTTTTTAGCCAACACATGGTTCATCATATCATTGGGGATATGAACATTTGCTTTGGTGTCCTCATAATCTCTTCTGTAGTTCAACTAAATAGCATTTTTGAAGGCAGAAATAGAGGAAAATAAGTAAAATATAAATTATTTAGAACAATCTCTTTTAGAGTCTCATTTCCAATATAATAAAAGTCAGAACCTTTAGAATAGACTTAAGTTTAAAAATGAAACTTGGATATTTTCTTCTCCTTTCAAAATCTCCCATTATTTTATAACACAGGGAAATTGTGACACAAAGGCAGATTATGAATAGGCTGACATGATAGTGTATATAAGTCCTCATGTGAACATATGCTTACCGCACTCCTCATCTTTTGGAAATCCAAAGAATGAACCACGCCAGGGAATTCACTGATTTCTTTTCCAGCCAGGTAGTGACCCTTCTGCTTCTCATATGTCTCTTTGTATTTAAGCTGTGAAACAAGACAACATTGAGAATAACTGAGGTTTTCTAACTTATCTTTGCTCCCTGATAAAGACTGAAACTTCTGAGATGAAAAGTACTACTGACCTCACTGTTCACAAAGTCAGCATGCTTGGCGCCAACGATGGGAATATAGCGTTCATCCAAGGTATAACCATAGGCCTTGGTTCCTTCCCATGCGCCTTTATATAGTATCTAGAACAAAGAAATATGTATAACAGATGTTTGCATTCAAAATCTTACTAAAAAAAGAAAGGTAAAAGCAAGGCCAAAATTGTGTTTAAAGTAAGACTTAGATCTTTATTTATAGCTATGTGTATGCCTACCTAAGAAGAGGGTGGTCATTTGGCTTGTTGCAAACTAAATCTATAGATTCTGAGGCAATTTACAATAGAATATAACTATATTTGTAGTTGTAATAAAAGTGAAAACAAATTTGCATATAGGAATTACCAAAGATTGCTTTCTATTAGTATACATGCGCACACACTACACACATAACATAGCATCCTTTACATTTTTTTACCTGAAATAAAACAACAAAAAAAACAGATCTCCTTAAAGCTCAATTGATCACAAAATCAGCCATGATATGAATATTAAAAGAATTTCAATTTGGAACAGTGTCTAGCACATAAAATAGAACTTACGGTACTATAGAGCTTTCCCATGTCTTTGGAGTGGGTGATATGTGGTGTATCTGGAGAAAATATATACTTGCCCCTTAATTCTTTATTAAATGTTTCTTTATATTTCACCTAAGGAGAGAAAACAAAATCTTTCATAACTATAATGTAATTGTTCCATTTAAATTTTTTAGTAATTTATTAATTTAAATAGTAAAACTGACTATATTTTTACTTCCATAAGAGCTACCTAGAAATAATAATCAGCCTACACTTACAGAACAAAACAATTGGTTGAATTTCAGTTCATTTTAGCAAATAAAATAGCATAATTTAGACATAAAAATAGATATTATTTAAAAGTGCTAACAATATATCACATACTAGTGACTTTAAAGACATCACTCTAAGGCAATGCTAAATTTATATCCCCTCCTTTTTCTTATAAGCAATTACCTGTGGTTAAGCAAACCCATTCAAGGACAGTCAACTAACCACACAGTCTATGTGCCTCATTCTACACAAAGCAAACTTACATCACTTTGATTGACTGAGTTAATCTTGGCTAAAACAATCTCTGGAGGGTCCACCACACTTGTGAAATTAGGATAGTTGTCAAGAGCATCTTTCTTATATTTTATCTGCAAAGAAATAGAGATAATTAGTCTGGCCTCTATCTTCCCCACCAAGCTACCTACCCTTACAGAGAGTTGAGGCATGAAGTAAGAACAGGCTTTGCATACCTGATTCACCATTTCCTGGTTCTTAGTGACTCTCACATAGTCCACAGAATCCAGGGGAATCCAGCCAATGCCTCGGAGCCACTCCAGGTCAGCTTTGTAGACATTCTGAAAGCAGGCAGAGAAATAAGATGCTGATATAATTGATTCAGACATAGGATAGTAAAGAAGAAACAGTTTTTTTCAGAACCTTTAAAAGGATTCTTTCTCGTGGCTATTATTGCATTGGTTTAATAATTTCATCTGTTGATCTAAGATAGATTTCTTGAGCTTGTTACTATGAAAGAGGCACTGTGCTAGATAATTTAAGGTATAAGCATAAAGGAGTCTATTGTTGGGGGAGTCATTTACAAAGTAGACAGTGGTAAGTGCTGTGAGAGTTGTTGCTTTTAGCTGTTGAGTGTATAAAAAATATTTTTCCAAGGTTTAATTTTAGATGGATTTTGCATATATATACATCGAAATGTGTAGGGCTTTTAGACTACAAAAAGAAAATTAAACAAATAATCATGTATTGTGGGGTAGAAGAAGGCTTCCCTTCAGCTAAGCCTATCTCTACTCTCCCCCCATACCTGCCCTTAGGTTCTGGGTTCTCTGAGTCCACCCCACCCAAATGCAGAAGAATTGTTAATCTGACTTCTAGTTCCACAATGGGTCCTTCTGCTGTAGAAACTAGTGAGGCAAGATGTTCAAATTCAGCACCTGTACTGAGCAGTCTTTGACTTCCTATTTCTAAGAAGAGAAGACTCTGAAGGGTCTGCATTTCAGTGTACCTGAGTATAATGTATTGATATGTTACGGCTAAGAAACCTTGGATTTCTATTCCCTATGGACTGCTGGTAGCAGGCAGAAAACTTGATTAAGGTTTCAGTGCCAAGTGGCCTAAGTCCTATTCTCTCTCCTGTCTACCAAAGCTCCGTATGAGGGATTCTGGGTCCTTAGGTAGCTCATCAGTACTCTGTACCTCTTTTGCTTTGATTCTTTACCAAGAACTACTTTATATATGCCTTGGGGAGTGAAATGCTAGACAAAGCAAGAAAGGTATATTCCAGGGTCCTTGACTATATTATCTATAAACTGTCAAAATCACAGCTCAATTTCAGTTTTCATCCAAGTCAATTATTTTAAATTAGTTTTTTATTTTCCATGTAAATATGAGTATGGAGTTGCTAATGCTAGATCTGGCTCAAAAATTGCAGATTAAAAAATTAAAGTTGACAGTTATTCAGAAAGGCAGTCAATAGGGAAAGCTGTCAGTCAATCACTGCCACCAAATTTTCTCTATTTCATATCTAACTTTAATTCCCTTCAAAGAACAAACTAAATATTTTTGGCTCAAAGTTTCAAAGACTAGTGTTTCCAGAAAGCTGCTTATCATTCTCAGAGTACACTGTATATCTCTAGATAATTAAGAAATAAAAATCACTTACGTCACTTTGTAGGTCATAGGCCTTCCTTGCCTGAATAACATCATTTTGGTCAGGATGACATATCCATTGGTGAAGGTAATTACGGTAATCAATATCACTGACAAGGCTCTGCCCCTGTTTGGCGGCCAAGACTGATACCATATCAGCAGGTATGTTGATTTTGGTCTTTGTTTTATGATAGTCCTCTTTATATAGTCTATCATTCTGAATCTGGCCTGCATGTTCAAACCAAACCAGTTTAGGATCATCTCTCATGGTTGGAACACCAACATAATGACCTTTTTGCTTTACATGTTCAGCTTTGTATTTCAGCTGGTGGGAAGAAGAATATAGATTCCATTAGCATTGACAAGCATAAAAGGCAAAGTGAGCTGTGAACATCAGAAAATTCAGTTGCCCAGATTTTTATGTCAGTTCCCCTACCACCCAGAGTAAGTAACAAAAAGCACTTAAATGAGTAAATATGGAGAAGTACTAATTAATAAAGAGAATTTTTTTCTAATTCTGGCATTATTTTATCTGAAGACTTTGAGATTTTTAAGGAAGCCAGGAAATAGAAGGAAAAAATAAAGAACTCAAACAATTTTTAAGAAAACAAGAAAAAAAAAAAGAACACCTTAAGTCCAAAAAAGGGACCAGAGGGCACAGTAACACCAGCCATCTCCAAGTTCAACCAGCTCCAAGGGACAGACAGAACACCCTGAAGCCCAATCCCTTAGCATAACTGGGTTCCTGCAATGGCAAGGCCAGTCTTTGCAAGGCACACTCAGAAGGATAATTACCTCGCTTTGGACATCACCAGAGTGATGGGCATGAACAAATGGGATTGCATCCGGAGGCAAAATGTAACCTGTGGCTTTTTGTTTCTCCCAGCCTTCTTTGTAGAGATACTAAAAGACAGAGAACAACAAAGGGTGAAATCTGGGGTACAGAAAGAGAGAAAGATCATGTGCATGAATCACCCACAGCTATAAACAGGTCCTCCATTTCCATTCAAAATCCTACCTGGTCCAGTATCCGAGCTGCCTCCTGGGCAGTGTGTAGCAGAGGGGTTTCTGTGAGGGTGTACTTCGATTTTGTGTCATTCCAATGTTTCCTGTATTTAATCTAAAAACAAAAGACAAGGAACTTTATGTTAAAAACAAAGTCCAAGCAAATGCTAGAATCACTGTTTGCAGCTGAGCGCAAGCAGGGGCAAGTGCTCAGAATGACATTTTCATGAATGGGCAATTTTAGAACAACAGCTATGTACTTACATCATTTAGGATCTCACCACTTTGTTTTGCTGTCACATAATCAACTCTGTCATCCACAGGAGTAAAGTTGAGAGTTTCTATCTTTGTGCGATATTTTTTCTATGGGAAAGAATATATATTTTAGATAGTCATAGTCGTTGGTGCTTTTTGAGCTGAGAAATGCTAGACTTAAGGAACCTCACTAATAGAAGACTAAATTCCATATTGGAATAGCATCTTCTTGGCAATTTGATTTTCTTAATAATTTTTAAACAAAGGGTTGGTTCCTTATGCTTTCCAAAGACATTAAAGTAATAGGTTTGCTTAGCATGCAAACTGATGTAGTAAATCATCATGTACATCACAATACTCAATATATTTTTTTCAACTGGAGGTACTTCTCCCAAAAGTATAGCTATTATTTACAAAAGAAATTTTCCATTTCTACAATTCTGAGCATTAGTGAGTGTCCTGGACATTGTAGTATGTATGTGGTCCCCATAACCAGGGAAAACACTGGATTATTTGGGGAAATTCATGTCTGACTTACATGACAGCAATTCAAACTGTCACAGTTGCTAATAGAAAATGACTGCATTTTGGCTTGAGTTTATGCATTTTGTTATTCAGTTTCTTAGGAACTGTATTGAATGGAGGATAAAAATCATGGAATACCTCACTGAAGATATCTGCAGCATGTTTGGCATGATTGACGGAAACAGAGTCATTTGGCATCCACCCAATCCCACGTAACCATTCCAAGTCGGCCTTGTACACAGCCTGTCAGGATGAAAACAAGGTCAGGATGAATCCAGCAACCTCATCATGTGGTCCTATTTATTTTATCTGCTGGTCAGTTGGAGAAATATAACCCAGGGCTGATATACTCAAGCAGCCAGGCAGGTAATATTTTCTACTTAAAGGGGGTTAACCTCAATTCTGATCCAGGTTACTGTTTCCAATATGTTCAGAGCTACATTTTTCAAAAAAAAAAAAGATATCCTATATTCTATACACAAACTTTCTGATCTAAAAACCTTAGCAACTTAATTGAAACCATTTAAATACCATCTCAACTAAAAAAGCATATCATGCTGTCCACAGACAGCAAATAATATAAAAGTTGATTGCTATTTAAATTCTATAGAAATATCTTCACTGCAGTTATCTTTAACCTAATGAAATGAAGAACTATATTCACATTACCATCTATTTTTTGAAACAAAAATTCTAAAACCCTTTGGTGATTCTTATACTATATAACCAAAGTCAAATTCTTGGAATTGTAAAGCATGAAGTGATGATACAAGGATTTAATGACACAATCATGGCAAAATGATAGAAGAGTCCATCCAAAAGTGCAGCCACTCACGTCACTTTGCAGCTCATAGGCTTTCTTGGCCTGAATCACATCATTTTGGTCTGGCATGCATGTCCATTGGTGAAGGTAATTACGATAATCAATATCGCTGACCAGCGTCTGACATTTTTTAGAGTGCAAGATGGAGAGCATATCCACAGGACTTTGGAACTTCGTCTTCCATTTGGTCCATGGCAGCCTGTACTCTCTTTCATTCTGAACCTTGCCAGCTATGAGGGCCCAGCGGATCCTGTTGTCATCCCGGGCTGTGAGAGTGCCCACATAGTGTCCTTTCTGCTTCTCATGGTCAAGCTTGTATTTATACTGGAGATGGGAAAACAAGGCAGATGGAACACAGTAGGTACTCTTGATACACCTAGGGTATGTGCTTCAAAAACTGAGAGGTTAAACAAGGCCATGCTTACATCACTGGCAATCTCCCTGGAGGCCTTGGCAGCCTGGATAGGGATGGCATCCAGCCGGACATCACAACTCATCTTGACTTCATCCCAACCTTCACGGTAAACTTTCTGAAGAGGATAAAAATCAAGGTTTTATTTTACATCCAAATTTACCAATAACTTCAGGAATTCAAGAACTAATGAAAGAAAAGTGGATGGGTCAGCAGTACTTCAATAGCAATAAATATATTTTAAAAGCGAGAACAGATGGAAGAAATATTGTCTACCATTGTACTGGAATATGAAATTTTGCCTAGATTCCAAAGATCTGGACTTGACAGGAGTTCTTTCTTTTAAATTTGAATTATAAACTTGATTTAGTTCTCATGATCTATGTAAAAGCATTTAGCTGGTTCTTGTATTGATGTAGTAGCTAGGATAAATTTAGATTCTGACATTAATGGGTCATTTGAATTTCATTAATTCAATAAATTCAGTTTAATTCTTCAACTCACTTTTGTGACCTTCAAAATTGTAAACTTTTAAATTTGTGGGTGTTCCCCCAAACTTAAAGGTCATAGGCTTTCTTGGCCTGAATCACATCGTTTTGGTCATTATGATAATCAGCATCGCTGTTTCTCAGATCTCATATATCTGATAACACATATTGTTTGGCAATGTTAGATCTTCCTACTCAAGTACAACTGGGTATAATGGCCATTTATTAAGTCCTTTTTTGTTTGAAAGAGTAATTAGTTAATGATTTTCAGATAACTTTAAATATATGGTTGTATTTCAATGGACACAATCTGCATTGACAATGTCAGAAAAACTTAAAAATTACCAGTAATTTAAATATATAATTAAAAAATTACATCAATTATAGAAGCTCATATAGTGCAGAAATGAGGGTAAACTGGAACTGTTGACAGTTTCATGGCTTTAGCATATCTGAAAAACGAGTGCTTATGTAAATTTTGTCCCTGTAGTTATACAAAACTTTTCTTTATTTTTATTCAACATTATATGTGGATTTTGGGTGGACCCATTTTAAAGACCCATTGTTTTTTGTCCAAAAAATAATTCCCCACATTTAGATGTATTAATTAATATATAATTCAATCTTGTCATTGTTATTTTGGTTTTTATTTTTTGTTATTATAGATATTATTACATTATATTCTTATATGTTTTTGTTTGTTTACATGGTCAAGTATAATTTTTACTTGAACTAAAAAAATTATCTGGGCTTGAGTCTTAACATGGGCAAATTCCTTAATCTTTTTAAGTCTCATCTTTCTTTCTGATAAGAACAAAATAAAAATATCTTATTGTGGCCAGTGTGAAGATAAAACCAATCAATTTAACACAAATTTGCCTGACAACCTTATACAACCATGTACAAATATTCTGAAAAAGTTCTGTTATTTAAATAATGGAGCTTTAAATAATGGATGTATTACTATCATAATAATGGTGATATCTGTTGTAATATATATATATATATAGGTCAGCAATCAAATTGGGTGCTTGATTTTTCCCCAAACACAAGTCATTTTCACTAATTGCTAAAGTTTATACCTTTACATTTGACACAGCTTCAAGTACTAGTTATGCCAATATCATGGCATCAATGATATTCCTAGCTGAGAAATTTATCATGTAAAGGTTAACATGAGACTTTCCCAAATTCTCCTGCCAGAGATGTCTATCAATCCAAAGAAAGCAAAAGAGCATATGCTGATTACCAGCTCTTCATCCAGTCACACCATGATGAACAAGTGGCACTGTAATACTGATTCTGGCCCCCTCCTAAAATGCCAAATGTGTTTGCACCCTAAAATTTTTTGTTTCAATCCTTGGGAAAAACTGGTGGTGCAGACTGGCACATGATGAGGAACCTGCTTGGCAGTCTTCTCTCATAAAGCTGTATTATTTTTTTAAAGGATCAAAATTTCAAAAGAGTGAACTGCACTAAGGCATATCTTTTTCCTAAAGTAATATTTATACTACACACAAAAGTCTTTTATCCATGAAATAGCACGCCTCTTGAATTGTGTCTCTAGCCACATAACTGGATTTTCTTCTCATTTTATCTAATAGATTTTTTTTTTTTACTACTGGGATTTTTTTTTAATTTTATAACATTTTATTTTTACATCTAATAGATTTTTAAGGTGATTCTCTTGCTGTTCCCCAGCATGTGTTGATTTATTCTGCAACAATATCTTTACTTTTTCCTTTCATCATGTGTCCCTTATTCTTACTTTTTATGTTGTTATTTTGATTTGAAAGAGAACTCACTCACTTAGTACTTCTAGAAGATGTTAAATAATAGTGATGTTGGTGGGAATATCCTTATTTTTTATATCTGATTTGAATGAGTTTTTTTTTAAGATTTATTTATTTACTCATACAGAATTGGGGTACAAGCCAGAGAAGCGGTGGATGAGAGGATTCACCAGAGACAGAGTGGGGAGCAGAACAAGCAGATATCAAGGAAGTACACTGCTGAGGGGAGCAGCGGGAGGGCCAGGAGAGATCTGCCACGCCATGTGGTCACCTCCATGGCAGGTGGGGATCAAACTCATGCGGAAATGGCTTAAGCGTCTTAGTGCAGTGCTGTAACCCACTGCGCCACCAGGGAGGGCCCTGAATGAGGTTTTATACCTGATTTGAATGAGAAGCCTAGTCTGGTCTTTGTTTTGAAATTTATCTTTAAGTTACATTAAAAATTGTTAACTTATTCTAATTTTGCTAATGGATATTAGATTTGATCAGACACATGTTTAATAAGATGAGTATATAATTTTTGTCTTTCATTCAATAAACTTATTTTATTACAGGCTTTGAAATATGAAACACTCATGGCACTCTTAAATGAATCCTACTTGTATCATATTATATTCTTGCACTACTGAATTAAATTAATGATTTTTTAAAGGTTTTTTTTATGCATACAAGAACTGGGGTATAGGCCAGAGATGCAGGGGGTGAGAGGATTCAACAGAGACAGAGTGGGGACCAGAACAGGTGGATCTACTGAAAAACACTGTGGGGAGCAGTGGGCTGAACAAGAGAGCTCTGTTGTGCCATGTAGGTCAGCTCTCTGGCAGGAGAGCAAATTCATGCTGCCTGAATTCTGGTGCTTGGTGATAGCTTGATACACAGAGATTTTAATCCCTGTGTCACCAGGAAGACCCCAATTTATCAATTATTTTATTTAAGATTTCCTCATTGCTACTAATCTATAGAATATTTGTGGAATGCTCTATAATAAATCTTAGCAATTGTGAGGATCTCCTATGTTCATTAAACTCTACAGTAGTTTGTTATTTTTTTTGAATTTCTGAAGGAATACTGTGAAACAGCTGGTTGATCCCAGCATTTGAGAAGAGGGAATTTTCAGTAACCTTAATTTCTTCTTTTCTTGAGGTCAGTTTTGGCAATTTATTATTTCTAGGAGAATTTTCTAGGTTTAAAATCAATTCATATTCTTGCAAAGAATTCTCAGAATTATTTTGAGTTTTTGAGTTTTGTTGTTAATTTGCATTTCTTGTTTATATGCCTCTTTATTCCTCTTTCATCTTTTTTGTCCTTTTCATTTTCTCCTTTTTGGCATACTGGTTCACTAGTAACTGGTCCAGCCCAGTGACTCAGAGCAAGGGTTTTGCTCAAGTCTCACTCTCAGGGAAGGGCTGGTGGCAAGCACCTTCCTCACCCCACTCACCAAAATACTCTTTTGGCTATTAAAAGTGTTGTGGTGATAGAAAACCAACTGGGTAACTTTCCAAACGAAAGGGAATGTATTGTGGTACTTACATTGCTAACATTAAGAGCGTTGGCTCTAGCAAGGTTAATTTCTGGAGTATCTGGCATTATGTGGATTGAAGTTTTATCTTTGTCCCAAAGTTCTCGGTACCTTGGCTATGGAAAAAACCAATAACAAAATTATCTTACAATTTCTAATTCTGTTAGTTTCAATGCACAAATTTCAAGTTTTCTGACATAAATTTTTTTCATATTAAGTTGAAAACTTAACAGAATCTTTTCATATACGTTATTCAATTTTTATATAAAATCTATATTAAGACATTTTATTAATATTTTGAGGTTTTGTTTAAAATTAATAAGTGATAATAACCCAGCTAACTTTATTACAGTCTTTGCTACCATCAGTTCTATTGTTATCCTACAGATAGGTTACCAGATTAGTGGCTCATCACTTAGTTCTAACAGCTTTAAAATTGAGGGGGAAAAGTAACTTACAATACTTATATTTTCAGCATTGGATTTGGCAAGGACAACTTCAGGTGTGTCAACAATACTTGTGTACTTGAGGTTCACCACAGGTGTCCGGTACACACTGTCTCGTAGGATCTCCTGGGCATTTTTGACCCTCAGTACTTCGGGAGAGCCTTCAGGCAGCCAGCCAATGCCACGCAACCACTCCAAGTCAGCCTTGTAGATCGCCTAAAGAGGAAAACAAAAGAGGGAGCAGTTTTTAGAAATTTGTGGTAAAAAAAGGCAGCAGCTTTCCATGAGCTGCCAACATGTTTCATACTGTTTGTCATCTGTGGCAGGGTTTTGTGTTGGGGCATTTATACACATTCTAAAAAGCAAAACAAGGCAGCACTCTGGAGGAAGCACAGAAAATATTTTTGAATACTAAGTAATAATCATTCTAACTAGTGAAGACTTTAAAAATAGTCGGGCTCTCCCCAGTGGCACATTGGGTTAAAGTACAGCACCATGAAGCTCTCCACAGCCACTACAGCAAGAGTTCCATCCCCAGCCAGGGAGGTGACCAACATGGCGCAGCAGACCTCTCCTGTCCTGCCTGCTGCTCCCCTCAGCAGTGTACTTCAGTTGGTCTGCATGTTCTGCTTCCTACTCTTATCTTGGGTGAATTCTCTTACACACACCCCTCCTCTCTGCACTTCTGGCCTAAACCCCAGTTCTTGTATCCTTAAATTAAAATCTTAAAAAAAAAAAATAACAGTAACAATGGGCTCTTTAGAAAGCATACAGCAGTCAAAATAATCATTTCAAAAGTCACAATTATGAGGTCACATTTCTCATCCTATAGCTTCCCATTATTCTTAGGATAAAGATCAAAATCCTTAACATGGGCTTGAAGGTAACAGATGGTCTAGCACCTATTCTCCCAGCTTCATTTTATCCGCTCTTCCCTTTGACCAGTTGGCCACACTGGCTTTCATTCAGTTTGTGAATATTGTATATTGTGTAGGAACGCTCACTATGTCCACCTTACAGAGCCAATCCCCACAAACCCCAACCCCCAGTCACATTCCCATCAAATCAGCACTTTTTTCAGATAAACTTTTCCTAACTCACTTTTCATTAAAGATTTACTCTTCATAAAAAAAAATTTCATTTTTTTTTAAAGATTTATTTATTTGTGCATACAGAACTGGGGTACAGGCCAGAGGCTCAGAGGCGGTGAGAGGCTTCACCAGAGACAGAGTGGGGAACAGAACAGGCAGATCGGACGAACTACACTGCTGAGGGGAGCAGCGGGCGGGTCAGGAGAGGTCTGCCGCGCCATGTGGTCACCTCCGGGGCAGGCTGGGATCGAACTCATGCGAAAGTGGCTTTAGATTCTCAGTGCAGTGCTTTAACCCGCTGCGCCACCAGGGAGGGCCAAAAATTTCATTTTTTTAACTGATATTTTTAACATCTCTCTCTGTTATCATTGTGAATTCCGTAAAGTCAAGATCTTTGTCTTGTTTCTTCTTTTTTATTCATGTTTAGTACTTACCATGTGATATTTTAATATTTTTAAAGGGACAATTAAGAATCAATCCCCAGTTCCACAATTTTTATCTCAATTGGATCTTCTTTTCTCAAAATAATTCCGTTCTTTGAATTGGTCATCTAAAATTGTTTCTCAGATATGAGCTCATCAAGGCAAACTATTCTATGTTATATGATGGTTATTAATCTTATTTTAAACTCATTATGTTCTTCAGAAATAGGATAAAAATATCAGGCTAAAAAAGTAGGGAAGGACCACAGGTCTTCTGATGCTTAATAAACTACAAACACTGCACATATTAACAAATCTATAGAAGAATTTTGGTAGTATCACTAACAATGAAAATGAAAACTTTCTGAATAAATCAGCAGTAAAGCAGACTATTAATAAGCTTGTTAAAATACTAAAGGGAAGTGTTTTCCCAAGCACTAAAAGGAGTGACCAGGCAAAGGTGTAGAAGACTTTTCCTGGGAACTAGTTCATCTCCATTGTCCTCCCCCACAGGCTCTTTTTTGAGGCTCCTGCACAAGCACTCACTTACATCGCTCTGCAGATCGTAGGCTTTCCTGGCCTGGATCACATCATTCTGATCAGGAAAGCAAGACCACTGATGCAAGTATTGGCGGTAGTCCACGTTACTTGCTAATGCCTGGCCTTCTTTGGCAGCATTGATGGACACCATGTCCACTGGGATGGAAATTTTAGCCTTATGATCATTGTAGGCCTTTTTGTACAGCCTGTCATTCTGCATCTTCAACACACTGGCTGCCCAAACAAGTTTAGGGTCTTCCTTGGCATTACGACATCCAATATAATGGCCCTTCTGCTTCTCATAAGCGGTCTTGTATAGATACTGGTGGGATGTGAACAGAAGAAGAGTTGTTTTTATAAATTCACTTTGTCTAAGAAATCTGATCAAAATAACTTTCTTTTGGATTATCTTTTTAGATACTTATTTTTCTTTAAATTCATACTATAAGTTTTATACATGTTATATATATATAGTCCTGACATATGAATTTGTTTTCTATGTCTATATACATAAAAACATTGTGAGCTTCTCTAAGGTGAGAAATGGGATCCTGAATTAGTCCCCCAATATCAGCTGGTTCACTGACACCAAAACTTTAGTCATTTAGCCACCCTCACATATTTTGCTATAAACAAGTACCATCTGTCATTCATACTTTAAGTCAACATGATTCCTTACTTAAATAGATTTGTTTTTAAAGGACAAAATTTGTTTTAAAATATATAATCCTATCAAAATAGGAAGAGGAGCACACACTAAATCCCCTTTCGATTTATAAAATGGTCTGGTTTCATATGGAACTTATAGTATATTTTTAATGACATTTAGTGCTATATTTTTCTAACACACATTAAAACAAACAAATCATTATTTTTAGAATGCTTGGCCAAATACTGCATTACATTATCACAGGAAGCACATAAGCATGCAGTCCTTCAAGAAACACTTCTGTATCCCCCTCAATCTCTGTATGTGTTTGTAAATTAACTGTTATGAGAATATTGAAATGCAAATTCAAATTTATGCTTAAGCATAAAGAAAGTAGAATGAAGCTATGATGCAGGAGGATTCTCAAATTATAAAAGTTACGTTGAAATACGTCATTTTAAAACAACACACTAATGACAATGACTTCCATTCAATAACACCCGTTTTCTGGGGAATTACATTTAAAGTTAGTACAGCATTGGTTCCTGTGTGTCTGTCTGTTAGTGAGTATTAAGGCTGGGCAAGGGGAGGGTCTTACATCACTGGCAATATCCCTGGATGCCTTGGCGTGCTGGATCCCAATGGCATCTGCTCGCAGGTCATAACCTGTCATCTTGACATCTTCCCAAGCCTGCTGATAGTGTTTCTGCAAATGAAGATTGCGATCATTCAGTCAAACTGCAGGATGAGCTACTGAGTCAGCACTACTGATGTGTTAACAGTGATAGTTAACAGTTGCAGGAATCCCCTTACGATTAATAAAATGGTGTGGTTTCATATGGAACTTAAATTATAGTATATTTTTAATGACATTTAGTGCGGTTCCATCTAAAAATTTTTTTGTTTAAAGAAAGAAATTTAGAAGGAAATAGAGTTGTTTAGAAGTTACCTACTTGGAAGTTACTTCTGATTTTCATGTGAAAAAATTAGCTTTTAATAGGAAAAATTAATGATGTATTACTAAGAAAAGGAACTCTAAGTATCACTGTACAGAGATCTATACATTTTTATGTTGTGTTTTTGGTAAAACTAGTGCAATTTCTCTTCCAAAAAAGATAAGCATACATCTCTCTCTTTTTATATAAACACACACATGGACACTTACCATTAACTGAGAGACAAGAAATAAAAGGAATGTCAGGAAAATGCCTTTTGCTAAACTTTTTATGGAACATAGCAGCAAGTTTCAGTTAAGCAAGTAACACTGCATAAAGTAAGAGCATGTGTAGTGCCTTACGTTGCTGATCTGCAAGGCGTTGAGTTTGGACTGCAGCATCACTGGGGTGTCAGCAGGCACATTCACATTAGCCTTTTCTTTGTCCCAGGCATCGCGATACAATGGCTGGTAAAAATGAAAAATGACGAGAGAGTTGATTAGGAAATAAGTCAGTTGCCACATGAATAAAATATAGGTATAATTAAAGGTTCTCTTTGGATATTTTCAGATATAAATGTAGATCAACTTTTGTTTTTATTTGTGCTTTTACTTAACAGGTGCCAATAGTGACTTCAAAAAAGAACACGTTTGTTTTTGTGATCTACAAAAATGAGTCAGCAACATGGTAGTGAAATTCTCCATTTCCATTTATTCACATCTAATTACTTAGCAAATTGCAGGTAACTAATAATTCACATTGTTAATCAAGTCCTATCTTTCTTGGTTCAAATAACTACCATGCTGTCTAGTAATAGGACTGACCCTGGACTTATCTATTCATTTCATGATGACTTTCAAGAAAAAGGTGGCAATTTTGTCATCTACATATTATCTGGTAGACAAGTAATATAAATATCAAAATGTATCCAAGCCTGTAGCAGAGTCTATGGATCATGGAGATGCCTCCCAAACTTACATGGACCAATGAATTATCTAAGCAAATGAAATGTGGAGAGTGTTAATTGAGTGGCAATATGAAATCCTCTTAAGACACCTACATGTTCAAGATTCTCATGCTGGTATTAGCATTTAAAGAAGCTCACTAGTGAGTCCTCTCACCCGACCCACCATACCTCTGACCTGTACCCCAGTTCTTGTGTGCATAAATAAAAAATAAATCTTTTAAAACAATTCTTAGTGGGACTTTTTTGATTTGTCTGAACATAACATAACCTGGCTTACCTCACTGATCTGTAAAGCATTGGTCTTTGCCAGGATGACTTCAGGAGTATCAACAATGCTGGTAAACTTAAGGGCCTCAGGTCTTATACGATACAACCTTTCATTTATAAGATTTTGGGCATTCTTCACTCTCATCACTTCCACAGAACCTTCTGGCAACCATCCGATACCTTTCAACCACTCCAGGTCTGCTTTGTACACGTTCTACATAAAGCAGAGGAACATAACACAGAGAATCAAATTTGCCCACTAGAGTACAATATCAGCAAACCATATCACTACATCTATTGAAATCATCTATCTGGCTAAGGATCAGCATTGAATGTTGCTATCGAGGTATGACAGCTCTCACACCTCAGGGAGTAGTCATAGTGTCCCATAGGAATGAGAAGATCACAAATGGCATGTGTGAAATGATAGACATGTGCCATTAATTTTTTATACTTTGTTGAACTTGCATGCTCACCACTTGAAATCTGCCTTTTATATAATACTGATTCCATTTACAGGAATTCTGGAGAAAAAGTTCCTTAGATGAATGTATACTAAGAAAAAGATATGTATCTATACCTAAGTAAATCTCTTTATCTATGGTTTTCTACATGTGTCAAACAAGTTTTGAAGTCCAACAATTCCTTATGCTTACATGAGTTTTTGAAATTTATATATCCGATTGTGGAAATAGAAGAGGTCAGAATAACTGGCACTGAAATTACCTTATTACATAGGAGACTGTTCTCCATGTTGGTGAATAAGGCAGTGCTACATAAGAAGGAATCTTTCATAAGACAGAAAATGTGTTTGGAAAGATTATACTATTATGAATTGTACAGAATATATCAATTTTCTATGAATATTATAGCTTAAATTCCATTCCTAGGGGAAATATTGTGATTAAGTACACAGATACCTCCCCAAGAGACTAATGATATACGTACATCACTCTGGAGCTCGTAGGCTTTCTTTGCCTGGATCACATCATTCTGATCTGGTAGACATGTCCACTGGTGCAGAATATTTCGGTAATCAACATCGCTAACCAGGACCTGGCATTTCTTGGCTTGAACAATTGACATCATGTCCAATGGCGTATTGTAAATTCCTTTAGACTTCTCATAGGCTTTCTTATATTCTCTTTCACTCTGGATCTTGGCAGCATGGATGGACCACACCAATTTTGGGTCATCTTGTAGGCTACGGAAACCCACGTGGTGGCCCAATTGCTTACGGTAACCTTCTTTGTATTTGTACTAAAGTCATGAAAAATCAGATAAAAAGATTCATACAAATAATATTTTTGGACTTCTCATGAAATACTTTCAGAATATTTTCTTAGCCTTAATATAAGTGGGTTTAATATTGACAGTCATTATATATAACAGTTTAATTTAATGAAATAAGGTAAGGCTATTTTAGTTAGCTTCACAGAGCTCATGAGTATACCAGGAGAGAAATACAGTGAACAGAATAATAAAAAATAGCTAATATTTACTGAAGTCTTGTCATATCCAAGACACTATTATGACTACTATTATGAATGATGAGGTTGATCACTGAAATCGCTAAATTGCTGTAATTAAAATTAATTGATAGTGGCAATTATAATCTCATTTAATTCTCACACAGCTGTGTGAGATATGAAATATATGAAAGCACAAGTTTTAGAGGGGAAATATAAGGCACAGTTAGGTTAACTATTATGTCAAAGGTTGCCTAGCCAGTGGACCATTAAGTGAGCCAGTCTCATGAATATTGAAGGTATCCTAGAGAGAAAAAATTCATATATGTGGTCTTGGATACAGACAAGAAAGGACCTGTTTCAGTAATGAAAAGCAAGGCTTTGGGCTTGAATCATAATGTGACAATAAAAGGACTGTGAACAGCAGTTTCCATCTCGTCCACACTAGTCCTAAATGACTTAGGATTAGAGTAAAATAATTTCTGTTTCTTTCCTAAACTTGATAATATAGGAAAGTTGGCAAAAAGGAAGAGAGAATTTGGAACAAGGTGAATACTATGGATTGGCTATGATTTTTAGACATAAAAATGGGGAAGGAAAAAGAAGAGGTGACTGGATGAGATAAGTAGTAAGTGGAAATTGGAGAAAGGGAATAAATAAAGGTGGTTTAGAGATTTGGAGCTGGTAAAATAATTATTTCAGCTGTTATTAAGTTTTAGAATTAATATTAAATGAACTTCAAAAGGCTACTAAAGATAATTACATATAAGACTCCAGCATGAAATCTTGTACATAAATTGTAATTTCAGTATAAATCTTAAATGAAGACTTTCATTTATAGTTTAAATTAATGAACACATCTTAAATATTTTGGGGAATGAATGACATTGTACTGGTTCCTAGTTTTTCCTAAAATACTTCCTGATATTTTACTTCTACTTAGAAAGAACTTGGAAGTTACTTACACATGTAACCTCACTATGTCAATATTGATGTTTTTGTCCTACTTAATTTAAATAAAACCTTTATTGAAAGAAAAGAGGCTACTGTTTGCATGGATTTTTTTAAAAACCAAAATCCTTTGAAAATATCTTCCCTATTTGCTATATAGAGGAGAAAACCCATAAGGAATCAAGGAGTTGTACCTCACTGGCAATTTCTCTGGAGGCTTTTGCATGCTTGATTTCAATGGCATCTGCTCTTAAGTCATAGCCTTTCTGCTTGGCTTCATTCCAGTCCTTCTGGTAGACATTCTGTTGAGGAATAAACAAGTTTGCAAATATGTGAATGTATTCAAAGTAGTCCTAATATTGATCAAAACATAATATAAGTGGAGCTAACATTTTTAAAATTTTAAAATTCATGTTGAATTTTTTTTGCCCTTTGGCAATTTATGGCATACAAAACACTTCTGATAAAAAAAAATTCTGGCTAAAATCTATCTCTAATATTTGAATATTTGGAATGAAAATATTCCACTATAAGTTACAATGGAAATAAGATTCTAATATTGAAGCCAGAGAACCTTCATCAAGGTACCATGTAAGATGTGGTAAGATTTTTTTCTTAACATTGCCCTTTAACTTTTTAGATGTTTCTGATAAAAGAATGTGATATGGTATCATACTTATTTGCACTTTAGGTATAATTAAAAATTATCTTTTGGCTTTTCCTATCACCTTGACTAATCTAATGGATCAATAAAAACCTGTAAAAAATAGAGCTTGCACTTCTCATTCTCCCTTGCATAAGTAGCACTTAATCAGATATTTCATTATTTTCCTTTAATTCACAGCTGAGCTGTAGTCATTGGATATAGGACAATGTTTTCAAGGCTGAAAGGAGGACAACAGTATTCAGATCTCTCAGTTCTACAGCTCAAGGACCCAGCCAAGTATAAGATAGCTAAAAAAGAAATGTAAATATTTCCCAGCTAGGTAGTTGAACTATTACAACAAACTCCATAGGCTGACAGTGACCCATAAAAGCATTTACAGTTCATATTTATGCTTCTTACATTGCTGATTTGCAAAGCATTGATTTGGGCCTGCAGCATGACTGGTGTGTCCGAAGGAATGCTGATGTTGGTTTTATCTTTATTCCAGGATTCTTGATACAGTTTCTGTGGAGAGAAAAGTATTCTTTTAATATAGTGACAGAAAGTGTATATCCAAAACATGAAGCCTTAGCAACTATTTAGCTTGGAAAAATACTTTCACAAACATTTGCAATGGTTAATTTCGGTGTCATTTTGGCTAGATCCAGCATACAAATACTTGGTCAACATTGTTTTAGATGTTTCTTGAAGGTACTTTTTAGATGAGATTAACATTTATTTTGGTACTTTGGTTAAACCAGACTTTTCATTAGGTGGTGGAAATTATGCAACTGGTCAAAAAGTCTTAATAGAACCAAGACTTCCCCTAAAGAAGAAATAATTCTGCCAGCAGATTGCCTTGGGCTTGAATCACAACTGTTTTGGGGTCCCCAACCCACTACCTGAATTTGAACATGCAGAATTTGAACTTGCCTGTTTCCACAAGCCCATGAGTCAATTTCATAAGAATAGATCTCTTTCTCATATACAATCAATTGGCTATTTTTCTGGAGAACCAAAACTAATTCAAAGTTATACCATTTATTATAAAGCATTATGCCGTAGGTTTTAGTGTTCAGTAGAACTTAAATAAATGCTTATTTTCCTGAATTAAAATGGAGCGACCTTTTAAAAAATATAGTTATTCAAAATATGTGTGTTTATGTTTGAGGAAATGACAATCAGAGTTCAATTTTGTATGTTCTTTCACCAATCTAATCAAGAGATCTTTAAGTTGCTTCTATTACTCACTATGAATCTTTAAAGAGGAAAATCCTCTTGCTCAGCTTGGTTGGTGTCATCTGAAAACTTGGGAAACAAGGGAAAAGTTGGTCATATAATGATTCTTACCTCACTTATTTGCAGAGAATTGGCTTTTGCTAGCACAACTTCTGGAGTGTCAACAATGGATGTGAATTTCAAGGCCTCTGGTCTTGTTCTGTAGAGTCTTTCATTCACTAGGTCTTGAGCACTCTTTACCCTGTTCATCTCTACTGAGCCTTCTGGCATCCAGCCAATGCCACGCAGCCACTCCAGGTCTGCTTTATAGACACTCTACACAGATATTAGACAGAAAAGTTTCCCAAATATTAAGCATGCCACTCTTAATTGAAAAATATAGTTCATAAAATGGTGTGTCTAAAAAAGCAGAACCTGAGATTTTACATCAATCAGGAATTTTTATATTGATGAATGAGTAATGTACAAAAGTATAATCACTTTTATTAGCCATGTATAGGAGTAAAGTAGTAAATGTGCTAAATTTCATATTTCAAAAAAATTAAATAGCTGAAGAAACTTGTAAAGGAGATTTTGTTGAAATCATTTCATTTTCATCCAGTGTTAACTGACCCAAGGAAGGCCTATATAGGGACATACACAATCATGGCAATTATTTTTTAAATATTTTTAAAATATTCAAACAATTTATGTTTGCTTGAAATACATTTTCACTGTCATCACAAATGGCATGAAGAAATTTTGACCAGGAAATGAAAGACATGGAAACAGTGTCCTAAATATGTGTTTGTATTCAACAATGAGAATGGTACCCCTGGAATTGTACAGTAGGCAACCCATGCATCTATCCACAGAACACTGATTGGACAATAAATAAATACATTTTCTCCCATCCCACCTTTCCCACATTGCATGTTACATACATCACTTTGAAGATCATAGGCCTTCTTTGCTTGGATAATGTCGTTTTGATCAGGTAAGCATGTCCAATGATGCAGGATATTTCGGTAATCAACATCACTGACCAGAGTCTGACATTTCTTGGCCAGTAAGATACCTAACATGTCCACTGGGCTGGAGAACTTGGTCTTCCACTTCTGGAAATCCTTCTTGTATTCTCGTTCACTGTGAATCTTCCCTGCATGTATGGCACACATAATCTTGGGGTCATCTTCAATGCTCTGGGCTCCAATGTGGTGGCCCTTCTGTTTCTCATATGCTTCCTTGTATTTGTACTAAAATGAAATAAAGCCTAGTTTTAAGACCTAATGAATATTGACAATTATAAATAACATGAAAATTCACAAGGAAATGTAAGAATTTCAGATTGCAAACATTTGACCTCACTAAAAAATTAAAATAAATTTTTACAAAATTATAAAAATAGCTGTAGTGTAATCATGCATTCATTGATGGAATACTTCCTGCTGTAATTTTAGTTAGTTGCAATTCCAAAATGAATTTTTCTTCTCTGAGACAACAAAGAGAAAGTTAACTGAGGGTAGGAAGTAAGACTTGGAGATATGTGTGGCAAGGGTTAAAAAGTATGGCCCACCAGCCAGCAGCAAATTGGGCTGTTCACAGTGTGAGGTGCAAAGGGTTAGATGGGAGGTGCTTACATCACTAGCGATGTCCCTGGATGCCTTGGCACTTTTGATGGAAACAGCCTCAGCACTCAGATCATAATCCTTCATCTTTGATTCATCCCATCCCTTGGTGTAAAGTTTCTATGCACAGGAAAAAAGACAACAGAAAAATGAAGGTGTTTTGGAAAGTTAAGATGTATGTTTAGAAAAGAAGGTGGTCAAGTGGAAAAAATTTTAATTATTCCTTAAATCAGGATAATCAGGAATTTCTTACTTGGCTGATATTGGCAGAGTTGCTCTTGGCCAGCAAGATTTCTGGAGTGTCTGGCATCACATGGATGGAGGTTTTGTCAGCATCCCAAGCTTCTGTATATAAATGCTATAGGGTGGAAGACAGGCATGCTAAAAAGTTTTGTTAAGGTCAATACATTAAGGTATTATCAAATTTAGCTATAAAACAACTTTATTAAGGCAACTGGAGATAGTGGGAGAATGAAGCATGGTGATATTTAAATAGCTATACAATAGTTTCATAATTAATATGAAGCAGTATGATAATGGTCTCAATTATTTTTTTCATACAGATCCCGTAGATTATAGTCAATTCCTAGTTCAAGCCCAGTTCCATTATGTTCAAGCTGTGTGATCTTAAAGATACAGAACACCATTCATTCCTCATTTTGTTGAAGGGATAAGCACATTTTTTTGTTAAGGTTTGTTTTTTTCTCAGATTAACCATAACATGTAAAATGCATGAGTCATAATTGGCATTCAACAAATTTTATGGTGTTTCCTATTACTGTGGTTACCATTGATGGGTGTGTTGTTAAATAGCATTTTTTGGAGCTGTGATACAGTTTGCTCATTGAAAGGCAATCTGTTATTTTTCACTGGGCATTCAATCTTAGTATGTGAATGTTCAGATGATATCCGGACATGTATCAGAAAATAAAGATAAATTCAATTCAATCTAAAATGTCCACAATAAAGGTCTGCTCATTGGATAAAGAATCAACCTAGTACTAATAAACAAATTTGAATTCTGATAGTAAAGCAGGAATCTGTGTACTGGGATTGCTATGAAACACTGTTTCCCAGACTTCAGATGAAATTGTAAATGGCTTATAGACCTTATCAGATGAACAAAGGATGCTAATGGCTGGAGTCTGTTTTGCCTAGGAGAACATGAATGGAAAAGTAATGCACTTGAGCATGTCTCCAGGTTACTACTTGGAAGTGTGCATTACTCCAGTGAAGTTATTCCAGGCTATGCTTCTGCATGCACAAAGAGAATTAGGGGACAAAGTGCAGGTACAACTAGAATTCAAGCAGATGCTGTTTTGAATGGCTGCATGAGGATTGTAGCTATTTATTTCCACATCTGTGGAAGGTGTGACTCTGGCAACTAGAGATAGCCAGACACTCACCTTACTCATTGTCAGGGCATTATTCTTTGCCAGGACAATTTCTGGGGTGTCTGTAATGCATGTGAATTTGAGCTGGTCTGCAGGCTGACGGTACTTCCTGTCACTCAGGATTTCCCCAGCTCTCTTCACCTTCTCGACTTCTACAGAACCAATAGGCACCCATCCGATGCCTCTTAGCCACTCAAGATCAGCTTTGTAAATAGCCTGAAAAGAAAAGAATGTCAAATATTTATAGAAATTACCTACACCACTTTGTGCCTGATTTGGACTTTGCATGACGATGTATAATTCTGAATCTTATTTGTGTAAATTTCTGGGAAGACTCACAGGATTGCCTTACTGAAGTTTAGAGTGGGAAACCCTTTGCATCTGAATATAAGTAGTGAGTAAACAATGTTTTAAATACTCATGGAATCTCTAGTAATGTGCAACTTCATTTACATATGTAGGCTTGTTTTGCAGAATTATAATTTTTAAGGATAACAATTCTTTTTCTTGTTATGGATGTGAGGAAATTCTTTTTCACCATGCCACTACTTTCATAATGCTTTCCAAAGTGACTAGGTATGAGTACCTGATTAAAAACAAACAAACAAGGAGTTACTATGTCAATGAGGTAGCATCTGAGTTTCAAAGACAATCTACTAAATAATAACAAAATTTCCCAACATAATCCTAGGAAACTTTTCAGTTTCTTAGAAATCTTTTTTCAACATAGGATCCTCCTTCATGGTACAATGGGGTAAAGCACAGCACTATGAAGCTGTCTGCAGCCACTGAAGCACGACTTCAATCCTGTCCAGGGAGGTGACCCACATGGGTTGGCAGACCTCTTCTGTCCCACCCATTGCTCCTATCAGCAGTGTATTTCAGTCAGTCTGCCTGTTCTGAACCTACTCTGTCTCTGGTGAAACCCTTACCTCCCATACCTCTAACCTGTACTCCAGTTCTTGCATGCATAAATAAATAAATAAATCTTCAAAAGATTTTTTTTAATATGTACAATTCACTGTTAAACTTCCATTCACAAGTAGATACTCCCAATAAGTTAAATTATTAGGGAAAATATAATGTAATCAATTCCTTTGGAAAATTAGGTTGCTTTAAGTCAGGAATTCTTAACCTAGCTTTGATGAAGTGGATGAAAAAGAGAGAACTTTATTTTCATTTGCCCTTAGCTGAAATACAGCATTTCATTTGATTATAAGTGTGAACAACAGGCTGTACTATTATTGACATCTGGGACTTTTTCAGGAACAGAAATCACAAGTATTTTCATATCCTACTAAAAGTTGTCACAAATATCTTGAAATATTTATGCTCATCATTTTTCTGAAATGTAAGTTATGTGTTTTATTTGATGTGTTAGAAAGTAAACATGTTACTATATTATGGATTTAGTTTACTATTTTGTTAGCCATATTTTCATGTGACTGGTTCCTTCTGAAATAGATTTTTTAAATTTTATTTTATGTATTTCGTGACATTATTCTCAAACAATAGATTTTATCAGACTAACAAAAGGTTCCATGGCATATGGAAGTAGGAATCCCTTTCCAACCTGCAAACATAGGCTGAAGAAAATTAAACCCACTCACATCACTCTGAAGGTCATATGCCTTCCGAGCCTGGATGACATCATTCTGGTCAGGCAGACAGGTCCACTCATGTAGAGGATGTTTGTAGTCTATGTCGCTTACAAGGATCTGGCACTTCTTGGCGAGCACTATCCCCAACATGTCCACTGGGCTGGAATACTTGGTCTTCCACTTCTCAAAGTCTTTCTTATATTCTCTGTCACTCTGGATTTTGGCTACATGTATGGACCACATCATCTTGGGGTCATCCTTAATGTCCCGGGCCCCGATGTGATGACCGAGCTGCTTGCGGTAGCCTTCCTTATATTTGTACTGAGAAAATAGAAAGGTATGAGTGTAGTGATAAGAACAGATTATAGTTATCATATTTCATCACTACATACACACAGCATTTTCTTCTGATTTTCTGCACCACACTACTATTGTGAGGGATGCAGGTGAATATTACCAATCCTATTATATAACATAGAAACCTGAAGCCTAGAGGGGTGGGTGATTTGCCACATCACAAACTGAGAACAAAAAGCTTCTGGCTCCTAATTTTTTCCCTTCTACAAAATTATATAACCTAGTTTATAAATGGTTGCTTAACAAATAAAAGTAAAACATGTTATACAATCTAAAAGAGCATATACTGAAGTCATAGCAATTATTTTCTAAAATAATTAAGAGTGTTTTAGAATGTTTCCCTTGGTATTAGAATTTACAATGAGTTCCTTGAGTGCAGATATGGACTGTATTTAGGTAGAGTTTGAGCAGAAAATATCTCCTTTACTAATCTGTTAATGGCATTAACCTTTCAGAGAGAGTTTGTCTTAAGACTCTATCTACTTTTGAAATTTAAGAATAATAATGATTATAATAATATGGCCCATTTTGTATTCAGATAACTGTAGTGTAACTTGTCCAATTTAACAACCAGAGAAAGTTCTGATAATGGAAGAATAAAAATCTAAGTCATGGGACCCTTCTAGAAGAAATTTTTGGATTTAGGTCCCAGTGAGTCCCAGCACAGAATGAAGATACTGGGTGCCCTGGCATGGTGCTTCTCATGAGAACAGAAATATAGGTAGAAGTTAAGTGGGTAATATAAAGACTTATTTCTCAATTGTTCTTGTACCCAATTAGGGTTATTTTGGTAGGATAGACTCAATAGTTACAAAGAACAAAACAAACAAAACTTTTACACAAGGGAATTATTGAAAGAGAGACTAGTCACATCAACTAAAGTTCTGGCAAGAAAACTCTAAGAGCTGCCATTTGTAGACATCCTTGAGTAAGAAATGCCTCTTCCAAAAACATCAACTTACATCGCTAGCAATATCTCTTGATGCCTTGGCTGCTTGAATTGGAATGGCATCCAAACGCAAGTCATAGCCTTCCTTCTTGGACTCTTCCAAAGCAAGTTTATAGAGTTTCTGCAGAAAAGAAAGATATCAATCATTACGCCTGTCAAAAAAATAAATCTGTTTATTATTAAATTATTTTTCTGGCCTTATTTAAGCTACAGAAATAAATGTACCAAGCCAAGTATTAGGGAGGGTTTTTGGAAAACATTACTTCATAGGTGCTCAAAGATTTTAGCGCCCATATTCTAATCTTTGGGATTTTATTGATTGGTTAAATTTTAAAAAAAAATGGGGGAGGTCAATATCCATTTGCCAAAATTTTGTTTCACCAAACAAGCACATGTGAAAAGTCATCTTAAAACTAAAGAAGGAGAAAGAATAAGAGTAGTATTTTTAATGTGTATAAATTTGGGCTTATGAAAAACTGATTATGTTACCCTTATTTCTTTTTTAATTTTGTTGTGAACTACCATCAAGGACTATGATAAATCTGTAGACTAAGGTTTCAGAATCATTTCTCTGATAAAAATGGGTCCTAGGCCCTCCCTGCTGGCACAACCAATTAAAACATAACACTGCAAGCTAGCCGCAACCACTTCGGTGCAAGTTTGATCCCCAGCCCCGGAGGTGACCCACATGGTGTGACAGACCTCTCCTGACCTGCCTTCTGCTCCCCTCAACAGTGTACTTCACCTATCTGTCTGTCCTGCTCCCCACTTTGCACCACCCCTGCTCCTCTGGCTTATACCCCAGCTCTTTATGAATAAATAAAATAAAATCTTTAAAAAAGAAAATGCTGGTCCTAACAAAACCAGTGCCTAGGAAATGCTTGTAAACAACAAAACCAAAGCACAGTGAAGCAGGGCTATAATTCAAGGTTTGATAACTTCTTGAGTTTCAACTCAGCACCTGTCTAAGTAACTTACGTATAAAATAAAAATTTGCTATCCACATTGACTTGCAGGGAAGTTCTTTATGAGTCTAATTTCTATTTCAATATCTCTTCATAAGCATTTCATTCCCCAATAACCTTTTGATAGGGCCCTCCCTGATGGTGCAATGTGTTAAAGTGCAGCATTATGAAGCTATCTGTAGCCACCACAGCCAGGGAGGTGACCCACATGGCTTGGTAGACCTCTCCTGTCTTATCCACTGCTCCCCTCATCAGTGTTGTTTCAGTAGATCTGCCTGCTCTGCTCCCTACTTTGTCTCTGGTGAATTCTCTCACACACCCCAACCCCCACACTACTAGCCTGTACTAGAGTTCTTATATGCATAATTAAAAATAAATCTTTAGGCCCTCCCTGGTGGCGCAGCGGGTTAAAGCACAGCACTGAGAATCTGAAGCCACTTCCGCATGAGTTCGATTCCCGCCTGCCGCCTGCCCCGGAGGAGACCACATGGCGAGCCAGACCTCTCCTGACCCGCCCGCTGCTCCCCTCAGCAGTGTACTTCGTCAATCTGCCTGTTCTGCTCCCCACTCTGACTCTGGTGAAGCCTCTCACCGTCCCTGAGCCTCTGGCCTATACCCCAGTTCTGTATGAATAAATAAATAAATCTTTAAAAAAAATAAAAAATAAATAAATAAATAAATCTTTAAAAAAAAATAACCTGTTGATAAAATCTGTCCTATTTTGTTGACCCAACACTTACCCCAAAATTGAATAAAGGGAGATGAATTACCTCTCATTAGTAATGTTTGACTAGGCATAATAAATCAGTCAAAAATATTTCACTAATGAGACAGTTACAGTCATTCATTTTTGCCTTTGTGTTCTTCAGAAGATCAATACTTTACTCACATCACTATAGTTTATTTGGTTGAACTTGGCTAACATAATTTCTGGTGTATCAGGCATGACATGGATTGTTTTCTTATCTTTGTCCCAAGCTTCAGTATATAAGCGCTATAACAAAAAAGGATGAGAAAGGTTATTTCAGTGTTAGAAAAACATTTTGTCTTTTGATTATGTGCCTGTTACTTTTCTTCTATAAAATGCTGAAATAAAATTATTAGAGTACATAAGTTCCTACCTACTAAATTACTGTATTTAAGAGTATTTATTTCACTCTATCATTGACTCAGTTATTACAATTTCTTATTAAAGTCTTCAGTTCTGAAAAGTATAACTGGGTTGTAGGAGTTAAATTCTGTCTTGGAAAGAATTATGAAATAATTATACATATAGTCTTTAACATAAGTCTAATAATTTTAAATATCACTAAGTAACTGTGACATATAATGGAACAATAACTTTTAAAGGAATCACAAATATCTTAAAACTCTTCACAAAATTGTAATGTCAAAATTTTACCTTATACTTGGGTGAATTTTGGACATCTACTGGGGAGGAGTAAAGACTCACCTTATTCATGGTTATAGCATTGTTCTTTGCCAGCACCTGCTCCAGAGAATCAGTTATGCTTGTAAACTTCATTGTGTCTGGACGCTGACGGTAGAGATTATCACTCAGTATCTCTGTGGCTCTCTTGGCTTTAACAACTTCCAAGGAGCCAATTGGAACCCAGCCAATGCCCTTCATCCAATCAAGGTCTGCTTTATACAGATTCTGCAAATCAACAATTAAGGAGTGTACATTAACTGGTTTATCAGATTTTCATAGACACGAAATGGATTATGCTAGAGAATACAGAAGTACTGATCAACAGAGAAAGTGCCTCACATCACTGACTACTCATTCATAGCCCAATGAATCCTGAACTTACTATTTTCCTGAGAATTTTTTGGTACAGAGAATAACAAAACTTTATTTTTTTTTAAGTGAAATATATAATCTTGCCCTTGGCTTTAACTTCCTTGAGGAAATTGTAAGATTTCTGAATGAAAGTAGAGTAGAGTACATTGGAAATATGTTCTAATAGTTCTCACTAAGACGACATATACAGATCAGTGCCATGGAAGTCATGCAGTCACAGAAATGCTTATCTTTATTTCCATCTTCAAAATAATAAGATATCAAAAGCTTAATGTAATGTTATAGGACAATATATTAGATATTTCCCTGGTTTTTCAATTTATTTGCTCTCAATAAAAATATTCTGAATGTTCACAGGTAGTAGATGACTAATTTTGGAAAAGACAAGAAAGCCTTAGTATTTTCCTATCAGTAAGTATAAATTATTAATGTTTATTAAGTCACCAAAACAATTTACCATAAAATACTTCTGTCTCTTTCCACATTATCCTCTACCAACATGAACACATTTTCCCACCTCTTTAGCAAAAATTATAATTATATCTAATGTTTAACGTCTAAATTTATCTAACTCAGCCACAGGAAGTCCAAGTCATGAGGAATAAGTAAACTAGTATTTTGATGATTAAAGTTTATTATTTCTTCTTTTACAAATAACTATTGGGGAAGAAACAAATTGTAGTCTTTCTAATAGAAAACTATCTTCAAATATTCAGTTGCTTACTTTTTAAAATATATAAGCAATTTCTAGTCCAATGGCACTAGTCAGAAGCCATGACATGTTTGAGATCTTCTTGTAACCAGTGTAAAGTATACTCACATCACTCTGGAGGTCGTAAGCTTTCCGAGCCTGGATGATGTCATTCTGGTCAGGCAAGCAAGTCCATTCATGCAGAGGATGTTTATAGTCCACATCACTGACCAAGGTCTGACATTTCTTAGCCAAAACGATACCAAGCATGTCCACTGGGCTGCTGTACCTGGTCTTGTATTTCTCAAATTCCTTTTTGTACTCACGGTCACTCTGCACTTTGGCAATGTGGAGGGACCACATCATCTTGGGATCATCGTGTATCGCTCGGGCACCAATATGGTGACCCAACTGCTTACGATAAGCTTCTTTGTATTTGTACTGAAAGAAAGAAACTAGTGAATAAGGAGGAAACATGAAGGGATACTGCCTGTTCTTTTTGAGGTGATGCTTTTCTATGAAAATCTGAGACACCAGAAAATTATACCAAATGCGCTGCTATGATGTTAGAATCAGGTATGCTTCTTTCCAAAGTAGAAGATGGAATGCACACTGAGCTCCACAAAGAATACTCCACAATAATTCCTTCATATAATGCCAAATAAACATATGTTCACAAATAATGATTTAAAAAATGAACACAGAAAAAGTGAACTCAGTCAGTGAGGAACAGTGGCTCATATGAGAGTTAGTTATGTGGGAGAAACTAGCTGTGAACATACCTGAGGGATGTGTTTACATGGTCCATTATGTTTTCTTTTCCAAGGACATTTTGTTAAATAATTTCCTCTTCTCAAATAATCTAAGAAGTATCATTTTAAATAGGAATGCTTTCTTATGTAATGGATAAAAAGGTTTCATTTTGCAAGATGACAAAGTGATAAAAGCCTGAAGCAGAATATGAATATTCTGAACACTACTGAACTTATATTTGAAAGTAGGTAAAATAGTAAATTTTATGTTGTATGTTTTTATGTAGTCCAAAAATGAAAAAAATCTATAAAAATGGGTGATTTTGCTATGCTTAGATTAATACTAAAGTTTTCTGGGAATCTGATGTCTACATTTTTAGGGTAAAGGAATAATAACTTTTATGGAACCCACAGAAGGAGACTTTGGGCTTTTTCCCCACCCTACAAGTCATGAGGAACTTGACTTCTTCAAGTCAAAAACTCAATTAATGGCCTTTCCTCACATCTTTGTTTTAAGTGTATCCTGAGAACTTCTCATGAGACTTGATGAACCCCTCAACATATGTCTGTCTAATGTTAATCAAGGCACTCAGTTTTATTAAGCAAAGACCAAAAGACAAGAGCCAAAAGAACTAGTCCAGGTGTTGCCTCAATATCCTTTGTATTCTTGGGCGTGTTTACCCACTGTTACCTCAAATGCATTTGCTTATACAATGAAAAACTGTGTGATAACTAAGGTGCCTTCAAGTGTATTTCAATAATATGGTTTCCTATGCAGGTGGCTGGCCTGATGGTAACAAATGTAAAGACTGGACCAGCTCTTACATCACTGGCAATGTCCCGGGAGGCCTTGGCAGCCACAATAGGAATGGCATCACTTCTCAAGTCGTAGCCCTCTTTCTTGGCTTCTTCCATTGCTTGGCGATAAAGGCTCTGAGGAAGGAAGTAGTAAACTTTAGATATAGTACCTACTTTTATTTTGAAAAATCATTGTATCAAAGATGCAGAAATGTACTGGTACATTCAGTCAGGTTTTAAAATATCTGCTAGTAGATTCAGTTTTGGCAAAAAATTAGAAACCACTGAATGTTTTAGTGGAAAAACAATAACGACCTACAACTCTTTAAGGCATTATCTTTTCTCCATATTGCTCAGCATATATTAAATTGTTTGAGACTCAAAAGACAAATTCTCACATGTAAAGAAAACCCTTTAGAAGTGTAGCAGAAATAGTGAAGTCAAATTGCTTTATTATTGTGCCCCATTCTCCAATTATACCGAATTAAGAACGCTGGAATAATATCTGAACTTTAAATATGATTGTAGAGGTACTTAACTCTTAAGAGACATTATTGTGTGGTTTTAATATGGTTTATTGAACATATGACAACCTTCATTCTTTTCAAGGTGAAGTTTTGTAAGGAAAAGCCAAAGTAAAAATACATTTTAAAAAGTTGAGATAAATCCTGCAAGCATTTGTTATTTAAAAATTTAGAAATGTTTGTTTTGTAACTGGGCAGTCATTTACTTTATTACATTTAGCCTTTGACAAATAAATGCTCAAATTTTCTTCAGGTGTGTGATGAAATGTATCAGAATCATCTCATGACTCAGGGTCAACCAAAAAGATTTCTTTCATTCTCCCAACATGTGAAAAAGATGCAGGGCTTCAAAGAAGAGATAATTTTAGTTATTGTCAAGGCTACATTTTAAAGCTTACTTGGTAAGTTATTTACTCAAAAGAACTGGCACAGGTAAGTGAAGATTTAAGAGGAAAAAAATAAGATGTTGTTTTGTTTACATTTTTTGAGCTAAATATGGACTAACGTTACTAATGGTAAAGAGTTGAAAAGAAACAACTGGGTCATTATGAAGTACAGTTTCCAGAAGACAGTTCTTTGACAATGCACATAATCACGTAGTTTTAAATAAAGTAAATTCAGCTGGTAATTTTAGAATTAAAAAAATAGCCCAATTTCCTCTCAACACTCTGAAAAGAAAATCCACCTCATCTGATCTGATTTTAACAAAAGAGATGTAAAAGCTTCACTACAGTTTGATAGAGAAAGTAACTTTATCTACTTGGGATGAGACAGACCACCTGGGAAAGCTAACCAAATAGAAAAACTCTGGCCACAAGAAAAACTGCTTATTCAAAAATAGCTGAGACCAAGGTCAATCAAATACTTTTGATCTGGTTTGTTCTTGAATCTGCTTTGTAATGCTAGAGAGAAAAATCATTTGCCATGGTTATTTGATATAAACATGATTCCTTTTTTAGGACTATACTACTAAAAGTAAAAGTAATTAATGTGTATTAAATAATGAATATTGTCAAATGAAAATGACTACTTATAATTTCTAGTATTCTCAAACTAAAGAAAAATCTGTTCTCATATTTTTTGCTGAAAAACACAGATATTTAAAAAAAAACAGTGATCTTGAATAAACCAGATAATTCTTGAACAATTAGGCAAGAAGCTATTTCTGTATCATTATCTCTAGACCACAAAGTTATGTGGTGACAAGTTTGGTAAAAAAATGGAGATAGTCCATGAAAAAAATGTATTTCATCATCCTCAGACAATTTTGAAATGGAGGAACTTAAGAATATCATTTCAGTTCTTATAAATAAGCTTCAAGTTATTTTGAGACTGTTAAGTAAATCTAATTTTTATGGTGACTTATGTGTAAAGAGAAGAAGTTAAAATTGACTAAGAAATTCTTTTGCATGAGGCTTCATTTTATATATATATATACTGGACATTTTATATATACTAACTCATTTTATATTTACTGTGCATACTGGACTTTTTTTTATATATACTAACTCATGTTGTCATTATAGAAGTTCAAGTAGGAAATTCTGTCCTGTTTTACAGCTGATGTAAATAAAGAAACCAACTCATAGAAGCAAGTGCTATTCTGATAATTATTTTTTAATTAAAACCACAATATGTTTCAATCTCTGATAGTTGAGATTAAGGATTTGCACCCTGAACATATATAAATGTTTATCTTATATAGATATATAATATTCAAAAGTACATACATGTATCTATCTTTTTAATATAACAATACATCTATTCATGGTAGAATATGTACATTAGAAAAAAAACAAACATACTGGTACACATGACATTTGTATTACATCAGCAAAAAATCAGTATGGCCAGATAAAGAAGTAAAACAAATAATCTTACCTCACTATAATTTATTTTATTTTGCCTTGCCAACATAATTTCAGGAGTATCAGGCATGATGTGGATTTGTGTCTTGTCTTTGTCCCAGGCTTCTGTGTATAAGCGCTGTAGAGATGAAAGGTTCATGAGTTATGAAAACAAAGGGTGTTGTATACTGGAGTTTCCCTTTAAGAGATCATGACAAAGGTAAATGCTGGTCTCCTTGCTATCTGTGTTTGTGCTGCAATGATACTCTTCAGTATCATTGATATGACAGGATTTTTTTTATCAGTAATTATAAGTGTAAACTGTTATGAAAAATAAAATGTGCACGCATGCTTCATTATAGATCACATCCATCCCAATTAAATTAAAAGCAAGTATTTTCTCAGCAGATAGCATAAGCATTGGTAGTATAGAGGTTAGCAAAGCCACCTTCCAAAGTAGACACATCCATGTGTACTGCTGGATATATTAACAAATCTTTTCCCATTTTTTTTAACTGATTGCAGATCAGATATGCCATCTCCATATTTCTTTTTAATCAATATTATGGAGTTTAGCACCTGACTTGCTTTATACTTAACTAAATAAGTATAGCCAGTAAATAAGAAGCCTTGAGGCCCTCCTTGGTGACGCAGCAGGTTAAAGCACTGCACTGAGAAGCCAAAGCCACTTCCACATGAGTTCGATTCATGCCTGCCCCAGAGGTGACCACATGATGTGGCAGACCTCTCCTGACCCGCCCGCTGCTCCCCTCAGCAGTGTACTTTGTAGATCTGCCTGTTCTGCTCCCCACTCTGTCTCTGGTGAAGCCTCTCACTGCCCCTGAGCCTCTGGCTCAGTTCTGTATGTACAAATAAATAAATCTTTAAAAAAAAAGAAGCCTTGATATGATACCAGGTGTGACTACTCATAGACTTTTAACACCAAGCAGCTATACTACACTTATCTTTGGTCATTTCACAAAAGATGTCAAAGCAGCAATTCTCACATATACTTTTTTATTATTCTAATGTAAGTGAATAGATACCAAATCATTTTCTAGAGGATGACAATTAAATAAAACAAAGAAGACTTAATCATAGATATTCTCTTGTTATTCCTTCCAGTTTGGGGCTCACCTTGTTCATGGTGATGGCATTGTTCTTGGCTAGCACCTGTTCCAGGGAATCAGTCACACTGGTAAATTTCAGCTTGTCTGGGGACTGGCGGTAGAGGTTGTCACTCAGTATCTCTGCAGCTCTCTTGCATTTGACCTGCTCCAGAGACCCGAGGGGGACCCAGCCAATGCCTTTTAGCCACTGGAGGTCTGATTTATAGACATTCTGGTAAGATCAAAATTAAAGAAAGTATTACTGAAGCTGCTGAGACTTGATTTTAAAAGTGAAAAAAAAAAATAACATCGGAGACTTGGGTAGCCAAACGTCACAGCTATGTCCTTTAACACATGAATATCAAGTTAGAAATACCCCCATGGTATTATGTTCATTCTAAAAGAAAAGTCAACACAATGAAAAAGGGGTGGAGAGAAGAAATCCTTTATGAGCGCTCTACCCAGACCTGTTACCTATTATCACTATTTATTGTTATAAGTGTGATCACTAGTGATAGTAGTCACTCAGTACTCACGTCACTCTGGAGGTCATAGGCCTGTCGAGCATGGATGACATCATTCTGGTCAGGCAGGCACGTCCACTGGTGTAGATAGTTCTTATAGTCCACATCACTGACTAAGGTCTGGCACTTCTTGGCCAGCACCACTCCCAGCATGTCCACTGGGCTGGAATACTTGGTTTTCCACTTCTCAAAGTCCTTCTTGTACTCCCTGTCACTCTGGATCTTGGCCACATGCATGGACCACATCATCTTGGGGTCATCCTTAATGTCCCGGGCCCCGATGTGATGGCCCAGCTGCTTGCGGTAACCATCTTTGTACTTGTACTGAAATAAAAGTGTTCATTTTAAACAAATGAATGGAAAAGGCTAAAAGTCTTAGTTATTAAAGTTTTAGTATTTTTAAATTTTCAATTATTGCAGAGAAACGGAATCTTCTGAATATTAACTTAAGTTCTCATTCTAAATGCTGATTAGACTTCACAGCAATATTCCAGTGGGAAGACTGGCCAAACTACATAGTTGTATGGCATTCAGACATCAAGTCTCTGAAAGTAAAGGCAGCAACACGTTTTAGTAAAACAAAATTGTATACTGCCTTTTTTTTATTTTGGACCAATGAAATCAATGTTTTGACAATAAACGACATAATTTTGAGGATGATATATCTAAGTCCACAGGTATCATTTCATTCCCCAGCATACCCTACATGCCTCCCAAATCTGCCTTGCTGACTTTTCACTGGGTCATACGAGTCCCTGAAGTGGGCTAGCTTGTGTTTTCCATCCTGTGTTTTCAGCAATGTCAGAGGTCATGTTTGTCTGAGGGTTGTTGGGATTCCTCACATGAAAAAAGTGTTTTGGTAGCAGTGGTAAGTGTTGACTCCAGATGGGTTTTCTCTAATTTAGACACATTACACACAACCCAACCATGCATTTTTGGAAGCTGGAGTCTCTACCATAGGATCCACTTTTTTCAGACACAGTGGAAAGAGGAATCAGTTTCATTGTTATTAATTGTCATTGTTTGTTTTTGTTTTTCTGTTTTCATTTACAACAAGAAGCATTTTAGTTATTTTTTCAAAGAAAGAACTGGTAAAATTCCAGTGCAGATTTGGGGAAAGGTTTATTTTCCTAGATCTGACTGTACGAGATCATTTTCTGATGTTAAACAAAGTTATTATTTAATCTCTTCTGGAATTTTCTTTTTTCTGTGAGGGCTATGTCCTTAAAATATGGAGATGAACTTCTAATAACTACAGTCATGAAGAATTATAGAATTACAGATTCAAATTCAATGTTACACTGAAGTTTATGATGTCTTCTCTGCCTTTAGGGTCCTTTTAAAGTCCTTTTCAGTTAAAAATATGCAAAAGCTTTTTTAAGTGAAAAACATTTCTTTCATTTAGAGAAATAATCCGATCGATAAATGTGCTTCAACTGGCATCCTGGTGAATCTTCCTGTTGCAATAATGTTACTTCCCCATTACTCCCAGGCACATAAATATGTAGCGGGCTTGCTGCTACTCACATCACTGGCAATATCCCGGGAGGCCTTAGCAGCCACGATTGGAATAGCATCGCTTCTCAAGTCATAGCCTTTCTTCTTCGCTTCTTCATTAGCAAGTTTATACAGACTCTATAGAAAAAAAGCCAGAATTAAAGTAAAAGTTTTGACAGAAACAATTTGGAGATCAGAAAATCACATACTATATATTTTTAAGGACTAGAAACTGGAAACTAAATTTCTAGCTATATTGGAAAACAAATGCATTATAATATATTCTACAAAAATGTGCTATTTAGCATTAGAAAAAATGAGATCTAGCAATAAACATCAGTGTAGATTGCCAGGTTATTGTAGATTTATATCATATATATAGAAATATAATATGTATATCAATATAGATAAGCATACCTATTAATATAGATTAATAAACAATTCACACATATTTCTAAGTGAAAATAAATGAAACTGTAGAGCAATATATTTAATATTATTTATTTGTATGTAAAATATAAAGGCTTTTATTCATTTATTATATGAAATATATGGCAATCATCTAATTTTTATGTTTAAAAAAATGAGAAAAGTAGAATTTGAAACATAGTTATCTTGACTAAATCACAACATAAGCCTCTACATGTGACTGCATCATTTTGTAAAACACATTATACAATTGCATTTTATTTTTAAAATAATATGTATGTAGTATTATTAGCTGGGAATATCTGTTTTTTATACTTGAAGTTTTCTTTCTATAAAAGGGGCCCAATTATTTTAAGTCTGGTCCTTTCTTTTCTCTGCCACTTCATATTCTGTCCCTGAACAGATGCAGTGATTTCCTGATTTACCCCACTGGTAGGGATGGGATAACTGGGCATGCTCTGTTCAGCTCTGCTCTGTTCCTTCTAGACCAAACCCAGTGCCTCCTCTGTTTCTCCAGGCTTTAAGGGCCACTTCACCTCCAATGCAAACTGTGCTGGATTCAGTTAGGTTCAGAACCTCATTTTGGGATCCAGTTAAGTTCATAACCTAAGTCTAGAGTCCATTTAGCTCTCATACAAAAGTGTTCTTTAATCTAATGTTAAGTAGTAGAAAATTTTGACTTCTATTTCTCCTCCTTTGTTGAACTTTTAAAGTTTATTCAGAATCCAAGTGGGAATAGGTCCATGTTACTAGAGAATCGCTTAAAGGGTTGTCAGATTTAGCGAAGAATAATATAACATACCTACTTGAACCTGAATCTCGGGTTCAAACAACAAACAACAAATAAAAGATTTAGTATGTAATAACAAAGAGCCAGTATCTTACCTGGCATCATTTTCTCTAGGAAAGGTCAAAAATACTACTCAGTTTTGGCCCTCCCTGGTGGCGCAGTGGGTTAAAGCACAGCACTAAGAAACTAAAGCCACTTCAAGATGAGTTCAATTGCTACCTCGGAGATGATCCACATGGCATTGCAGACCTCTCGTGACCTGCCCGCTGCTCCCCTCAGCAGTGTACTTCATCAGTCCACCTGTTCTGCTCCCCACTCTGTCTCTCGTGAATCACCACCCCTGCATCTCTGGCCTGTATACTCCAGTTCTATATGCATAAATAAATCTTTTTAAAAAATACTACTCAGTTCTATTGACTCACACTGGCAATGACAATAAGTTGAAAATAATGTTACTGCAGTTTGCCCATGGAATTTAAAAGAATATAATACTCAACCCAGAAATGAAAGTTAGGATACACTGACAACTGAGACTTGAGAATTTCCATGAAAGTTCAGAAAAACAAGCAACAACAAAAGCAAAATATCACAGATCTTTGTCCATACCTCACTGTAGTTAAGTTTGTTCTGCCTTGCCAACATGATTTCTGGGGTATCAGGCATTATATGAATTTGAGTCTTGTCTTTGTCCCAGGCCTCGGTGTATAAACGCTATGAAAGAAGATGTTGATAGAAAACCACTTTAATTAGGCATTACAAAATTTCAAATTAAAAAGGATTACTACTGATCTAATTAGGTAAAATTTTAATAGGCAAAGTATTCAACATAGGTTCAGTCTTAATGCTAGTTATCAAAATTAGAACAGGGAATAATAAAAATTATTTAAAGGATTTCAAATATCTAATTTAAGAGGTACTTTTGTGGAACATTTTAACTCCACCAGTCAATCAAATTATAATGACATCTTTCAGCATTTTGGAGGAGCTAGTGGCAGCCAGGGGCTCACCTTGTTCATGGTGATGGCATTGTTCTTGGCCAGCACCTGCTCCAGGGAATCAGTCACACTGGTAAATTTCAGCTTGTCTGGGGACTGGCGGTAGAGGTTGTCACTCAGTATCTCTGCAGCTCTCTTGCATTTGACCTGCTCCAGAGACCCGATGGGGACCCAGCCAATGCCTTTCAGCCACTGGAGATCAGACTTATATACATTCTGTGAAGAGTTTAAAGACAGAAATTCCTCAGCAAGAACAAAAGCGCTAGGGTAAAGATGTAAATGGAATCAGTAATGATGTACAATTGTAGTTGTTTTTGTTTTTTATAGAAAACAAGTTCACTGTATTGGAATGCAGTGAATATCACAATAGAGGACTCTAGAAACATCTCCTAGACATAACAAAAAGTGGTCCTATGTTTTAGGTGGTTAGCAGAGAAGCATTCCAAGTGAGTATCTTCTGTCCATAAGTACAGTAAAGGTTATAATGTCTGTGTGTACAAGAAAAGACTGTCAATTCAGTGTGAGACAAAGAAAGAATCACATATGTGCCAACAGCAGCTTATCTAAGCCTCATCAAATGAAATACTCAGGAGCTTCTAATGTTAGATTTTAAAGGGTACTGATGATATACAGAAATTTCATTAATATACTATTAGGTGAAAATAGCACATAAAACAATGCGTGTAGATAAATACACGCATGAACTGCAGTGGGATTTTTAGTGGTTGGATTATTATTGCCCTATATGTATTTTTTTATATTTTAAAAAAAATCTGTAGTATTTTTTAAAATGAGGACCAGAATTAAAATATAACAAGGACGTAGAACCCTGAAGTCCTGAAATGGAACTCTGATGGCTTTAACACTGTCTACTGTTCAGGGCAGTAAGTGAGCATTTTATTGGTCCAGGGGTCCTGTTTCTTCCCCCACCAAATTCCTAGGACAGGAAGTAGGGACTCCCTTACAGAATCATCTTTTCATATCGTTATTCCTTAGTTTTTACTTTATTTTAAATCTTTATCTTCACCTTTCTGCTACAGATTTTTGTGTATGCATTAAGTACTCATAACTGGAATTAGACATTTGCTCTGTTTTTTGTAGGTTTCCTCCTCTAACAGCAACTAATAGAAAATATAAGCTGACATTCTGCAGTCTGGACAAAGTCTTGTGGTTGTTCTATGTTGAGTAGCTATTGCCCCTTAAATAGGAAAAATAAAAACCTGCCACTTATTTTAAAATGTTCCCCACATAATTTAAACATACTTGTGAAAGAGGCCATCTAAAAATGACACTCAGCACATAGACAGATGAAGGCAGTCTATCAATTCTGTCTCTCTATGCATGACATTAACTGTTTTCTGCTACCTTTTATGTACAGTCAAGGTCTTTGTTTTTGGAGAGAATTGCAAAACTCAGAAGTTCTGTTTGTTCACAGCTATAGGATAGAAGTGGAAGTTTTCAAGGGGTGGGCTGAAAATTTCTAGGAACAGACAATGTATAATTATTATTAATTTGCTATATTCTCCTAAGTCCTCTAGTGCAAAATAATCCATTCACACATGTATAAATATGTGTTGAAGGAATGTACTTATTATACACAGATTTGAGATGATGCATCTACTCTGCTTCTAATAGAAAACTGGGTTCTATTAAGACAGCTGTATTGTGGAGAAAGTCAGTGAAACCATCCAAAAGCTTATTGACACAGTGACTACTTTCAATTCATGAAAAAATAATAATTTGTAGTGAAGCAGGCATCTGTATTCTATTAGAATTATAACCATATTGCAGTTGCAAGGAAGCTAAAAATCAATTTCAGACTAATTTTTAAAAAGTGCTCTCTTTTCCCCTTAAAAGAATGAAAGAAAATGTCTCCCTCTGGTGGACCCTGATTTCCAACATTGCTTAATTGTAGTTATATTTTTATAAAATCAAGTCTAAACTGTAAATTTCATTTGCTTAAAAAGCTTATTGACATATTCACAACAAAGCAATAAAAGTATACTCACTAACCAATAAATTCTAACTTCAGTAGGCCAATGGATTATATATAAAGGATAACTTTTACATAGCTTAAATTATTTCTGCACTCAGCTCTATTATAGATGCTAAACTCACGTCACTCTGGAGGTCATAGGCCTGCCGAGCGTGGATGACGTCATTCTGGTCAGGCAGGCACGTCCATTGGTGCAGGTAGTTCTTGTAGTCCACATCACTGACTAAGGTCTGGCACTTCTTGGCCAGCACCACTCCCAGCATGTCCACTGGACTGGAATACTTGGTTTTCCACTTCTCAAAATCCTTCTTGTACTCCCTGTCACTCTGGATCTTGGCCACATGCATGGACCACATCATCTTGGGGTCGTCCTTAATGTCCCGGGCCCCGATGTGATGGCCCAGCTGCTTGCGGTAACCATCTTTGTATTTGTACTAAGATGAAAATGCACAAATCAGGTTTCTATCGTAAGTCCTTAAAGGCCACAAGTCTGTACCAAATCATCTTGTTTATCCCACAATTTTAAGTTAACTATTGCAAATGAGCACTAACTCAAGCTGGTATCCTGATCTTTGCCCTAAAAGCTTTATAGAGCCATTAAAATAGATAGAATATGTGTAATTGTAGTTATTCCCCAACTCACCTGTAGTGTGGTAATAAGGAAAAGCTCTAAAAGGCAGGAAGTGTACACAGTGGAGAGAGGTCAACTGTGGAAGTGGAAGTGAGGTTATTTGACAGGGAACTTGGGAAAAGGGACCTAATTTGCTAAAAGCATGTTGGAAAAGATATGCACTTTGTGATATGGTGTGTTTTATCATTGATAAATGAGTATCTAATTCCTGTAAGATGAAGTACTTTAGGTCAGAGCTACCTGCATAGCAACAGAAGAGAATTCATTATTTTGAATAAATTGATGCATTCAGTGATAGTGGTCAGTTTTGGGCATCATTTGAAAACAAATCACACTAGGGATTCTGATGCAGAGGTCCAAATGACTAGAGCAAGCTCCTAATAGAGTCGTTGGTTCTAGTCCTTCATGTGCCAATAATATTTTCTTTATCCTATGTCCAATGACCTCCTCCTGGAATTTGAGCCAACTTTCCAAAATAAATGTTTGCAATCTCAAAGAGAACTGAGTGAGAGTAAAGATGTGCCAACAGAAGGCAGTACAGTAGAGTGTGAAGGAATGAGGATGTCTGAAATTTCAACTCCACTACCCACCGACAATTGGATTTCAGACAAGTTGCTTATAAATGTACAAAATAGAAATAATAATATTTACATCCTAGAATAATTATGAAGAATGCATGTAAAGCTATTAACACACACAGTTCCCAATACATCATATTATTAGCATAAATCCATTTGGGGGAAAGGCTCAATACATAAGCTAAACTGATCACTACCATGATTCTCCAGTACAAAGGACATAGTCCAAAGTCCAAAGTCCTGCGTAGTGGTCCTTGATATTCAGTGTAGTGGTCTGTTCCCAAGAATCCCAAGGCACCATGAAAGGATGTGGTTTTATTCTGGGAGGTAGGTGCTACACAGCCAGGAGCTAAGGGTAAAGGTTTGAGCTACCTTCTTTTCAGAATCTTACAGGGATGAATTGTCATGGAATGTGTCATATACATTTTTGAATGCTGTGTATTAAAGTTCTACATAAAGCCAGGCCATGTTTCTCACTGGGGAAACTCATGTGAGTTACTTTTGTATAAGCTCTGTGATAATTTTTATATGAGCATCTTTATATCTACAGCTGCACACTAACAATTTCCACATGAAGGTATTTTTGTCTATTCTTCGTGGGTTTGTTTTCACTAAAGATACTACACTCTTAAGGTGATAAATTCCCTTTTATGAACATCAAAATTGTCATTTCTCTCCAAATTAGGTTTTAAAACTTCCACCCAAATACACCAGGTAATATTTTCAAAGGACCAGGACAGCACATTTTTTTGTCTGTTGTAACAATTCAGTTTAATGAAAATGTCATTTCTTACTGATACCATATTCAGAATAAAGATGATAACTCACATCACTGGCGATGTCCCGGGAGGCCTTGGCAGCCACGATTGGGATCGCATCACTTCTCAAGTCATAGCCTTTCTTCTTTGCTTCTTCATTGGCAAGTTTATATAGACTCTGAATTTAAGCAAAGAATAAATCAGTTAGATGTTGACTTTCATATCCAAATCTTCAGGGGACTGAAATAATTCACTAAGTTCTACACAGTGCAGTTCCTATAATACTCTCACTGTTAAGAGTTTTAAATCTGCACTTTTCTTTTGCTGACGTTGAGATCTATACAGTGATACCAATACAGAAAGTTGCACCATTGTTTGTTTGTTTGTTTTTAAAGATTTATTTATTTGTTCATATAGAACTGGGGTACAGGCCAGGGGCTCAGGGGTGGCGAGAGGCTTCACTAAAGACAGAGTGGGGAGCAGAACAGACAGATCGATGAAGTACACTGCTGAGGGGAGCAGCAGGCGGGTCAGGAGAGATCTGCTATGCCATGTGGTCACCTCTGGGGCAGGCGGGAATCGAACTCATGCTGAAGTGGCTTGCTTCTTAGTGCTGTGCTTTAGCCTCCTTGTGCCACCACGGAGGGCCGCACCATTGTTTTTTACTTTAAAATTTGTTGCATTTATATTCAGACATTGTATGTTAATGTTAAAATTCTAAAAATGACTAGAAAACTTGAGCTGAATCTCATGGGCCTAAAGTGGCAAAATGTGGTTTGAAGAGAAAGACTTAACTGTTGATCATAGAAATCAGTTCAATCAACATTTATTCTGCTTTGCCCCTTGAATGTGCTGGGCCTGTATGAATCAAAGGTTCCACCACCAAGTTTTCTAATAGATGTGTTAGAAAGTATGGTAAGCTATGGAACTGCCTAAAATTCAGAGCATGAGAGGTGATTTAACTGTATTATTATTTTTAATGTCTTATTATTTTTTGTTTTTGCATAAAAATAGGTTAGAGACAGGTGGGGTAGAGAGAAGAAGACAGCTATTCTTGCACATAAAGTACATGCTTTCCTAAAACCATAGGGGACCTACACCACAAGCTTAGCTAAAAAGTAACTTTGATTTCAAAGTAGGATTTTAGATTTTAGAGTAGGACTTGATATTTGAGTGACAACTAAGAGTTAGTTATATAAGCACTAAATTATGGAGTGTACCCCCAAATTAAAATGACTTAATATAGCAGCTAAACCATCTAAAAATCTCTATTTTATATTCTGACTGAATATATAGTTAATTCATGCTGTAAAAGAAACAATATTTTGCTAGCCAGTAGCACAAAACTTGAAGAAATAAATAATACATCAGCTGACAATGTTTTAGATTCACAAATATTTCCACAGACTTAAACCAATAAGCTCAATCTAAGAAGAAATAAATATTAATCTTTGAACTGAGACTTAAATTGTCAAATGTATTAATGTAATAAGGGGAATTTAGCCTAACTCAGTCTTAGAACGTAAGGAGGTCTCAGGTTCCTTATGCACCCCTCAGCTGCAGTGTGCTGTTAGGCACAGCATGCAGAACAGAGGTCAAAGTCCTGAAGAGGAATTATAACTTTGTCCTACTCTGGTAGAATTCCTCACTCAATGTTTTGCTTAGTTCTAAGTCTCGCACTAGCATGGATGTCATGTGAGGATGCCCAAGAACTAGAATGTTTGGGGTGAGCTGTCAAGGAAGAACTATAGCAGTGGTGTGTCTGTCTCTGGAGGAGCACACACTGGTTCTGCCTACCTCAGACAATTATCAACATATGGGTCTGCAGAGAGAGCTGTGGCTCAAAAGAGCAGAAGTACTTTCTAAAGGAATTTTCCAAAACAAATAAGTTTGTTTGCTGAGAACACTTAGGCAAGATGGTAATTTGTTGGGTGTGGACTTCTGTACTAGAGGAGAGACTGATCTCTCCGACTAAACATCTCTACTTCTGAAACGGGGGCACATGGTTCTAGGCTCCTAGAAAGTGAAAAGAAAATAAACTTACTAATATATGCGCTGACAGAATTCTCTATTTCTCTCTCTCAGTGCTATTTAATAATACTGATTTTTGTCTTCTTAGTTTAATATATAAATCTAAAATTACAACCAGTTTTAAACTATACTTAGCAATATTAAATCATCTATGGAAAATATATTTAGCACAGATATGTAGCATAAAGAGAAAATAAATGTACATTTGGTACATTTATAAATTAATTGCTTACAAATTAATAAGGTCTATTTAATTTTATAACTACTACTTAAATCACTACTTCTTACAATTCACACTTCCTAAATGATCATTTCTATTACTCACTGTGTGATGCTTAAGATGGTGATTATGAAATATAAGGGTGGGAATTTATGTGGAGCAAGGGTAGAGATATTTTATAAAGTGGTCACTTAATATTATATCACCCTGAGACAGATTGTTTGAAATGAGAAACAGCATACAAATAGCATGGAATTAGTATTTGCTCCTACCTCACTGTAGTTGAGTTTGTTCATTCTTGCCAGCATAATTTCTGGTGTGTCTGGCATGATGTGGACCTGGGTCTTGTCTTTGTCCCAGGCTTCAGTATATAAGCGCTATCAAAGGAAAAATGTAAAGTTAGGAAAAATGTCATCATTTATTGCATAAGTAATAGAAATCATAAACAAAAATAACAAAGTTGTAAGTTTTATACACATTATATATTTTATATACATATTCAAGTCATCAGTTCGTAATAAAGAAATGGCCTATTATGTTCTAATATATATTAATGATTAAAAGGAGGTTGCGAAGACCACAAACATAATTTTTCCATAACATTATGCCATTTTATCAAAACCATGACACAATTAATAAAGTCAATATAAAATGTAAAACATATATATCAGTGATAATAAACAGATAGCTTTTGTTCTAGAATGCTCTATTCCTTCTCTCAATCATGATTTTTTTTTTTTTTTGCTTTGATTCAGTTTTAAGTCAAGGTTCCTTGAATTTTAAAACCTCACCTTGTTCATGGTGATGGCGTTATTCTTGGCCAACACTTGTTCCAGAGAATCAGTCACACTGGTAAATTTAAATTTGTCTGGAGACTGGCGATAGATTTTTTCACTCAAAATTTCAGTTGCCCTTTTGCATTTTTCTACATCCAAAGAGCCGATGGGAACCCAGCCAATGCCTCTCAACCACTGGAGATCTGACTTGTACAAATTCTGTTGACATAAACAGTAAATATTTATTTGTGCACTGGGAAAACAATTCAACTAAAGCATACAAAATAAAGTAAAAGCCCTCTTGAAAGTGCAGGCATCACTGCTTTTCTAGTTATGCCACATTGCTTTTATGAAAGCAATTTTCATTAACCAAAGGAAATACAGAGAGGATAGACAGTCCCTTTGACAACATAAACCAAAAAGCAAACCTGGTATTTGGTGACTGTTTTGCAGTAGCCATAAAAGAGGCAGCAGCTTTCAAGCCGTGAGGGTGGCCCTGCCCAGCCCCTTCCCAAAACTACTTTATATAGGCTGCATACATATCATAGCTTCCTGCTTTTAATATACATTAGTTTTATTTAGTTTTTAGGTGTTGTTTGGTATGATTTGGTAGGTTATTTCTGTGTGGCTGGGAATGTTTTAAAAATTTCTGTATATAAAATTAACAGTAATTGCTCATTCGCTTTATACCATTTCAACTTATAAAAGGTTTTATAGGAATACTCTACTTTGGGGTAGCAGGGTACAAGTGTTTTAGTGGACAGGCAGGACATCAGACAATATTCCTTTTGAGCTTAAAAGGTTAAAAGATTAACACTCACAAGGAAGACCCCAAGGTCATTTCCCCTCTGGCAGGGGCTGGTGAGTTTGCTGCAACCTAGTGCTTCTGTCTCTAAGACATATTAATTTCACTGATTTCCCACCTTTGTATAATATGATTCTCAGTACTCACGTCACTCTGGAGGTCATAGGCCTGCCGAGCGTGGATGACGTCATTCTGATCAGGCAGGCACGTCCACTGGTGCAGGTAGTTCTTGTAGTCCACATCACTGACTAAGGTCTGGCACTTCTTGGCCAGCACCACTCCCAGCATGTCCACTGGGCTGCTATACCTGGTCTTCCACTTCTCAAAGTCTTTCTTGTACTCCCTGTCACTCTGGATCTTGGCCACGTGCATGGACCACATCATCTTGGGGTCATCATGTATCGCCCTGGCACCGATGTGGTGGCCAAGCTGCTTACGATAACCTTCTTTATATTTGAACTAGAAAATGAAAAAGGCACAGTCACTATTTTAGCATTTAGTTCAAAGTAACTACTAGGGGCCTCCCTGGTGACCTAAGGGTTAAGTCTCAGTGCTATCACTTCTACAGCCTGAATTCAATCCCTGGCCAAAGAGTTAACTCACATATAGCACAGCAGCCCTCTCCTGTCTTGCCTGCTGCTTCTCTTAGCAGTATGTTTCAGAAGATCTATCTGGTCTGTTCCCCACTATGTCTCCAGTGAACCCTTTTACCTCTGTAACTGTGGCCTACACCCTAGTTCTTTTATGTTAAAAAAAAAAAAAAGTAACTGCTAATGTCACATTTTCCTATCCATTAAAAATGTAATGATTTTTCTGGAAATATATAAATATATGCTTTTTATAAACCATTCAGGAAAAAAAGCATATATATGTGAAAATAAAAATTAAGACATGATTCCGCTACTCAGTGATAACTATTGATTAAATTGCATGCTTACTATCTTCCTCTCTCTACAATAGAGAGAAAATAAGAGTAATAGTTTAGCTAAAGTTAATAATTTTAAGCTTATAGCTTACCTACTATATATCCAGGAGAGAAAAAGAAATCTTTGAGCCAAAGTTTAGGCAAAGAATGTTCCAATACACTCACCTCACTTGCTATGTCTCTGGAGGCCTTGGCTGCCCTGATGGGAATGGCATCTAGCCTCATGTCATAGCCTTTCTTCTTGGCTTCTTCTAAACCAAGTTTATATATTTTCTGAAACAGACATAAATCAACATCACTTTGATTGGCAAAGGACATTGTAAGGAAAATATTCTATGCATCATGAATATATTGCTCACCTCACTGTAATTTATTTTGTTTTGTTTAGCTAGTACCACTTCAGGAGTGTCTGGCATAATGTGGACAGTGGTTTTATCCTTATCCCAAGCTTCTGTATAGAGGCGCTGAAACAAATAAGAAATATGTCATTAGCACAGGCCAGTAATACAGACACATAATGAATAACCTTTTAAGTAAACAAAGGCCTTACATGATTCATAGTAATGGCATTGTTTTTTGCCAAAACCATTGGGATGGAGTCCATAAGGCTGGAAAACTTCAATTTATCTGGGTGCTGACGGTAAATATGGTCACTTAAAATCTGGGTAGCTCTCTTGTTCTTCTCATCCTCAAGAGAACCACTAGGCATCCAGCCAATGCCTTTTAGCCACTGAAGGTCAGCCTTGTACAAATTCTGAAATGCAAGTGACAAACCACTAAATATAAGCATAATGTTATGCCACTAAAGAAATAAAAGTTTACATTATAGAGTATATCTTAATGCTTGAATTCTTAGAAAATATAAAATTTTTGGTATGTCTTGCTAATCAACAATATTCAGGTTACAAGCATATTTTGAAAATTTTTAAATAACAGAAATGTTGAAAAAACACGTAATAAAGGACAATCCATATATAGAATAAAATACAGGCAAAACACTACATGACAAACATCTTAGTGACATCTTTAAAGACATATCACCTAAAGCAAAGAAAGTAAAGGAAAAGATGTATAGCTGGGACTACATCAAATTAAAGAGCTTCTGTACAGCAAAAGAGAGACATCAATTAAAACAAATAACACCCCTCTGGGAGAAAATTTCTGCACTCCATATAACTCATTCCATATAACTGATAAAAGGATTGATAACAAAGATCTACAAAGAATTCACATAAAAACAAAGTAAACAGTCAAAAAGTGTGTAGATGAAGAAAGAAAAAGAAAAATACCGATGGCTTCAATTATAGGAGAAGTGTAAAGGATCATGAAAAAGAAAGCAATTATAATAAAATAAGAACTAAAATCAACAAACAACTATAAACCAGAGATATTTTATGTGGGGGAAAGGGGAATAGGATCAAAACAGAGGTGGGAAGATCACAAGGGACTATGGTGATGGCACACAGGTGAAATGGTGGTGGAAATTCTACAAGTGATACAACCAAGATGAAAAAGCATACATTGTACAAAAATGAAAAGTGATTAAAATAAATAAATAAATAAAGTGGGTAGAAGAACTTAAAAAACTTATCTGGCCCTCCCTGGTGGCGCAGCAGGTTAAAGCACTGCACTGAGAAGCTAAAGCCACTTCCGCATGAGTTCGATTCCGGCCTGCCCGCAGGTGACCACATGGTGTGGCAGACCTCTCCTGACCCGCCCGCTGCTCCCCTCAGCAGTGTACTTCGTTGATCTGCCTGTTCTGTTCCCCACTTTGTCTCTGATGAAGCCTTTTGCCGCCCCTAAGCTTCTGGCCTGTACCCCAGTTCTGTATGCACAAATAAATAAAAATAAATCTTTAAAAAAAAAAAACTTATCTGAGGAGGAAATGCAAATGGCCAATGGGCATAAGAAAAAAATGTTAAACATCCTCATAATCAGAGAAATGCAAATTAAAACCACAGTGAGATACCACATTACACCACTAGGATGATACATATTGAAAACTAGCAGCTACAAATGTTGGCAAGGGTGTGGTGAAAAAGGAACTGTCCTATACTTCTGGTGGAAATGCAAACTGATCCAACCACTATGGAAAGTTATATGGAGGTTCCTTAGTCTACTGAAAATGGAGATACCATTTGAGCCAGCAATTCCACTCCTAGGGCTCTACCCACAGGATACAAAAACACCAATTCCAAAGAATACATGCACCCCCATGTTTACCGCAGCACTATTTAGAACAGGTAAGATTTGGAAAAAACTCAAATACACAAAAACATGTGAGTGTCAAGAAAATGTGGTATATATACACAATGGGTTAACTATTCAGCAATCAAAAAAGATAAATTAAGACCATTGACAGTAACATGGATGGAACTTGAAGGGATTAAACTCAGTGAAATAAGTCAGATGGAAAAAGAAAAATAACAGATGGTTTCACTTACAGGAGGAATACAGGGGAATTAGTGGTGGGGGAGAAACAACAAAACAATAAAATAAACAGACAACTATAAATCAGAGACATTCTGCACAGGAAGTGGAGAGGAAGGGATCAAAATTAGGGCAAGAAGAGCACAAAGGACTATAGTGATAGGTGCATAAGTGAACTGATGGTGGAAATTCTATGGGGACTACATGAGAAAAGAATGCAAACATTGTAAGGGGAAAAAATTAGCTTATTGTGGAATAGTGCTTTTAGGACTTTGGGTGGTTGGACAAAGCATTAGTCCAGGAAAGTAAAACTCAGTTGCATATACTCAATTTCCCTCACATTGTGGGGGAGAGGAGGAGTTTGATACTCAGAAAAGCAAACATGGTGCTTCGTTGGCCACTGGAAAATCTTAGACTCACATCACTCTGGAGGTCATAGGCCTGTCGAGCATGGATGACGTCATTCTGGTCAGGCAGGCACGTCCACTGGTGCAGGTAGTTCTTGTAGTCCACATCACTGACTAAGGTCTGGCACTTCTTGGCCAGCACCACTCCCAGCATGTCCACTGGGCTGTTGTACTTGGTCTTCCATTTCTCAAAGTCTTTCTTGTACTCCCTGTCACTTTGGATCTTAGCCACATGCATGGACCACATCATCTTGGGGTCGTCCTGAATGTCCCGGGCCCCAATGTGATGGCCCAGCTGCTTGCGAAAGCCTTCTTTATATTTATACTAGAGGAAAAAAAATATGTTTCATTCCTTTGAAGAATAACTTATATTAACATTCTTGTAGCAAAGCACATTAATTCTAAATATTCACTATGCCTAGAGAGCTACAGAATTAAGTTTTTTGGATAGGAAAATTTAAAGGCTAGATTCAGTTATAAATTCCATACATAAAGAAATGCATCCTTGAGCTTGTCTTCTTCCCACACTACAGTTCTGGAATAATTTCACTCTATTTTAATTTGTTATTCATTACATGATTTTGTTCAAAGTAATATTAAATTTAGACTTCTCTGAAGTGTTGTGTTTCAATCAAATTATATAAACAGGGAGTAAAGTCTTACTTCGCTGGCAATTTCACGGGATGCTTTGGCTGTTTTGATCGATATGGCATCAAGGGGAAGATCATAACCTTTTCTCTTCAACTCCTCATAACCCATTCGGTAGATTTTCTGTTAAGAGATGATCACTGTGAGTAAAACTGTTTTCCATAAACAACATCATAATGAATCCAACATGCTAAATATTTTAAGAGTCCTTGAAAATAGTATCTATGCCCTAGAATATTCAAATGTAATTGGAAATTATGCCTATTCATCGCTAATGATTCTGTTTTAAACTTTAAAGCTCTTTGATTACCTACATCAACAAAATGAAATGCCAATTCTTCACAAATACTAATGAGTTTGAAGCAGAAGTGAATTGTTTGAGAAATGAAATATCATTTAGATGTTGCTTTCCAATTAACTTCGGTTATTTCATTAGAAATTTTTGTTAGAAAAGTATAATGCTTTTCCATCTAACACCTCTATTAGGGAAAAATCATTCCTGATAGGCTTTCTCTTCTGTATAACTAACTAATGCATTGTGATATGGAGTCTATTACAGAATTTAGGGATCATCCAAAGTAGAATCCACATCTGTAGATAAGAAACAAAGTCCTATAAGCACTTAATCTATGACAAAGGGGCCAAGAGTATACATTAGAGAAAGGAAAGTCTCCTCAAAAAATGGTGCTGGGAAAAAATGGACAGTAAATATAAAAAATGGACTGCAATTACAATGATCTCAACAGATTACACTGTATAAGTTAGGTATAGAGAAGGGGCGCTCATTCTAGGTTTCTGTAGTTACATTCTATGACAACAGATTTCTTGGAAAATATATTTGTCATTAAGGGATATATAACACAAAGATATAGGTAGTAATGAACTACACAAATAGCACATGTCTCCAACTTTTCCTGAGACAGGTAGTGCCATGCTGTGATGTTTAAGAGTCACTGAATAAAAAACTTAAGTCATGTGCTGTTTATTAACTAAAATGATTCAGGTATCCCAAATTACTTTCAAATAAATTTACTGGTTCTGAAGCAATTAAAATAAATTTTCTGAAAAAAAAGTGGTGAATTTGGTAACTTACATCACTTGTATTGACTAAGTTTGCTTTAGCCAGCATAATGTCAGGTGTATCAGGCATGATGTGAATTTGAGTCTTATCCTTATCCCAAGCTTCTCTATAAAGTCTCTGAAAGAAAAAGAAGACTTTTTGAGCATTGTTTGTAAATGACATAGTTAACATCAAACAGGCTTAACTAAACTAATCTGAACTTAAGTAATAACGTTGATTGTATAAGCAGATAACATAAGCAGAAAACAGGTAGCGTTTATTGACTTATCTGGAACATAATTGCCTGTCCAAAATTTGATTATTGATTATTTCAAAATTAGAAATAACTATGCTTCTAAGAAATCAACCCATGTAATTAGATTCTTTGCTAATATCATCAAATGGAACAGTAATTCTCCATCTTTGGGGTTGTTAAAGTGCATCTCAGTATTTAATTGGGAGATAGCTCTTGCCTTCTCAAAAAATGACATATTTAAGATGCTTGCAAACGAGGGTGTCTCATTTCTACATACTTATTATTTGCAGTTATATCTTCTAAATATTGGAGAGGGAGTGTTAGGATTCCCAAAGCAATTTTTCATGGGAATTTATCAAAATCTTTTGTATGTTTTGGAGTGATTTCTTGTCTTCAAGAGAAGATGGGACTCAAACAAAAATCTCACTGAATTACTAAAATTAGGGAGTAAAATGCAATGAAAAATAAGATATTTACATTGTCAGAGAATCTCCCCACAAAACAATTTGATTGTGGAAAAGTATGATGACACTATTTTAATCAAGTGATCAAAGTTAAAATTATTGGTACTGGGACAAACTGATATCATGGGTCTCCTGATATGATAAATGGAGAAAGGTAAAACAAATATGATCCACCTAAAAATACAAAACCTGAATTTAATCATGAGGAAAAGTGAGACAGACCAAAACAGATTTTATAAAATAACTGGCCTATGCTGTTCACAAAGATTAATGACTTGAAGACAAACAGTAAGCAACAGTCCAGATTAAAGGAAACTAGAGACACGAAAAGTAAACTCAATATGTGATCTTGGATTGATCTTGGGTTAGAAAAAAAACTTTTAATTTTGTTACAAAGGATATTAGTGGTAAAACTGAATTCTGTAGAGCAATATTATTTCAACATTAATTAATTGAATCTGATCCTTATACTGTGGTATATAAGAAGAGATTCTTGTTTTCAGGAAACACACAATAAAGTATTCAGGGTAAAGTGGATTTGTAAAGCAACATATGTATGTATTTATACAACATATGAGCTATATATGCGATTTATACATATATAGGATAATATGCACTGAATCCTCCATGCATATATGTAAATATATATATATAACATATACACATATATATATATAAAACATATACATATATATGACATATAAGAATGAGAAAGAAAGGGAAGGAAGAAAAGGTGGTGGGAAGCAAATGCCAGTATTTGTGGAAGAGGGGTGAAAATATATATACATACATGTACATATATACATGTTTACGCAAATTATTTGCAACAATTTTGCAACTTTTCTGTATGCTTGAAATTATCTCAATATAAATATTTTTAAGACTTGTACTTATTGATTTTCCTTTGAGGTATGTAACATGAGGTTTGTAGTGTTGGTACTTTTTCCTGAATATGCCTATCCTAGTTCATTAAGTTCAGACAAGTCAGACAAGGAACAAAACAAAGCAGGGCTTGTTAATTTTCATAACCACATATTTTGGTCCTGCATTAATCTTTTTGATTATGTAAAGTCAAAGTTTTTCAAACTCAGCACTACCGTGCTGTATATTGGGTCATTCTTTGGTGGGGAAGAGGGGACTGTTTTACAGTCTGGGATATCTATGCATACATGTTGTCTAGCTACTAGATGCCAGTAGTATGCTAACTTCAGTTTGTGATAACCAAAAAGGTCTCTAGATGTTGCTAAAATAACCCTGGTGGGGGCAAAATTATCCTGGTTGAGAATCACTAAAATAGACTTTTTTTCAACATCACATATCACTTTTACCACATGGAAAACATAAAATCCTAATATTAATTTATACTGAAATAACTCCATTGTTCTATTCCTATGAGGCTCAGGTACACAAGCCCTCTCCTGAGATTTGAGGGGGATCAGTATTCCTATAACAAGGATACACTATTTGAAGGTCTATTTTGAGACAAATTCTATAACCCAAGTTTTTTCTCTTGGTCACCAGATTAGTTTAGTTCAGAATTTTGCAACTAGGCTTGTTTTATGGAAAGAAAAGAAATGTGGATTCCCAAGGGGGAAATATTTTATGTAAACTTGATGCTTTATTAGTCAACCTACAAATTGAAATTGCCATGTTAAAAACATAAAGGGGCTCTCCCTGGTGGCACAACAAATTAAAGCACCGCATTATGAAGCTCTTTGAGGCCACTGTAGCACGAGTTCAATCCCCCACCACGGAGCTGACCTACATGGCATGGCAGACCTCTCCTGACCTGCCTGTTGCTCCCCTCAGCAGTGTACTTCAGTTGATCTGCCTGTTCTGTTCCCCACTCTGTCTCTGGTGAATCCTCTCACCCACCACACATCTGGCATGTAGCCCAATTCTGTAAGCATAAATAAATCTTTAAAAAAATAATTTTAAAAAAAGGGAAGAAATAGTACCTTCCTTTCATATCCTCAACAAAAAGTATTGTAGGATATACCTACATTTTAGAGGGAGGGAAAATGTACATACAATAGTTTACTCATGCTTTGGATACATAAAGTGGGCAAATTAACAAGTAAAATTTGTATGAAAAAAGTTGATATTACCCACTTGTACATGATCCAGTGCAGGGGAGTTGTTAACTCAAATGACACAAGAAAATATCAAACATTATGCTGTGCTGTTCTCTGCTGCATGATGTGATATTATGCAATTTGTTCAGCATCTACCAGGTATCAGGCACTAACTTTTTTTTTTTATTTCCAAAGAGTTACTCACATCACTCCTATTTTTGGCATTTGTTTTTGCAAGAACTATATCCATGGCATCAGGAATGCTGGTGAACTTGTTTTTGTCTGCAGGCTGACGATATTTCTTCTCACTGATAATTTCTGAAGCTCGCTTGTTTTTTTCTGCCTCCAAGGAACCCAGGGGACTCCATCCTATGCCTTTCAGCCACTCAAGATCAGACTTGTACATATTCTGTGGAAATACAAAGCAAGTCATCAAAATCCCATTCTCATCTAGAACCTTGACTAAAGTGATTTTATGCATTACAAACAGATTTGTTTTAGATATTCTATAATCCTTTCCCAGTTTGTCTCTTTTAGCTAGCTACTGATGAATTATAAAGCTATATGTAAACTATTAAATTTAATAGACACTGACCTCACTCTGTAGTTCATAAACTTTTTTAGCTTGAATAACATCATTCTGGTCAGGTAGGCATGTCCACTGATGCAGGTAATTACGATAGTCCACATCACTGACCAAGGCTTGACATTTCTTGGCCAATACCACTCCCAGCATGTCCACTGGGCTTGTATACCTGGTTTTCCACTTCTCAAAGTCTTTTTTGTATTCTCTTTCACTTTGCATTTTGGCTACATTCATGGATAATACAAGCTTTGGATCATCTTGTAGACTCCGGAATCCAATATGGTGGCCAAGTTGTTTACGGTAACCTTGTTTGTATTTAAACTAAAGTCAGAAGAAAAAATTATTTGTTAACATAAAAAAAGTCAAGTTAAGCTCAATTTGCTGTTTGCAAATATGCAATTTGCTGAAATGAGAGAAGGGATGTCTATGTTAACATTATTAAAAGAATGTGAAACTCAAGTGGAGGCTTCCAAAATATGCAATATTGAAATTCTAGAGAAATTAATTCTAACTAGAGGCAGAAATACATTCTGTTGTGTGCTAGACATTATATATCCTGATTTTAGGGTAGCATTTGCAAAAGCTTTTGTGGTATTCTTAAAGAATGATGGAAAAGTCTAGGTTGAATGGTAAAAAAATGTGTGAAAGAGTTAGGACTTGATGAACAGGTTTATAGTATAGATTAATTTACTAAGAAGCATAATTGTTAGTTGTTTACCATATGGCTATATCATGTAAATTCTTTCTGTTCAGGATCCATATTCTGCATATATATTTGGCTAAAACAGATAAGTATATTAAAGTAGAAGGGAAATTATCTCAAACATAATGCCACAATGAGTCAAAATGAACTATATAAATTTAAGAAAGTGAAAATAAAATCCAGTATTAAGATTCAACTGGAAAATTACATTAGAAGTGGTTGACAATAACAGTGACAATAATAATGATTGTGGTAATAGCATTTACTTTGATGCTAGATGTTGAACATATATTACACTTCACAGAAATAGATTGTATTCTTCCTTAATACCCAACTTCATGGTTATATATTTAAAATACTCAGTTTTAGTAGACTATCAACAGCAGTGTGGATAATCTGACCAAACTGCTTATAAAAAGATAGTGTCAAAGATTTTGTATTGGGTTACAGATAAAAGCAAGTTCATTTTCTCTGGCCTGACTAGAAAAACAACACTAGGTTTTAAGATAATTTACTTGAGGGGGTTTTGAAAAAAAAAAAAGAGTAAATCACAATGGAATAATCATAAGATTGAAGAACTTTTAAAACTAAAATAACTGAGATCAAATAGAAAACTGAAATGCTTGAGAATCTACAAAGTACAAGAGGAAATAAACAACTTTGTGGCATTCTAGAACAGAAGCTAGAGAGGGTTAGAAACAAATTTCAATTCACAATAAGGAAATATATGATTATAAATAAAACTTATCCAATAGGTACATGACCTACCCTGAAGGACACTGAAATTCTTGCATCCACAGACTGGATGATTGTTGGAGATTAGAGAGAAGGTAGGATACATCAATATTATATAAATTATCTTCTAATGAAATTCTATTATTCTAATTTTTTAATTAAGTGATCATAAAATAGTTCTAAGTCACTCAAATTTTTATGTATACAAGAATCATTAAAGATTGAAAAGAGAAACAGGGCCCTCCCTGGTGGCGCTGAGGGTTGAAGCGCTACACTGCAAAACTACGCCAAGCATTGGCCGCTTCAGTGCGGGTTTGATCCACGTGGCGCAGACCTCTCTCCTGTCTCTCCTGCTGCTCCCCTCAGCAGTGTACTTTGTTGATCTGCCTGTTCTGTCCCCCAATCTATTTTTAGTGAATCCTCTCACTACCTCTGCACCTCTGGCCTGTACCCCATTTCTATATGCATAAATGAATAAAATCTTAAAAAAAAGAAAAGAGAAACAATTTCTCTAATAATGGGAAAGTTCACTTATAGTTTAGAGTAAGATTTCAAAAGTTTAACAAGATTTCAAAAGTTTTGTGTAGTTTCACACAGAAAGAAATTAGGTACTATCAAGTGTTCTTTTGTTAGGAAATTATTGAAACGATTTCTAAATTTTTAAACTACCTTTTATTTATGGGGAACACATAACATGAAATGAAAATGAATTTTCTTCATTGGAAATATTCAGATACCATTATTTCCTTCTAAAATTACCACATCAATAATTTTAATCAAGTATTGACCTGTACACTGGACAGTGAATAATAATACATCATCTAATTAAATTTCCAACACTTCTGGAGTGCTTCAAACTAATTGAATTAGATTTCCCTTATATTCTTAGAATTTATGTCAGATTCTGCCCTGAGACATTCTTTCCACTCTTTACATCAAATTAAAGTAAAACTGCACATAGAACCAAATTCTTATTTGTTTTAAAGAGTCCAATTAAGACACTGCTTCCCTATGAAATTACAGTAATTTCTTTTTTATAAGCAATTTTCCGTGAACTTTTGTGGTTAATTATTAAGATTAATACACTGATGTTTACATATGTCTAAATCAAATACCTTAAGTTATTTGATGAGATAATAATATATTCTTATAAAGTAAAACTAGTACTTACATCACTAGCAATGTCCCTTGAAGCTTTGGCTGATTGTACAGAAATTGCATCAAGTGGGAGATCATAGCCTTTCTTCAAAGCTTCTTCCCATCCAAGTTTATAGAATTTCTGCAAATTAAAGAAATGCTAGCATTATTATGATACATTAAAAATCCCAAGTTTATTAACAAATCACTTGGTGAGTAAATACCAAATTCTAACATCTTCCTACCTAATCTCTAGAAATATGGATAGAAAGGAAACAAGCTGTTGAAATGAGTAGAAAGAACAAACTTTGCATCACAAGATCCGGCTTCAATTTTCTGTCTTTGAGACGCTCACGATGTAACTGAACATGGTCTTTTTTTGTTCAGACATAACACAGACATATCAGATGTACAAGTATCCCCCACTTTTTGGAAGTTAGCTCACCTCAATTTCTGTCAGACCTACATTAGTTGCTATTTTTCAGTAACCAAAAGAAATCCAAATACGATTTTCACTTTTATGATAAAAGGCAACAATCAAATATAGCATATAGCATTTGTTTGGAGGGTGAATCTTTAGAGAGGAAGTGAGGATGGCACGCTCAAGCTCCTTCTTCAGGAATTCACTTGTAGAAGCTATATAAACACAGGCTTTATATATATCACTTCTGCTCTTACTATAGCTTTTGGTATTTTAGGTTTTACGTATTATTTGGTATGATTTCGTAGGCTATTTTGAGGAATTGCAAAAGCATAAAATCTTTTGGCTTACTGAAAGTTTCATAGAGCTGCTCTGCCTCCAGATAGATCAGGAATCTTTACCTTAATACCAAGAACAGCTCCTGTCTTGATATAGATATTAAAATAACTTATAGAACAATTTAATTAAGTGGTAAAAGCAATAGGTGACGAAGTGCCTTTAAAAAGTTGAAATAAATGAGTTAAGCTTTTTAAGTCAAATCTATCCGTGTGTTAAAATTTGATGTAATAAAAAATATTTGAAAGTCACTCAGCACTTAACTGTATGAGACACGGTGCTGAGACCCTTTATAGAAGTTCACAGCAATCTACAATCAGAGGCCCATTAATAGAACCAGTTTTAGGAATGAAGAAATTGAGGTTTATAATCAATACTACAAAATTCACATATAGCAAAGTCAAACATATACCAGTTTTTTCTTTCAACTGTTGTTTAGTGACTTCCTGCTCTGTCCCAAGTGTGAGAACTGAGGTAAATCAACTGAGCACAGAACCTGCCTCCACAGAATTCACAGTTTATTTTCAATATCCCAAAGGCTAATCAGTTTGAGTCATTCATTTCCATTGCTTCAGCATTTACAACAATCATTCAATCATTTATATTACATCACTTAGTAATTTTAATTAGTTTTAAGCCAATTTTTTAATATAGCTTTACCTGACTGTACATTGTTTGATTCTGCTTGGCTTGTAAAATATCAGGTGTATCTGGCATCACATGAATCTTGGTTTTATCTTTGTTCCAATCAATAGTGTACAAGTGCTAGAGAGATTTAAAAAAGACATTTGAAATTTGAGTAGTTTTTAAGACAAACAGGAAAGTATATAAAACTATTTGAAGACACCTAATTTGAATTAAATTGTTTAGTAGCTAAAGTAATATTTGGTTCAGATAAGATACCAAAAACAAACTCAGAATTTAAGAAATAATATTTTAAATATTTTCTATCTTCTAGAATGGATTGAGAAGTACAAATATATAATAGCTCTTTAAAACTTAATCAATACTTTCTAACAATTAGGAGACTGGGGAAATAACAAGAGGTAGGCACGAGAAAATGGGAAAAGAGAATGGCTGGTGCTGTTCGCCAACTTTGAAGTGTGGACCTGAATTAAATTTCTTAAACAAGGACCACAGGCTGTTAGCCCTGCCTTGATGGTATAGATGTGGAAGGACAGCTTTTCCGCATACCTTGTTCATGGTCTGTGCATTCTGTTTGGCAAGAACCATGTCCATGGAGTCAGTCAGCTTCTTAAACTGGAAGTTGCTAGGGTGCTGGCGGTATTTCTGATCACTGGCATATTCAGTTGCCTTCCTGGCTTTTTCCACTTCTAGAGAACCAGCTGGACTCCAGCCAAGCCCTTTGTACCATTCATTATAGTCCTGCTTATATTCATTCTTTTAAGAAAAGAGGCAAATTCTGTTTTACATCAATTTAGACACAAAAGAGAGAAATAGAAGACTCCCTGTCCATGATAGTAACCCAACAATAAGCAGAAAGAGAAGCTTACATCACTTTGTATGTGATTCATATTCCTAGTCAGCTCAATACTCATGGCATCTGGAAGGAGGATATACTTGTGGATCAGGTGCTTATAGTTTGTGTTGGTAATGTTGGCTTGAGCATCCTTGGCAGCTGTGACACTGAGCATGTCTGCAGGGGTATGGTAGCTGGTCTTTGTGTTCTCATAGTTTTTCTTGTATTCCCGATCAGATTGCATTTTAGCCACTTGCATGGAATGGACTAATTTGGGATCATCTTCAAGACTGCGGAAACCAACCATCTTCCCCCTTTGTTTTTCATAATTGATTTTATATTTATACTGCAAAGAAAATTTAAAATATTTATTCAGAGAAATTCCTTTGACAAGAAATTATACAAGTGTCAGTATTTTCAATTTCATAAAAAGTAACACTATTACAGAGTTCCACAGTATACAAAACACATCTATCCAAAGGACACAAAACATTAATTAAAAAGTACACTTTATTCTGTGGGGGCGGAGTGGGGAATGGGATCAAAAACGGGGGGGAGAAGGGAGGGAAATGCACGGGACTATGGTGGTGGCACAGGGGTGATCTGGTGATGGGAAACCCGCGGGGATTACAATCGAGATGGAAAAAAAAATGTGCAAAATGATGTAAAAATAAACTTTGTAATAAAAAAAAAAGAAAAAAAAAGTACATCTCAAAAAAAAAAAAGTACACTTGTACCCCTATGTTTATTGCAATACTATTTTCCGATAGGTAAGCTATGGAAACAACCCAAGGCCCAAAACTAGATCACTGGATCAAGATGTGGTATTCATGCACAATGGAATATTACTCAGCAATCAAAAGGATAAACTCATGCCATTCTCAAAAACATGGATGGAGCTGAAAGGGATCATGCTCAGCAAAATAAGCCAGAAAGAAAAAGAAAAATAGTGGATAATTTCACTTATAGGAAGAATGTCAGGGGATGAAATAAGGGATTAGGGGAAAAAAGTAAGTGTACATTGTATGAAAATGAAGGATGATGTAAAAAATATAAAAACAATAAAAATGCAATTACCATATAATCAATTTAAAATATAAAGCACATTTTCACATTTACCTGTATAAATTGATATTCACAATTTTACATATGGATATAGACAGCAAAATTGTTATTGCTGTCCTCATTTTATAGGTGTATAATCTGAGATCCTGAGAGGTGAGCAATTTGCTAAATTCACTAAGGATTAAATCCCCAAACATATAATGATACAACATGACTTCCACAGATGCTCTGTTGTCAGTGTTAAAAAGATCATTGTTAGGTAACACGAGCAAATGAGAGCAAAAAGCAGAATGTTCTAACCAGTTTAATACTGCTCTGAGAAATCAACCCTTTACTGTTGAGAATAGGCTGGGTTATGAGTTATAAGATGACATAATTTTAGAGTGCCTTTGTATTTGTAGAGCTTCTTTTCTTTTACGACTCTCCAAACTGGTATAAAGTGGATTTTTTCTTTTTCTTTTTCTTTTTTTTACTATTTATCATCTAGCTTCTTCTATAGGCAGGAGATACTGACACCTGGAAAGCCTTTTATTCTGTCTACCTCTTGTGGTCTTGAGAGTGCAAGTTACTAGTCAGTGTTATGAGAGTCAAATTACTCCAGCACAACAGCAGAAGAAAGTGGGGTTTTTAGGAAATGTTGACGTGGGACAGCAATGGATACACAGGAAAGATGAAAACCAGAGACAGAAGAGAGAAAATATACTGAGGGTGACCAAGGAAAGTGCTCTGAACTGTACTCCTCTCCTTTCCCTCAGATCACTCAGAGCTCAATGGGAATGAATTTCCTGTGGAAACAACCAAATGAAATAACTGTATTTCATTTAGGTGATGTGTGACGGCAGTGTAGTATGGGCACATCAGTTCTCTGGGCGTGGGGAAGGAGGGCTAACTTGCAGAGTTTGCCATAATTTCTATGGTATGTACACTCCAACTATAGCTGATGTCAAGTTACCATTGCTTTAACAACTGTTTACAAAATTCCTCATTATTCAGTTGTCATTTGCCATGAGCCCAAAAGACCAGTGCTCCCAGCATATCACTTCATGAGACATCTTGTTAGGAAGAGAGATTATAAAATGCAGAAACAACACAAAATTTTCACCAAGAAAATGTGGTGAAGGACTGAATTTGGACAGGTGATGGAGTTCAAAGAATTCACTCATGGTTCAGGAAATTAATATCAATTAGGTCATAATGTGGCCAGCCACCTGTTTTTTGTTTTTTTGTTTTTTTTCACCAGAAATACCAGAGAAAATACAAAAGCAAGTCTAAGAATCAATCACACAATAGGATGAGATTGTACTTAGCAGGGCACACTGGCCCCCACTTTTTTGGTCTACTCATTGTTTCCAGTAATCAGTCCTTGTTATTTGGTCAGATTAACACCCCCCAGTTAGGTGACTGCTTTCCTTTTGACTTACATCACTTGCAATATCTCTTGAAGCCTTAGCAGATTTGATAGGAATTGCATCAGTTCTGAGATCGTAGCCTTTCTTCCTGGACTCCTCCAGAGAAAGTTTGTAGATTTTCTGCAAAGAGAGGCAAAAGAAATAGTCTTTCTTCAAATAGGAAATCCTCCATTTACTTTAAAAGAGTAAATGAGTGGGCCCTTCCAGGTGGCGCAACAGGTTAAAGCACAGCACTAAGAAGAATCTAAAGCCACCTCAGCATGAGTTCAATCCCCACCCCGGAGGTGACCCACATGGCGCAGCAGACCTCTCCTGACCCGTCCGCTGCTCCCCTCAGCAGTGTACTTTGTCAGTCAACCTGTTCTGCTCCCCACTCTGTCTCTGGTGAATCCTCTCACCACCTCTGCACCTCTGGCCTGTACCCCAGTTCTGTATGCATAAATAAATAAATCTTTTTTTAAAAAAAGTAAGTTAGCACTGTAATATACTTTTCCCCCCCGAATCCTTAACATTGTCCATATTCCTTTCCTTTGAAATATGTATGTGTGTATATTCACATATACACAATATACTATTACACATACAAAATAATATATGTATACACAATAATACATGTATTACTGAGGTAATGTTGGTTTACAATACTGCATGTGATTGAGAGGCACAGGGCCACACGTCTTCACAACTCAGGTACCTGTCCCCACACCAGACCCACCACCAAGGCTTCTAGCAGAATGTGTCATTGGTGGTTCAATGGCTGTATGTTCTCACAAGCAATATGAATATGTGTGAAATAAACTCTGTATAAACTCAAACCTATCTTCCAAAAACTGCCAAAGAAAGCAAAACTTACTTTTCCCCACTACGTTGTATATACACTTTTAGAAAATGTGAAACCATAGCAGATTCATGTTGATACATTTCATCAAATAAGAGCCAAAAGAAGTCTACCAAATAGCCACCATCTTACATCAAAAGAAAATTTGAGTGCAACTGACACTTTAGTTTTATATATTTGAGTGGATTCTACAATCCAAAAGGAAATCATCAACCCCAAATCCCTGAGGAATTCAGACAAAGAAAAGTAAAATATCCTGACAGGATTGGAGGATTTCTAGCAACTATGATGAGGATGAGAAAGGAAATGAAATATGCATGCATTTTCTAATAGTAAGAGTTGAACATTTTTTATAAGTCTTGTCCCAAACTCTTCAAAATGTTCATCTCCCCTTTTCATCTAATTTTCCTAAAATGCCCTCTTTAGGACCATCTTACAGGTTTAGTAAAAGGATTCTCCAAAAATGAAATCCAGGAATTCTCACTTTTTCTCTTCTCTTGACTCATAGGCCCTTCTCTTTCTGCCAAGTCTCTTAGATAAGGAGGAACTACCCCTAAAATAAAATTCCGTCATCCTTCAAATTCCTAACTGCTCAACCCAAGCCCCACTAACAAACCTATCCTTAGCAAAGCAAGCTTAGAAAGGGAAAAATTATTGTTTGTGGATGGCTATTATCCAAACAGTCTCCCTTATAATTGTGATACGGTATTTACTTTGCTTTTACTAGTTCAGGTAGTCAAGAAATAAAGAAGACAATAGGGGAAATATACTTACATCACTCATATTAATAGCATTTGCTTTTGCCAAAATAATCTGGGGGATATCAGGCATGATGTGGACTTTGGTTTTGTCAGCTTCCCAGGCTTGTTTGTAGAGGTGCTAGAAAGTAAGAAAAAATTTAAAAAAAGTGGAAGTTAATAATGAAAATCTTAAAAGAAGTTCATGCCTAAGTATTGATTTTTTTATGTATTTGCATTATTTAGGTTTCATTTTTTTAAATTTTAATATGGAAATGGTGCTCATTCAATAGTACAATGGAGAGGATATAGGATGGAAAATAAAATTTTCTATCTTTCTATTTTACATTATATAGATAATATCGCCATCCTAAAATTTTCTATGCATATTACAGTCCACATATAGTCCTTTTAAATATAAATGAGGCCATATAATACATAATGTTTTACAACCTGATTTTTCCTTTATAATATGGGTCAACATTGTTTAGCATTGTTAGAATAATTTACTACATTTATTTAAAGTGTTGCATCGTATTCCACTGGGAGGTATAACCCAATTTATTTAACTAGTCTTCTGTTGATTTAATCTGCTGTTTTCAGTCTTTTTTTTTTTTTTTCCACTACAAGAAATGGGACCATGCTCTTTGCTATAGACCTGGAAATGTACCGCCCCAATGCCCTCATAAGGAGGACACCCAGTGAAGAAGGACTTGCTGCCCCATTTTGGCAGACACCTTCCAGTTACCACCTGCGTTAGTCTTTGGGGCTTTGTTCATAACCATCTTTCTCTGGTGACCACAACCAGTGACTTATAAGGGGGAGTATAAAGACCTGGCCATTCTCACTCAGTTCAGGGTGTTTCTGGCTGGTCACAAGCACTCGCAGCCCCTGAGTGACTCTGTCACAGCTGAACTCATCCTTTCATCCTGTCCTCCTCCCATAGGTTCTGGTCCTCAAAAATGCTCTGCACTCCAAATTCTATCTTAATGTTTACTTTTTAAGATACCAAAATGCCAAAAACATTATTGCATAATGTACATATATCTTTGTACATTTATAAGGGTTTCTGTAAGGCATCTGGCACCTGGACTTTTAATATCAACAAAATAGTGACTAGAAGTTACATTAATTTCCTAATACTATACATAAAACAACCGTTTAATCTTGCAAGTCTGATAGGTAAAAAATGCTTTGTTTTAGGCAAGTTTAATTAGAAAACTTCTGGAGATGTTTTAGACTTTGTGAGTTACAGGATATCTGTTATTAGCTACGCAAGTCTGTTGTAGTGTAAAAGCAGCCAGCATAGATAATATGTGAAGTTGTAATAGACTTAAATCACCACACTGGTTATGGTGGACAGCACAATTTTTAGTGGAAAATAGCAACAGCTAGTCATCAGAGTGCTGTTTTTAGTTCAGACCTAGCCACTAGCCTGCTGTGTGATTGTAGAGGAGGTACCTTGCCTGGGCAACAGTTTCCTCAACTCTGCAATGGGCAGTGGATGGGAGCAAAGGGATGGCTTTCAACTTGATCACAAAGGTATTTTATTATTTGCATTTTACAAATATTATAGGCTAATACATTGTTTGGACCTACATCAACTAATGATTAATAAATATAAAAATGCAGTACAGATTTCCTAACGCTGGATTAATTAATGATCAAGAAACTACTGGTAGAAAATAATTGCTCTTGGCCCAGAGAAAGTCCTGGCTCAGAATGTGCTATAGCTACATAACCTAGGAATCTTCTCTGATCCCATCAAAGCAGCTGAGAAGCAGAGGTGAACTGCAACACCCAGTTATTATCAGGCAAACAATCTTCTAATTCAGGGCCATGAACTTATACTCAAATTCCCTGTAGACAAACAAGATTCATTTTTCTACGATTTGCAATATAAGAGAGTCTGATTTATTTTGTTATGTTTGTTGATACCTGGAGGTAGGGAGGGGAGCTACTAACTAGGATTAATTTCTATTTTTAATTACAGAGCCCATTTCCAAGGTAGAATAAGCTCTAATTACAATGCCCTAAAACTATTTAGCAAAACCTATAGACAAATGTAAACAAGATATGCCAGGATTCTTTGTGATTCATAGGAAGCACTGCATGATTGAACCACTTACTTCATTCATAATTTTGGCATTATTCTGGGCCAAAACCATGTTCATTGAATCCATCAATGTGGAATACTTCAAAGTATCTGGGTGTTGACGGTATTTCTTTTCACTGATAATCTCCATGGCTTTCTTGTTTTTCTCAGCCTCTAAGGAGCCCAGGGGGAGCCATCCTATGCCCTTCATGAAATCAGCATAGTCAGCTTTGTATTGATTCTGAAAAGAAGAGAAATTCATGGATGAGAAGAATCCAAAAATTCCCAGGACATAAAGAGGGTATTTAACAAATTCCATTTTAATTTTCAACCAACAGTAACTCAAAGTTTAAAAAAATATTTTTTTATCTCTAACTCATCATTTTAACATTTCCTTGCATGAGGAATTAAAAATGAGTAGTAATATCTTCATGATTTGTCTTTCTCAACATCGTCAAAAAGCAAAAGAGCTAAGAATACCAAGTAGATGAATTTACCATGTGGCTGTTATCTTGAGAAAGGTGGTTATGCTGTCTTTTCTTATAGAAAATCCTAAGTTCTCTTGGCTAATGGATAACTTATGGGGACCACATTTATCTCTTGGACTACAAGTCTCAGATCACCAGCTACTGTTCAAGTTCCTCTGGTATGCCAGAAACCTTAGTGATACTTTGGGCTAATTTCATTTTTACTCTCTCAACTCCCATTTTTCTCTACAATTGTAACTGTAGATCCTTTCATTTGGGCCCTTATGTACCCCTGGGCAATTAATATCTCAGCTTTTATAAAGAGAACTATGTAGACTTGGTGTGGCCTGCCTTTGGACTCTAATGTAAATTCACTTCCTCCAGCCATCAAATGGCTTCTATAGCTGAATACCTGGCTCTGTCCTTCTCTGTCTTCCTCACATTCATGTTATGAGAAGCCTCAATCATCATTTCCTCATTATTTCATCAATAAAATAGGCAATTAGAAATTTGAAAGTAATGGAATAAAAAGTACTGATGGAATGGATGAATATCAAGTTACCTCTGCTTTCCCTCTTACTTGTTTATCAGGCGCTTCTAAGTCTCTTTGCTAGACACCTTTCCTTTAACATTCTTTCTGAAACCAAACTTCATTTGTTTTTGCTCCCTCCACATCCAACAATGCTCATAACAACAAAAGTAGAAAATAACTTTTTTTGTTTCTACAATTGATCCTTTTTTAGGAAAACGGCACACAAATTTCTTTCAGGATTTTGTCATTTAAGATTATTCATGAGTTCTTTACTATACAGAGTAAGTACTCTACAAAGGTTGTGGCAGTTACATACATCACTTTGAATCTGCATCATATTTTTGGCCAACTCGAAGCCCATGGCATCAGGAAGCATGTTGTAGGTATGAATCACATTCCTATAGTTGGCATTGGTGGCCACTTCTTGAGACTTCTTGGCTGCCACCACACTTAACATGTCCACTGGTGTATGGAAGGATGTCTTGGATTGTTCATATGCCTTTTTATATTCCCGGTCTGACTGCATCTTGGCCACCTGCATGAAGTGCACCAACTTGGGGTCGTCTTCCAGGCTCCGGAAACCAATGTGTTTTCCTTTGGTTTTTTCATAGGCTTGTTTGTATTTGTACTGTGGACAGAAAAGACAGCATGATAATGAGGGCAGTAAAGGAAAAAGAGCAAACATAATTCATTAGATTCTATTGGCTTTGTCACAAATGTAGGGTTTTAGAACTACTCTAAGCTTAGAAAGAGAGTTGCTCATGAAGAGCTGGGAGTACAGTAACATTTTTTTGCTTCAAATTTCTTGCCAGATTTGAATTCATGGAAAGGAAATGTTAATATTAATTAAATAAATGTATGAATAAATTATTATTATTATTTTTTAAAGATTTATTTATTTGTACATACAGAACTGAGGTACAGGCCAGGGGCTCAGGGGGGGTGAGAGGCTTCATCAGAGACAGAGTGGGGAGCAGAATAGGCAGATCTACGAAGTACACTGCTGAGGGGAGCAGCGGGCGGGTCAGGAGAGGTCTGCCACGCCATGTGGTCTCCTCTGGGGCAGGCGGGATTCGAACTCATGCGAAAGTGGCTTTAGCTTCTCAGTGCAGTGCTTTAACCCACTGCACCACCAGGGAGGGCCTGAATAAATTATTTTTAAGGGTGATTTAGAAAGCAGTGTTTCCCCCTGAGCTCTCTACTCAGTGGAAAAGGCTGCAGACATGACTCCTCATCATGTATCTTCAAATACAGCAAAGAGCAAGCCTAACTATGGGATCCCTATGATTGCTTGGACTTGGCTACAAATATCTGACTACTCCAAGAGCAACTTCTTTTAACAAGTACCAGTCACCTTTGCATTAAATAATGAACAATTATTCAAAGGTAAAGGAAGGTATCAGTGGACAACAGTTCCACTGACACTGGAAGGAGCTGACTTCAGTCGTGACACACATTTGGCTGCGTCACTATTATTTGCTTGTCCTAGGACCCATGGAAGTACTCACATCACTGGCAATGTCTCTGGAGGCTTTTGCAGCCTTTATTGGGATAGCATCAGGCCTCAGGTCATAGCCTTTCTTCTTTTCTTCTTCCCAGCCAGCTTTGTACAGTTTCTAAATAGGACATAAAAAGACACCAACATTTGTTATTTGCATTAGAATGGGGATCCTGTAGTCAAAATAGTTGGTGTGCAGAAGACAGATAATCAAATATTAGCTCCTTTCAACATCTCTCATTTCTATTTTTGCTGTAAATATACTTACATCACTCATGGTGATTTGGTTTATTTTGGAGAGTACGATGTCTGGAGTATCCGGCATGACATGAATGGTGGTCTTGTCTTTGTTCCATTTTTCAGTGTAAAGCCTCTACAACAAGAAGGACAGGCACATTACTGCACATATATGAAACAGAGCTATAAGAAGATTCACATAGCCATGGCAGATATTAAATCTGATATCAAAAAATGGATGAAATAGTAAGAAGGGCTGATGACTGGACACACAGAAAAAAAAAATATATAATCAAACAAGGGAACCCTCTTCGCTGAATCAATAAATAGCATCCTGCCCTGTCCTTAGACCACATGGATTTTTCCAGTTTTGCTGCATCCTTAGCATGGTATTGAGAGGTACCCTGAAGGCCAGTGTAAGTGAGGGCTCCCTCGTTGCAATGAAAGTTAGACTGTACATTCCTACCACCACCAATACCACAGCCATGAGAAAGATTAACATGCTGCTGGGGATCACAGTGACACTGCAACCTCAATAGCATTAGCACTAAGAGGGTTCACTTGCCGAGGTCCTTACCTTATTCATATTCAGTTTATTACTTTTGTTAAGTGCTTGCTCCATTGTGTCCATGGAATAAGTGAACTTCAGCTTCTCAGGGTGCTGGCGATACTTCTTCTCACTGAAAATCTCTCCAGCTTTCTTTGCTTTCTCTACATCCAGCGACTCTATGGGGACCCAGCCGATCCCTTTCATCCAGTTGGTGAAGTCTGATTTGTACAGGTTCTTAAAAGTGAAAAAGGAGATTTTTCTTTCAGAAAAAGTCAGGGCAGAGGTTTACTCATGATTACTCATGATCCAAAGAGGGGGGAAAAGAATAACATGGTTTTTACTTCTTACCATCTTTTGAAAAATAATTCTAAAAAGTGACTACAGTCATGGTAATTTTGAGCAGGAAACCCTGACCCAACATTTTCTTTAAAAAAGTATCTTTCTTAGCCCTCCCTGGTGCTGCAGTAGGTTAGGACACAGCACTGCAAGTGAGCTGTAGCTGCTTCAGTGCAAGTTCGATCCCTGGCCCCAGGGGTGACCCACATGGCATGGCAGACCTCACCTGACCCACCCACTGCTCCCCTCAGCATCTGCCTGTTCTGCTCCCCACTCTGTCTCTGGTGAACCCTCTCACCACCCCTGCACCTCTGGCTTGTACCCCAGGTCTGTATGCACACAAAAAAAAAATCTTTAAAAAAATTATCTTTCTGAGGTAAAAGGTAACAGAGTTTTGCAGAAGGGATTTTATATAGCACCCATTTGAACCTCTTAGTTTTTCCAAAATACATCACATATTAGGTCTAACATCCAAAGTTTGCTTGTGTGTGTGTGTGTGTGTGTGTGTGTGTGCGCGTGTGTGTGTGTGTGTGTTTTACACATAGTTCTGCAGGAGATCCCTAATTTACTGAGGTCACTTGGGTTTAAAATGAAGTAAATGGAATGGTCTAGGTCTTGTTTTTTCCTCCCACTGGCTAGAAATGAGTAATTTGGGGTTACATACATCACTTTGGATTTGCATCGCATTCCTAGAGTGTTCCATGTTCAAGGCATCAGGCAGGAGAGTATAGTTGTGGAAGGGTTGTTTGTAGTTGGTGTTGGTAGCAACCTCCTGAGATTTCTTAGCCGCTGTCACACTGAACATATCCAAGGGTGTGTGATACCTGGTCTTGCTGGCTTCATAGCCCTTCTTGTACTCACGATCAGACTGTATTTTGGCTACATTCATGTAGTGAACCAGTTTAGGATCATCCTGAAGACTGAGAAATCCAATATGCTTGCCTTTGGCTTTCTCATGAGCTTCCTTATACTTAAACTATATGAAAAAGATGAGCAGACAGAAGTTTGATAGAACAGATTGCAGAAAATACTAAAGTTAAGTTAGATTTATATAACCAACCAAGTAAAAGCCTAATTCAATGTGAATCAAGGTAATATCTAATTTTTTCAGTATTTTAAAATAAACATCTAACAAAATTTTTCTAAGGTATAGTTTTGAGGTCTGCTCTGGGATAATAAGATTGGAATAATCTATAATTTAGATCACTCATAAGTAGGTTCTTTGAATATGAATAAAAGTTCCTAAAATTTATTTATTAAAGAGTTAGTGTATCTTTTTATCTTGATTCTAGTCTCAATTTGAATTATAAAATACTATATAATCATAAGTACATTTCAGCTAAGCCTTCATGCAAATTACTATACAAATGACAAATGAATTGGCGTACAAATGAGTGACAAGGCATTATATTAAAGCATATGGAATATATAACTTAATTTATACAAAGTAGTTAATTAAACTCTACTTTTTAACCTATAGTTACCCTAATTTGCCATATCTCACCAAATCTCTTCTTTGTGCAAATCATATAATAAAAAAATTACTTTCTTTTAAAATACTTAAATTTTTCTTCATAAAATACAAATAAAGAGCAGTGTTCAAGTTTGTAACAATGATTCTAATGAGAACTCTAAATATTTCAATTTAACTTTTTTCTTTGTAACAAATTATTGCATTTTTAAAGATTTTAAGTTAAGCACTATAATAAAACATTGACAGGATATTAAAGAATATTTTTACATTATCATTTTTCTATTTGCTTTCTAACTCATGTATCTTTGTGTACTATGTAAGGATTTTTAAAATACACAATAAGATTGTTAACTACTTTTAAATGAGACTTACATCACTAGCAATATTTCTTGAACTTTTTGCAGCAACAATTGGAATAGCATCTGGTCTCAAATCATAGCCTTTAGCAAGAGTTTTCTTCCAGTCTGCTTTATAATGAGCCTTTACAAAAGAAAGAGTACTTTGTTATTTGGCATAATTAAAGGTGAATGAAACAGAATGTCAAGTTCTTTTTTACAAAACATATATATATATATATATATAGAGAGAGAGAGAGAGAGAGAGAACATTTGTGCATGGAACATATATATCTATATAGATATACAGAGAAAATTTATGAAATTATTTCCATAAAAGGGCTATTGGTCCATCCTTTATGTGTCTCTTAGATTCTTTTAAAACCATCTATAAGCCATGTATATAACATGACCTCAATCATTTGCAAAATATATGTTTGCATAATAAAATAATGGAAAGATAATGCTGAATATTTTCCAACTTTTCTGTAATAGGCATGTAATACTTCTTTTTCATAGCTTTTAATGAAACATTTCAAACTTGCTAAAGATATAGATCCTGAAATAGAAATATAAAATGTAGTGCCACTGAATTTTAATTTTAAGCTTAAACATTACTTACAAAAGTACTGTTTCCTTACCAAAAAAGAAAAGTTTAAACCAAAAATATAGAAATAGGTATCAAAATATTTATTTGGAGATAAGAGAGCCTAAAATATTAGCAAGAATGACCAAAGTATTTTTCCAGAAATGAACAGTTTTTTACAGGTTTGATTATGTTTTCAAATTAGATTTTAGCAAAATAGAAAATGGAAATAATTAATAATAATGAATGTAAGTATCACCATCCTGCCCAAAAGAGGCTAATTAATTATTTAAAGAAAAATACAGTAAATTTTTAGAACCCTTAACAAATAATTGAAACAAGTCATACAAAGCAAATCTTATCTTTACTACAAGACTGTGCTTGACTCTATTTTTCCATTTTTGTATATCCAATTTTGTTCCTTTTTTATGCATCAAGTAAAACTTCAAGATAGCCTCTAGTCTCATGTTCTATGATAAGGGTCCAAGCTGGACCACATCCAGTCTGCTCCCATTTAAAGCTCTCATTGTAAAAGTTATGCAGAACTAGAAAGGAGAGGCCCCAGATGACTGACAATAGGTAAAATACTCACATCACTCATATTGATGGCATTGACCTTGGCCTGGATAAACTGGGGCAATTCAGGGTCCATAGTATACTTGTGCTTCAGTTTCTCTCCCTCCACCTTGTAGTTCAACTAAAAACAGAAGGAGGTAGCATTTAATTTCACTAGCTGCCATAATGTACATTTTACCAAGCACATACTCCTTTAAAAAGTGATATGCTTGTGGTGTTTTTTCCAATTACAAGGTGAATGCCCACACTATCACACAGAGGTAGTAATAGCAGATATATTTTTTCTCATTCTACCAATATTTATTGGACAGCACTAAGAGCCAGGCAGGATAGTAAACTGTATTTAAAATGACGAAAAAGGCAGACTTGTTTTCTTGGAGCTTGGAGTCCAGTAGAATAGAAAATAAATACATACACTATAATACATAGCTAGAATTTGTGGTGTGTTATAAGCAGAACAACTGTAGAGAAGAAAAAGGTGGTCAGTGGAAGTCTACAGACATTGTGCTTATGCCCAAAACTGAAGAAAGGGAAGGGGTCCAGTCAGAAGGGCATTCGAAACCAAGAATCTGGAAAGGGCATAGTCACTTGACGGAATAAAGGGTGGGAAGAAGGGAACTGAGAAATTAGACAAGAGGGGGAAGAGAGTCTCAAAATCCAGGGCCTTTTCAGACAAGTCAACAAATTTAGATTTCACTTTAAGTTTATGAAAACATTACTAAGGAATTTTAATTCTAAGATTTGATTTATATTTAAGGTGGTCCTCTGGTTGTCATGTGTGACCCCCTGCAGGAGTCCAGACAATGGGTTGTGCAGTTGTCCATATAAGAGATGTGGATGAGCGGCGAAGCTTGGGGACAGCTGCAAGAGAGCCAAGTGCTACAACAGGGTGGCTGAGAGAGCTTAGTGGCTGACTCAGCCCTTGCATTGGACATGAGCTGCACAGGGTCTCAGGTTTCTCCCAGGTTTTTGCTTGAGTAACTAGGTAGGAGGCATTAATATAGATATGGAAGTTCTAATTTTAATTAGTGAGCGTACAGTTTTCCAAGCTAATAGGAAAAACACTGAGAAATAACATGTTGCTTTTGTACAATAGAAACTGGAAGAATCTACACCTTTTATTACCATTAAAATGAAATTAATCTCAAAATACCTATTTAATGTGGAAGCAGGGCTGACCTGAGAAATAAACAATCCTTAAAGCTGTGCCATGCAAAACATTTCCCCACCTTCTGATAGCTGGACCTAGAAACTCAAAAAGTCTTCTCATTACTTTTGAGTTACTCTCTTTTTCTTATGAAGGTAATTTAACAGCCCAGGAGTTACCAAAGGAGATGAAGCACTGGGCATTATAATTATCCTCTGACCAAGAATCAAGTTCTAGCTATACCTGAGCTCAGAAATGAGACTCTGGATGACTCTGAAATTAAATTGCTTATCTCTTCCCCAGAGGTCACTCTCTAGACTGCCTCTTGGAACATAGAGCTGTTATGCAAGGGGATTAGGTCATTATGCCTTTTTCTATGCAACTGTAAAATTGTTAGCTCAAAGCAGCAAACAGCTTGTTTTACATTTTATATAAAGTCACAGATAATAATAATAATTTATTTTCTATGTACAATAGATGGTGTTCTGCTTATGAATAGCACATGCTGTATTTGGGATATGAAGCAAATTTGGAACATCCTTGTTCTTCCTCCCCTATAATCTTTATGTTGAAGTTCCAAGTTGATTCAGAAGTGAAAACTTTCTATTGAATATTATCCCTCATGCTAACATTTGCTAACATAGGTTCACCCTCATGCATTGACTTAAGAAGAGTAGCATGACTTGGTCGCAGGGCTTTTTCCATGAGCAAAACCTTTTGAAGAGAAACCACTTACATCGCTTAGCTGCTTTGTGTTCTGCTGAGCCAAAACCATGCCCATGGAATCAGGCACACTTGTGAATTTGATGGTATCTGGGTGCTGTCGATACTTCCGCTCATTTAGGGCATCACCTGCTTTCTTAACCTTCTCAACCTCTAAAGAACCAATAGGGATCCATCCAATGCCTTTGAAGAAGCTGTTATACTCATCTTTATAAATATTCTGTAAAAGAGTAATTTCATATTAGCACATATCCAAGCACATACTCAAAGCAGTTTTCTGAAATCTATAATTCCACCCAGGGGAAATTAACGCAATCTTGTCCAAAGCTCCTGACTGCAACAGTGTTTGGGTAAGTCTGCATAGAGCTTATTACCCAGTTTTTTGGCAATAAGGAAAAGTACTTCTGTTGTTAGAATGCATTATACAATACAGAGGGAAATCTAGGTCACATATTTCCATGGGTACTGCTAAAAAAATACAAAAGTCTCTTTCGAGAATTGAACTTTTCCTTTGATATCACTGACAATTCCACAACTTTGAATTTTACCCATACTGTCCACCTAAGCCATTCCTGATCTCAGTTGGGGCGTGGGATATTTTCTTTGAACAACAGTAAGTAAACACTATTTTCTCCTTTTAAAGAAGATGATTCCCACAGAAAGCTGGCTCCTGCAGAAAGAAATGTCTTGAATACTAAATACCTTCCCAATGCAGCTCTCCATGAATCATGCTGCAATCACACAGCATGATACCTGGTTCATTTTAGATGACTCACTACATAGATTTACATGGATGAGAGTATAATATTGGGTTGGAAAATAATACTCAACTTTAGAAAAAAAAGAGAATGCTCTTATTTTTCAATATAATTATCAGCATTGAAGAAGTTGGTGATGGTAACCTGACATTTCCTCTCACTATGAATCAGTTTCTTATATACTTAGTTTTTGATCCATAAGTTAATAAAGACAATGGTGGTTAAAAGAGGAGTACAGGAAACCATTAAAAATACAACTGTCTACCATGCCTTTGTTATTTCTTCAGTAACAATAATTTTCAAAGTGAATTTTTAAAATATTTTGTATATTTTGAAGGCAACTAAAGTAGGAAGCACAATGCTCTGGGTTTGTTAGGTTTCGCATACTTACATCACTCTGAATTTGGTTCGCATTCCTGGTATGCTCAAGACTCATGGCATCAGGTAGGTAGGTGTAGTGATGTATTGGCTGTTTATAGTTGACATTGGTGGCGACATCCTGGGCCATCTTTGCAGCTGTAATGCTAACCATGTCCCTGGGTGTGTGGTAGCTGGTTTTAGTGTTCTCATAGTTTTTCTTATATTCACGATCAGACTGTAGCTTTGCTACATTCATATAATGGACCAGCTTGGGATCATCCTGGAGGCTTCTGAAACCCACATGCTTTCCCTTTGACTTTTCATGAGCTTCCTTGTATTTATACTGTGGAGGCAAAATTTGATAACATTAGGTGCAACAAATATATTCACACACATTTAGAACATTAGTGACTTTCTGGGGATTGTACAAGAAATGCAAACTACACCCCTCAACCCCAGAAAATTGAGAATGAAAAAATTTAGATCATATAGTGCTGGGTTATAAAGAATGACTTCATTTTCCTATAGATGACTAGTATATGGAATTTTAAAGACAACTGGATTTTCACACAATATAAATATAACATATTCCAAAAATAAGAATGATATCTTTTGATTTCCCATATCCTATGATGTGAATTTTCAAAATCCCATGTTATTTCACATCATGGAATATTAGAAATTCTTGAGAAAACTTTCCATTTTCTGCTCTCAGTGGCCTCTTAGATTAAAAAGTGCAGAAGAAATTCTAAAACATCCAACACAAGAAATTTGCCCACATATCTTCTTGGGGTGGGGACTGGAAAACATTACTGTGCTGTTTTCTCAAGGTCACCTAACATGGCTCAAAAAAACCACCAATACTTTCTAGGTGACATCATTTAGATGCTGAGCAGACAGGGAATTGAGGCTTCTCTAGCCCTTTTCTGGGTAACTACTGTTGAACCTCACTGCTGGAACAGCTTAGGAGATGCTGAAAGGAGCTAAGGGAAAGGCAGGGACTGCTTGCTGTGGGCTATCTCAGGAAAAACCAACCCAAAGTTCTGCAGGGCCAGCAATCGGCTGCACAGCAAATTACACTAATTGGTCATGCCTCAGTTGTTATTCAAGAAAATTCAAATCCATCTAATCTCTGCAGATACTCTGCTCTTGCCATTTAAAAACAAAGATTTGGTAGGAAAAAAGTTTTATCAAGTAATTTTTAGGCATGTTTAAAAAAGCTGGGTGCAAAAAAAGAGACAATATCGTGTTTCAGACTTTCACCTAAAACTGGAAATATGTTTCAAGTTATGTACAAACGTTGAAAGGGACACATTTTCACTACCATCAGTCCCAATAAGGAACGCTGTAAAATTCTTACACCACTCCCTCCATCTGGTCTTTGCACATAGGTGGTTTGTTCACCTTTCTCAAACCCAGGAGATAGTTCTTAGTCCTTTGAAATAATGTGTGACATTAAGTCCATAGGATGTGTGTGTTTTGAAATTTTTATTCACTCATGGGAAAAAGTGTAAGTATACATATTTTCTATTATAGAGGTCCACAAAATACCTAAACCAAAATTATATTCTAGGAAAATGGACTTCCCCCCTATTTGGTTTACAAAATTTGCACTTTTGATAAATATAATAAACTTTCAACCTTCTTCGGACAATTATAATGCAAGCAGTCATCTGAATTTAACATGTTAGTGTCAGTCAGGGTGTTCCCACTGAAAATGATTGTGCGCTGTCAGGGAAATATTTTAGTGAAGGTAATTTGGGCTCTAAATCTGGGGAGAAAGCAGCTGTCAGATTATGACAGCTCTACTATTGGGGCCAATTTGAAAAGAATTACAAAAATGTTTAAAAAGTGACAGGTTTTCTAAACAATATTTTGTCTAGAATTTTAATGTCATTAATTCACATATTGTTTTCAATGTGATATCATTTACACCAGCACACATTTGGTTATGTTTTAAAAGGGCAAAAGCTAAAATTTTTACTTACATCACTTGCGATGTTTCTTGATGCTTTGGCTGCAGCAATGGGAATAGCATCACTCATCACATTGTTCCCCTTGGCTATTAAATCATGCCAGTCCCGTTTGTAACAGACCTGGGATGGGCAAGGAGAAAGGATGTCAGCATGCTGGCCATTAATTAGTCAAATGGTTCCTCTACTGCTAGAAATATTGTATTGTCTCACCAATACAACATGCTGTTTTAGGATATCAACCTTAGCAAAATGTCCCATTTTGTGTAGCATGAAATTATTGTACTCTACACTAATTATTCACCAAAGTCTTATTGTGATTCATACTGATAAAGGATCTTGGGCTGCTGGAGTGGAACCAAAGGAAGTAATAAATGTTCTGAAAGCACGTCCTGTAAGGACCAACTAGAGAAAAGCCAGTTGTTCCATCAACCTTATGGAAGAAAGGTCAAGGAAAAACTTGGTGGTCTACTTTGGAAATTTTGTTGTTTAAAAAAAAAAATCATTTACTCTCAGTTTTCTGGAAGATAATATATTCCTCCACATATGGAATAGGAAAACTGAATTGAAGTTTTAGAGGAATAAAATCTTTGTAAAAAAGAATGGAATCTTTGTAAAAAAGAATGGTTATCTTTTTGAATTGCCCACCCTTAAAAAGTTAGACTCAAGAGATAGAGAATCGTCATCACTATACTCCAATGGTACATGTGGTAAATTAACTTTAAAAATTTTCAAAACCCTACCCTATTCTAAAATTCTGTTATTACTTTAATCACGTCTGGACTTCACATACCCAAAGACCTTACTTACATCACTTATATTGTAAGCATTGCACTTTGCCTGGACAAACTGAGGGAGATCAGCACTCATCGTGTACTTATGTTTCACATCTTCACCTTTAGCTTTGTACAATATCTGCAACACAGAGTCACAAAAATAAAGGTCACTACAGATAGCACAAAAAAGGGCAATACATTAGTTGCATTCTTAAAAAAGAGTTGCTCCTATCACAACCCACCGGTATTTGTATTGTTAAAAATCATCAGATATTTTCCTCTTTTTTAAGAAATTCAAGTGTCTTGTTATCTTTAGGAAGAACCAACAATTCTATGTATTAAGACATAAAATACTTCAGAAAATAAAAATATTTGCCTGCCAAAGATGAGTGAAAAATAAATTCAAAGATGAAACCTGAATATGAGTAACAATTTACAAAAGCCAGAAAAATTTATGCATTGCTAGTGGAATAAATAGCTCTTACAGTCTTGAGTTTTTGTTTTTAATTCTTAATTAGAATCCAGTTTACCATTTCACTTCATATTTATCATTTTTTGTCATTTTAAAGATGTTTCAAAGACAGCAAAGAAAAGGATATAGAAGTTACATTGTATTGTCCCTTGGTAATGAGAAAGAAATTATTTTATTTCCAAAATGAAAACAGAACTAGAATCACAAATATATTTTCATTCTCTTGATTGTTGCCAGACATAACCCCATTTTCAAGGTATGTCTATGTGAAACATCATATACAAATTGGTATGTATGTATCATAACTAAAGTCTGAAATGACTGGTATCTAAATAAATCCTTTAACACTAAATAATTTCTCCTAGGAATCCAAAAGTTATCTTTAATTCCTCACTTCTTTTGGAAATCATATCTAAGAATTAACAGAATCTCTTTAATTCTACCTTCTAAACATCTTTTTTTCTCATTACTTCTATCTTAGCTGAAATCCCAGTAGGCCTTCTGTTGGATTTCTTAACAGCTTTCTAATTCATCTCTTTGTCTTCAATCTCTCCCTTCTCTGTTAGTCTCTGCACTTTTTACCAGCTATCTGTTAAAATTCAGATTTGACAGTGAACTCAATGGATTAAAAAACTTCAGTACTGCTTATTGCCTACTCCATAACATCCAGACTATAAAATAGCATTTTTTGATCTTCAATGATCATGTTACAAACCTGAACCCTTCCATTCACTGCTTCTTGACCACCAATACATACCTTTTGGCCAGGAATATGCTCTTCCCTTATTTGCCAGGGGAGCTCTGGTAGCTATTACCTGATTCCCCTGCACATGCCTCTCCTGTAGCATTCCTCTCCCTAAATGACTGTTTCTATCCATGCCTTTGTCTTAATGCTCACTGAAATCCTTATTATATTCTATATTCCTCTAGTCCTCCTCTTTTCAGCTTTATACCATCAGCACATAATACTTGGAAGGAGCTCAGAACATTCATTTAGTGAATGAATGAATGAAAGCTTTTGACCCTCCTTTATACCAAACTTTCCTTTAGATATGACTTCAGCCAGAGCATGTACATTGCTTATGGACAGACAGATGAACAACAAACTAATCTCCACCAAGATAGGTTTTAGAAGTCCCTGAAGTAATTGTGTATGATGCATCTCAAGAGCAAAATCATACAGTCATGTACATTATTTCCTTGTACTAATATTTTACATATGAAAAACAAATGTGATCAATTTAACCTTAAATTGAATATGATTAGTTTGCAACAATAAAGTGTGTAGTTGTCAACTTAAATTTTGTTTGTGTGCATGTCGAGCAGAACTTTTTGTAGCATGTCAAGTTTATCCAAAGGCTCAGTATTCCAAAGGTAGTGGGAGAGGATAAAGGGTTTTAAAAAGGAAGGTAGAAGGCAAGATGGAAGAAAACCAAAACTCACAGTGCCTAAAGTAAAAATGACTGCTATTCTTAATTAAATACAACAATAATTTTAAAGTAAATGATACTGGCTCAGAAGAATAAAATCTTTGAGCTGATATTTACTTTTATTTATGCCCCTTCCCCTTCACCCCTCTTTTGTTATACTCACATCACTGATTTGCTGTGTGTTTTGCTTTGCCTGGACCATAACTGGGGAGTCCACGATGCTGGTGAATTTGAGGGTGTCTGGATGTTGCCTGTACTTCTTTTCATTCAGGGCATCACCTGCCTTCTTAACTTTTTCTACATCAAGACTGCCAATAGGTACCCAGCCAATACCTTTCATCCAGTTATTATAATCTTCCTTATAGGCATTCTATAACAAAAGGGAAAAAGCGGGGTGAGTGCCGTAGGCAGTAGGTTCGCGCAAGGTAGGCTCTGACCTTGAGGGGAACTATTATGTAGAGTTAATGTCACTTACATCACTCTGTATTTGCATCATATTTTTAGACAACTCCAGGTCCATGGCATCAGGCAGATATGTATAATGATGGATTGGATGCTTATAGTTGACATTGCTGACAACATCCTGAGCTTTCTTAGCTGCCACAACATTGAACATATCATGGGGTGTGTTGTATTTAGTTTTTGTCTTCTCATAGTCTTTTTTATATTCCCGTTCTGATTGTATCTTGGCCACATTCATATAATGAACCAGTTTAGGATCATCTTGGAGACTTTGAAAACCAACCATTTTCCCTTTGGCCTTTTCAAAATCTTTTTTGTACTGAACCTATTGGAAATAAAGTTGAGCATTTTTTAATGCTAGTTATGAAAATTCTAGAGAAAAATGAGCCCATATTTGAAGGTATTAAACTTCTCAGAGATTACTTTATTTCATTAAACATTTAGATATTCATTTGCACATACTTTAATTCTAAGCTGGTAAAAATAAATATTAGAACACATTGATCATGTAGTTGCTTCTCCCACCTGAGAGGGACCTGGGGTGGAGGTGTTACCGTAATTCATACCAGTGACAAGTAGTTGACTATTTGATTAGTAACAAAATTATAACCGCAACAGAATATTAGCAGTTATAACAGTATATTCATAGTAGTAGAACTTCCATGACTCTCTGGTCTATTCAAAAGGTGATCCAGAGAAAATTGTATGTTAAAACTAATTGGCTCTGAATAATAAAGTAAGAAAACTAAGCTTCACTGGGGAAAAACTGGGAAGCATAAAAGTAGATATTTGAGGGCAGGTTTATGTGTTATGTTGGGTCTGGAGGAGGCTAGAGGGGAGCACCCATGGAGAACTGGAATTGAGAAAGTCTGGAACAAAGCATTTTGAACATGGACTTTATTATTTAACTGTAATGCATTTACAGTGGTGCTCTGTAAACCTCATTTCAAACAGCCACTGAAATTGTGCTTGGGATTGGGGAGAAGAAACCAAAAGAAGGGTCTTAGCAGGGCAGTAAGAGAAGGCAACCAGCTGAGGAGGGCCCAGGAAGTCAGAGCAAATTCACTGTATGCAGACCAGGGGCCAAAGTGATCAGAATAACAAACACATACTATCTGCAGAAGTCTTCAGGATAATGGGTGGAGGCTTGAATCAGCTTACTCTCAAAGAGCTAAGTGACTTCAGTTCACATCTGGATTTAAGTTAAGATACAAAATTCCTAACTGTAATGGAACCTTATAACTGACTATTAGGGTTAGTCTGTAGAAACAATGTAGTATAAAGACTGAATAAAAGAGAGAGGCATTCATATAAATTAAGTAAGTTTTGAGGTGAAATCTCACCATCTGTAATAGGACCTTTTTTATTTCCACAAGAGAAATTAGGTGATGATTTTAAATTACAAGTTTGATCAGAATGGGTAGGTAAAGGTTATAGAAATTCTTACCACCATAAAATTCAGAATTTGCTTTCTTAATAGTTTTCAACCAAAACTTGCTTCGACCCAGTGAAGCAAGGGTAGAAGCTCTTTGACTTTTGGATAAACTCCCCAACTAGAGGTCACCCACCCACATTTCCTGATGGCACACAGGTGACTACCAGCTGGACTTACGTCACTTGCTGCCTGCCTGGCAGCTTTGGCAGCTTTGATGGGAATCGCATCAATTCTCAGGTCATATCCCTTCTTGCTCATATCTTTCAAGTCTGCTTTGTACATATTCTGAAAGAAAAATGGCATTTGCATGTAACTCAGACTACACTTAGTAAAGTCTTACCAGGCAAACAGCAGTCAAGCGCACGTGCATACCTCGCTGATATTGTAGGCGTTAACTTTAGCCTGAACGAACTGGGGCAAGTCCACTGGTAGGCTGTATTTGTGAAGAATTTCCTCTCCTTTGGCTTTGTAGGCAATCTGGAAGAAAAGAAAAACTCATAAAGAAAGAAATCATTAATGCAGGAGGAAAATATTTTGAAAGTGGAATCACACTGCACAGAGGTCATCTTTTATTAGACACTCTCTGAGCCATGGCCATGTTCATCCTCAACTATCTGTGTACTTAAGGTTTGGATACCATTGCAAGGGTCCTGTCTTAGTGCTGAATCTTCCTGGGCAAAGTTACTGAGAAATGCACTAAGAACTTCTGGACTTAGGTAAGGGCACCTTGTGGAGGTGACTTAGCCTAGGGAGGTGACTGGACAAGAATGTTAACCTGCAGAGACTTTCCCAAGTATAAGAAAAACTGATAGTGTAGGATACACCAGAATATGTACTTTGTGGGTGACTGAAAGAATTTGGGGGTAGTTTTTACAATATATGTTTTTTTGTCTTAGCTCCAACTTAAAATACCACTCTTCCATTTGATGCAGTGCCTATGGTCTATTTTTCTGGTTGTTCCTAGAAATAGGGTCATAGTGCTTCTTGTCATCAAAAAAAGCCTCTTATGTTTTCCTTGGAAAGCAATACCTGTGGTTGAAACGACAGTCAGCACAATGATTCACTACTATAAACATAGGAATCATGTGTTTTTTAAAATGAAAATCTGGAAGAGTAACACAGTTGTTCATGTAATTAAGTCTCAATAATAACTACAGATGACTGGTACATATAGAATACAAATATAATTGTTAGTTAACATTTATTAAAATACAAATAGGATTAATACTTACATCACTCCTCTGGGCCTGGTTAATTTTAGATTGCACTGTAATTGGAGCATCTTCAATTGCTGTAAACTTGAGAGTGTCTGGATGTTGGCGGTATTTTTTCTGTTTGGTAAAACAAAAATAGGATTATTTTCACTGAAGTTTAAATTGTCAAAACCCTCAAGAATTTCTCTAAATTGAAATATTAAAATACTAGATTTTTGTCTGATGTGGGGGGAAAATGAGTATCATACAAAAGTGTCTTTAAAAACATCAGCCTGGGCCCTCCCTGGTGGCGCAGCGGGTTGGGGCACTGCACTGAGAGGCTGGAGCCACTTCCGCATGGGTTCGATCTCCGCCTGCCCCGGAGGTGACCACGTGGCGTGGCGGACCTCTCCTGGCCCGCCCGCTGCTCCCCTCAGCGGTGTGCTTCGTCGGTCTGCCTGTTCTGCTCCCTGCTCTGTCTCTGGTGTGTCCTCTCACCCTCCGCATCTCTGGCCTGTACCCCAGTTCTGTATGAATGGATGAATAAATCTTTAAAAAAAAAAAAAAAACATCAGCCTAATTTTGCACTGTTCAGGACCAATACAGACCAATAAAGCTTTAGGAACCAGACTTGACCTTGACTTTCTTAATTCCTTTCTTATGACATGAAAGAGGGCACTCTTAGCTAAGCCAAATCTAGCAGTATCACAAAGTTTTCTTCCAAAGAACTAAGAAAAGCAAATAAGGACATATGGAATATATATCTATGACATTAACAAGTTCTCAGGGATGTCATTCTTCCTGTCACTTCATCAGCAACTGAAGTAAAGTTCTCCAGAGGAGGGAGGAGGAAGTGAGGAACAAGGGCAACAACTACAGATTATTAATAAGAGAGGAAGGCCTTTTGTTTTGTAAGCCTTAAAGTAGTTAATCCACATGTTATCAATAAGGTGTTGAGGAAGACAGGAGGGTGACAGAAGGCTGGAGCTGGCAAATTCTAGTTACTCTTATTCCTACATTCTTCTTCATTTATTCTCCCATTCCTCTCCCTTTGTGCACACTATACAGCCCACTTCTGTGTTTTGTGTGTGCATCAATTTTCCAACTCCAAATTTCTGAAAATTACTATCCCAGAAGATCTTATTTTCAAAGATTTGAGTAGGTAAAGACTGTTTTCACCAAAACCAAACAAAAGCACAAAACAAGATCAAAAAAGAACTTGAATGTGAAGACAACCCTCATTCAGAACCTGTTCCCTTCTTCCTGTAGTCCAGTCTCCTTGATGATGAAGTCACTTCACAGCAATGGGATGCATTGCTTTTTCTTATTTTGAATAAAAATTTATATTCTACTTCAAAGCCATCAAAAATAATATAGAGAGGACAGTACTTAAAAGAAAAAAAGTCTGTCAATTCATTAGATGCATTATTCATCATCACAAATACTAAGGAAAAATCTGCTTGTCCACCAATGGGGTAACCAAATTGCAACATAGCCACACAAAGGAATAATGCTCAAGACGAAAAAGGAATGAATTACAGAAACATATACAACTATGTGTCCATAGCTACCTCAAAAAACATTATACTAAATGAAAGACTCCTGATACAAAAGAAATTGCAAGAAAAACAGCAGAATGCAGATCAGTGTTTGCTTGGAATTGAAGATGGGAATGGGGATTTTTGAAGGAAACTTTTTTGGGTACTAAAAGAATCTTAAAATTCAGTTGTAGGGATGACACAATTATATGAATTTAGCTATGAAGATACACAGCTAAAATAGGTGAATTTTCTGTTTTACAAATCATAACTCAATAAAGTCGTTAATGAATATGTCCCTCATGAATGGTAAATGTAACTAATTTTAGTGGCCTAGAGGGTATGCTTATCTACCTGGATAACTCATGCATGTCACAAAATTTTTGTTTCCTCAGCAACAATTATTGGTAAATGAAGTAGTCAAACTCTTGGCTTGGAGGTTTTTTATGAGACATTCATCATTCTCTCTTCCACACACACTGGTTTTACCTCATTAAGGATGTCTGAAGCTCTCTTCGCCTTTTCCATTTCTAAGGACCCAAAAGGCACCCAGCCACAGCCTTTCATCCAGCTGTTGTAGTCGGCCTTATATTCAACCTAAAACACCAAAAGAAAGATTATAGTTCTTTGCCCAGTATGATCTTTGTTCACAATATCATTAAAACTTTACCCAATGGGATGTTTTTAATATTTCTGACAGTGCTTTATCGCTCCATACATTGTTATTTTAGACATTTCCTTTTGAGTGATTTTTTAAAAGATTTATTTATTTATTCATACAGAACTGGGGTACACTGGGGTACAGGCCAGAGAGCGGAGGGTGAGATTCTTCACCAGAGACAGAGTGGGGAGCAGAATCAACAGATCAACGAAGTACACTGCTGAGGGGAGGGAGCAGCGGGCGGGTCAGGGGAGGTCTGTCACGCCATGTGGTCACCTCCAGGGCAGGCCGGGATCCAACTCATTCAGAAGTACCTTTTGATTCTTAGTGCTGTGCTTTAACCCACTGAGCCACCAGGGAGGGCCACTTTTGAGCGATTTTAATAATCATTTTGGTTTTGCTCTTTTTCTGATTGGCAAGTGTTCCATTTGACCCTTATTTCCAGTAGAATGGAAATATGTGGAACTTTAATTCCAACCAGGACAAATGTTGCATTCAAAGTTGTATTTCAAGGGATAACTGAAATTGTTGTATGCTTAAGTGTGATGTTTTGATGGTCAAATTAAGACTGAGAGTCACCTTATTTTCTGGAGAAATAAGGGCAGATACCAGTTACTGCCCGGTGTGCATGCCTTTTATGTGTCATCAGTGTGAAACTGTGTCTACACTGACCAGCAATGCACTTTAAATTATTTGCACTTATTAGTTGCTTGCGGAGAGCATTTATCACTCAGAATTTGTTCTGCTGGGGGCAGTTACTTGATGCTATTAAAATAATGACCTACTCTTGCCTGGCCATAGGTGGTATACTTTTCTTACAAAATTCAAATTATTAATCTTTAGCATGGACCTTTAATTGAAATGAAAATTCAAGTCACCATTTGGTTCCTCCCTTTTGAGGCTTATGATATATTTAGGAAAAGTCACAAAATTAAATATAATAATACATAAAATTATTAGTAATTTATTAGTAGTAATTATTATTAGCAATTTATTAGCAGTAATGTATATTAGTAATTTTAATACATAAAATTATTAGCAATTGTACATCTGCTGTGGAATATAGTATGGTGGTTTCTAAAAAACTGAAAATATATTTACCATATAATCTAGCAATTCCACTTCTGAGTATATACTCAAAAGAATTGAAAAGAGGCTCTTAATGAGGTATTTACATACCCATGTTCATAGCAGAATGAGTCACAGTAGCCAAATAGTAGAAACAACCCAAATGTTCACTAACAGATGCATGGATTAAAAAAAAAAAATGTGGTATGTACATATAATGGTGATTATTCCTCAAAAAGAAGAAAATTCTGACAAAGGCTGGAGCACTAATGACCCTAGAGATCATCAGCTAAGTGAAAAACCAAACCCAAAAAGACAAATAACATGTGATTCTGTTTCTATGAGATCTACAAAGTACCCAACTTACAGAAACAGAAAGTAGAAAGGTGGCTGTCAGCAGCAAAGGGAAGGAGGAAATGGAAGCTGTTTAATGATGTAGCATTTCATTTTTGCAAGATAAAAAAGCTCTAAGCTCAATGTGAATATAATGAATGGCTACTGAGCTAACTGTAGATTTTAAAAGGTAAAGATGGCAAATTTTTGTTATGTGCATTTTGCCACATTAAAAAAGAGAGAGTTGGGCCCTCCCTGGTGGCGCAGCGGGTTAAAGCATAGCACTAAGAAGCTTAAGCCACTTCTGCATGAGTTCGATCCCTGCCTGCCCAGGAAGAGATTGACATGGCGTGGCAGACCTCTCCTGGCCCGCCTGCTGCTCCCCTCAGCAGTGTGCTTTGTTGATCTGCCTGTTCTGTTACCCTCTCTGTCTCTGGTGAATCCTCTCACCCTCCGCATCTCTGGCCTATCCCCCATTTCTATATGAATAAATAAATAAATCTTAAAAAAAAAAAAGAGAGAGAGAGAGAGAGAGAGTTGTTAGGATAAATTGCTCAACTGCAGAGCTCAGCAAATTAATTTACAGAAAGAAGTTTGGGGTCACAGAAAAAATAGATATTGTAAATGATGCTTTATTTTCAGACAAGGTAGCAATCTATGTTAAAAAATACTGGTAATGAAGAATGTGATATTATAACGGTGATAATAACAGTGAATGTTTATTGAGAATTCACAAGACCTAGCACCACACTGAGTATTAGCATGCACATGCATCCCCAAAACAACTATTTTGTTTTTTCCCCCAGATTTACAAATGGGAATTCTAGACTCAGCAAGGCTGATAAGTTTCCAGTGGGAAGCAGTGATGAAGTGTATGTTAGATCAGGTGCCTCTAACTCTTACAGAACCACAAGGGTAATTTTCCCATTTCCCATTGTTACATGCAGCTATCTCTGAGAATTGCCAAAAGCATCACTCAATTTAGAAATTCTTTTCAGTTTCTGCTTAGTAAGGAAAGAATGGGGAAATCTGGGTACTTACATCACTCTGCAGCGCATAAGCCTTCTTTGCAAGGTCCATGTTGATGCTGTCAGGCGGGTAGCTGTAATTGTGTAAGATGTGCTTATAGTCCACGTCACTGACAATTGCCTGAGATTTCTTAGCTTGAGTGACTGGGAGCATGTCAAGAGGTGCTGTGTAGATTGTTTTTGACTTTTCATAATCTTTACGATATTCACGCTACAAATAGAAAATTACCATTATTACTATTCATTTTGCATGGGATTATTCCAGGAAAAACAGATTTCTCTAAACATAAATATGTGTTAAAGATACATATCTGAACAGCTGGATAGTTTTTCTTTTTAATTTGTTTATGTTACACATCATTGAATCTGCCACCCCCAAAAATTTATATCTGGACAGATATTCTCAAATCTCTCTCTTTTTTTTTTTCATTAATAAACAATCATCAGACTTTAGGAATAGGTTACAGCTTCTGCTTTAGTCAGGTATTAGATTATTTTAAAATAGCAAGTTCTTCAAGGACCATTAACAAGTATTATTTCCACAAAGGTAATTTAACCTTTGAAGAATTAGGACTGCCAATAAGGAAGTACTTTTTAATTGACAAATATGTGATAATTATTTCACACTTCAAATGTTATAAAATGGTTGCTTCTTAAACAGAGCTGTACACGTGAATTCTTGGCTTTTCTAAAATCACCTTTAAATGTTAGTTACTGAATTTTCAAGCTGACTATTCTACTTTTTACAGTAGATAAAGCCCTCTGAAAATCCCAAATGACTTTTTTTATCCAAATTTAATTTTGACAATAATTTTTAAAAAACATAAGATTACAGTAATTATCAGATCTCAAAATAGACAAGTCTGTGAAACTAAATTATTAAAGGAACCTTGGCCCTTATGTACAATGTTCTCATAAACCAAATGTTCTCAGTCCTTACTGAGTCCCAAAAAGCACTTTTATTGACTAATTTTTTAGAATGGGTAGGCAGGGTACTAGTTAGGTCAAATCCAGCTTCATCATGTCCACTCAACAGTTATTTTAACAGAGAGAAAAAAATCTGACCCTGTGACTTTAGGAAAATTGCAAACTCATTATGCCTTCTTATAATCACATAAGTATTAAGGACAGTAACCCAAGTTAGCAAGTATAAACGAGCATTATAAATCTTCTAAAGACAGTACTTTGACAAATGATCCAATCTTCTAGCTTTCTTAAGGAATGTGATCTTTATTCTAATATTTTGTGGGTAGTCACTTTCACCTAATTGTAAGATAAGTGAAAATATAGAAACTTTCTGATGGCATGCAAAAACATGGAAAAAATACAGACCAGCTGTCTTTATTAGAAATAATACAATATTGACCAAGCAGTGTTGTATCAATATTGTGTTCAAGGAGAGGTACATTTTGACTGAATTGTTTGATTTATTTATTCATGGTCATACATACCCATATAAAATGTTGTCAGAGTCAATTGACTTTAAAAAGTTCTTTTTTTTTAAATTGGTGGCATTCATATATATGTATGCCATATATTTTTTAATTTATAATAAAATAGTTTATTTTTACATTATTTTGTACATTTTTTCATCTCACTTGTAATCCCCATGGGCTTCCCATCACCAAATCACCTGTGTGTCATCACCATAGTCCAGTGCACTTCCCTCCTACCACCGTTTTTAAAAAGTTCTTTTTAAAATCTATGAGTGCTCTGTAGCTGCCACTTAGCATTTTGCCTGGATATTCTGTGAGATGCACCATCATTAATTATCTCTTTTGGCTATCACCATCAATCAATCAGTAAGTATTTACTGAAAACTTATTAGGTACTTAGAGCTGCAGTGGGTCCTACTGTGGGCTAAGGACCAAAGATAAAAGACCCACTAAGGCCAAAGAGCTACAATGTTCTTATAATGGAGAAGGAATTAGAGAACAAGTAGTATTATGAATTTGTGCACTGCATACTGACATAATTTGTAGTGAAGTTATTGAAGAAAATTACCAAGTGGGATGTTTAAAGTAACAATGTAGTAAATAATGAGTTAACAAGGAGCATACGTGTGGATCATGATATGAACACATGGTTAAAATGAAACAAGCATCTGAAAATTCTGTTAAATATTCTTACCACTTTTAAAAGTCTCTAAACTATAAACCAGAGACATTCTGTAATAGAGAAGAGTAGGATCAAAACAAGGGTGGGAAGAGCACAATGGACTATGGTGATGGCACTCGAGCGAACTGGTGTGGGAATTCCATGAGGATTACAACCAAGATGAAAAAGCATCCAATGTACAAAAATGAAGAATGATGTAAATATATATATATATATATATATATATATATATATATATATATTTCAAAAAAAACCATAGCATGTAGTAAAACCTGCAATAGTTGGTGTTTGCCTTCCTATAGTAAGAATTATAATCACAAGATGGTACATGGCTCACAGATAAGAATTAAGAAGTCCACGAATTTGGCGCTCCCTGGTGGCGCAGAGGGTTAAAGCACAGCACTCAGCCATTTCCGCATGAGTTCGATTCCGGCCTGCCCCGGAGGTGACCACATGGCATGGCAGACCTCTCCTGACCCACCTGTTGCTCCCCTCAGCAGTGTATTTCAACGATCTGCCTATTCTGCTACCCACTCTGTCTATGGTGAAGCCTCTCGCCGCCCCTGAGCCTCTGGCCTGTACCCCAGTTCTGTATGCACAATAAATCTTAAAAAAAAAAAAAAGTCCACGAATTCTCTGAAGGTTAAGCATGAAAAAAGTTAGTTTTTGTATATAGATGTTCCAAATCTTTCATCAGATTCTTTAAAAAACTTACAGTTGAAGGAATTTTTAATTTGACCTCAAGGCAACAGTAATGCTAAAATCAATGAAAAACAGTGATAGCTATATCGAGATTTTTTGTTCAGAATTGGGGTGCAGGCCAGAGGTATGGTTATGGAAGGGATAAGATTCACCAGAGACAGAGTGGGGAGTAGAACAGGCAAATCTACTGAAATTTACTGCAAAGGGGAGCAGTGGGAGAGACAGGAGAGGTCTACTATGCTGTATGTAGGTTAACTCCCTGACTGGGGGTTGAACTCAGGCCATAATGATAGCACTGAGACTTACCCCATAGGCCACCTGGGAGGCCCTATGCTGAGATTTTTATCTGTGACTCATGATTTTCTTCCAAAATAAAGATGATTTTAAAATCAGCACTTTAAAAGTGATTGTCAACTAGAAAACAATCACAGCATACAGTGATGTTTTCTAAAAGGTGGTGAAAATTATAGTCAATAATTATTAGCACCTACATTTTTCAAAATTCAATGGATATCAAGTACAAAGTAGTGATTCTCTCCTCAAATAAGAAAGGTGCAAGAATCTGTGGAACCATTCTACTTCCAAAGTAGATGTAGATGGTTGTAGTGAACATGAGAGAGCCCAAGGATTTGGATCCCTGTACATGCTACTGCCCTCATGCAACTGGGAGAAGGCTACCATCTGAGAGCAAGACTAATTGACAGAAGCACTCACATCACTCTGGTTTTTGGCCGTCTTCAGAGAGTGCAGCATCTTGGGATCATCATTAATGCTCAGGGCTCCAATCATCTTCCCTTTGCTTTTCTCATAGTCTTTCTTGTACATCACCTGCAAAGACATCACACATGACACATCCCCCTTCGAGAAATACCTCCTAGGCTCCCTGTCCAGGTGAACAGGCCATACTCACATCGCTAGCAATCTTGCTGTTGGCCTTGGCTGCCAGTAGGGGAATGGCATCCATTTTAATGTCAAATTTCTTAGCTTTGCTCTTCTCCCAGTCCTGTTTATATACATTCTGGATGGGAAGATTTTAACAAAGGAAATATAAATATAACATTTAACATGGATTCTTCCAAAAAAGATTTTAAAACTGAACATTTCTTAAGTCATGCATCATGCAATGCTGTTTCAATGGCCGACTCTATACACAAACAGCCATAATAGACCACACCATATAGCCCAAGTGTGTAGTAGGCCAACCACCTAGGTCTGTATTCTTACTTATACTTTGAGTGTGTCCAATCTTGAAATCACCTAATGACAATTTCTCTGAAACTGTCCTTGTTATTTAATGTTACATGGCTGTATATATAGAATTATCTCATCTATAACTTTATTTGCCAAATGGTAGTATAATTATTGACTTACCTATCACCTAGCTTCTCCCCCCACCACCTAATAAATATAATTTTGCTAATAACCTGTGACCTTTTTAAGGACTCTGCTATTCTAATGTGCAAAGGGTACTATAAAATGAATCCTATTTGGAAAAGAAGAAATGTGACATTTACAAAGAAGCAATCTCTAAAACCCTTGGAATTAGCAAAGCAGTAATTGAAAAGTATGTTTCCAATGGTAACACAGTGTGCAAAATGAAATCTTACCAATAGAGCATTAAGATCTTAAAAGCTATACTTATCACCTGATAATAATCTCTATTGTTGTTTATTTGCATAACTCTTAATCTAGTCTGTTATAACACACATAACATTTCTTCTTTACACATGCATGCAAACATAGGTTTTTGTGGGTTTGGTACTTACATCACTCAAATTATAGGCATTGACTTTATGTTGGATAAACTCTGGTGCATCTGCTGGTACATTGCACTTGAACTTCTCACCTTCATGTTTTGCTTTGTAATTCAGCTGAAAAGCAGTAGCAATGGCCAAACAATTTAGGGTAAGAACTTCAATTTGCTTGAGAGATTGTATATAGCTATGTCATTACTACCCATTTTAGAAAAATGCTTCAAAGATATAGTCAATCCCATCAAAGTTCCACAAAACGTCTAGACTATCACTCATCAGCAAATTTCAGGTTGTCATTTTGTAAATGCTGTCACATTGTATGTATGTATAAAACTCACTATCTGATTTAAACATCTAGACTGTTCCACAAAGGCATGAACATTCAAAATCTATGAAATTCTGAAATCAAAGCACTAACAAAAATGAGAGTAATTAATAAAATACTAGCACAGTTAAAAAGATATTTATATTGTTAAATTTATAAAAGATAGGAGTTTATTTAATATTTACAAAGATGACAGTAGGCTTCGGATGGGAATGTAAAGAGGGAATACAGCTGTTGATGCTCAAGATAGAGAGTTGTGCTTATAAGCACCTTATGCAGAACCTAACCAGGTTAATGAGAAGAGAGCATGGTGATTGGGCCCTAGATACAGCATGTTATTCCTCTGCAGCTTGTCAAGTTCATTTGGGTCAGTAGTGTTAGTATCTAGGCTGCTGTTCCTTCTTGTGACTCAAATATAATGAAGATAAAAATTGTTACACATGAACCTATATGACTTCTGGATTATACTGACATCATTTTTTTCCCCCAATAATTGCACATGAGTGTAATTGCTAAGTGTGTCATTAAAATACTTGGCATAATAGGACAAGCAATATACAGCAAATCCTGAAATAATCTCCATTTTCTTCATCAAATTTCACTATAATGGTCATAAAAGCATGTTTTTCCCTTATCTGCATGGGTTTCCCCCAGGATTCACGTTTCCTCTAACATCCCAAAGAGACCTGATGGATTCACTGTGTTCCAGTCTGAGTGCACATGGGGAGGGTGAGTGTGTGACGGTCCCTGCAATGGGATGGTTCTGTGCAGGGTTAGTTCCTACTTTAGTCACTAAGAAACCAGGATAAATGCTGGCTAACCATACACTGACCTAGAATAAGTAGATTGGAAAATGAATGAATACAAATGATTTTTTCACATTTGGAAATGTGATGTTATTGTTACCAGAAATATGCTATGGGAACTTAACACTGCCTTCAATCAATTAACCTATGGTAAAATTGCTTTCATTATGCATGGTTTTGCTTAAGTCAGTTTGCAAAATACTATCTGTGACTTTAAGTGAGAACTTAGTGTACTTCAATTTCCTGTCTTGACAAGGATGTACACTCAAAGCGTGGTTTACCAAAGCACTGACATTATTTAAGAGCATATTAAAGAATCAGAACAGATTCAGATCCACTGAATAAGAATTTGCATTTTTACAAAAGTCACTAAGGGTTCTGCGTGACCATGAGCGTTTGAGAAACACCACTGTTCTCTTATCTTGGCATAGGGCGCCATTCTGATGGGCCTAACTTAACCATCCAATATAAAACCACCACCCATCACTCTCTCATGTGATCCTGTTTTAATTCTAAAACATCATCCTATATTTGTTTTCTCATTATTGCGTGATGTCTTTCTGTATTCTTTCTTTCAGTTAGCAAATGAATAGGAAATACTTGTTTTATTACCAACCCAAGAGGATGCTTTTGTTTTTCATTTAACTTGGCACGAAGTTTTAATAAACATTCTTTTTAGATCTTTTGACAGATCCTAATGACAGATCCTAAAAATTAGTGCTTTCTTGAAGAAGTATATCTTTTATTTTTGTTATTGTCTCACATAATTTTTCCTGGGCTACTATTCAATATAGCAGCTTCCTTTTAATTTTATTAAAGAAATCTTAAAAATAGGGCTTTGTTGGGATGATAGCTGAGTCAATGAAGATTAAATGTGTAAATGTTTGTTTCAAAGAAGCAAGGCTTATGAATCATCCACACTTGTGTAAGTCAAGGTACTTACATCACTACGTTGCTTTGTGTTGAGCTGAGCTTGCAATAGTACAGGAGAATCAGTAACAGCTGTGAATTTGGTCTTATCTGGATGAACTTTGTAGGTATGCTAGAAAACCAGATGTTTTTTAATGAAATTTCATAATATACTTTCTTATTCCAGTTCATATGCATACAAATATATATAAGCCTCCAGACAAATATAGTTCCTGAAATTATGCCTGAAAACTTTGTGATACATGGTTACATCTTACCCTGCTTTCTCTCTCAATCTCTCCCTACTGAAGTAGTCTCTAAACTGGTCTCCTTGCTCCAACTCAGCCACCAAATTAATTCCCTGCTCTGCTGAAGTTCACAATGACTTTGCACTGGCTACGGTATTTAATTTAAACTGTACTTGGGCTTGAATGCCCTACCCTAAAGAATCCACCTTTCTTTCCTGCCACTTTACCTCTCATTACTGTCCTCCTTCCAGGTACTAACTCATTCACCACATTCAAGTCCTTAAATTCCAAACTTCTCTCTCCTTAGGCTGTTCTTCCTGCTGTTCCCTCCCTGCCTCCCTCCTCATTCCTGCCTTATACCTTCCTTGACTACCCAGCCTACACTGCCCATTTGGTCTCTATCCTATGTCATCCTAATTCAATTCTGTAGCAATATTATATGTCAATTATCCTATCATTGCCTGATATCTCTTGTTTTTGTGTTCTTTGTTTATTGCCTATCTGTTTCTCTCAAATACACAGCTCACAAGAGGCAGCCTACCCTAGCACCTAATTCTTTCCCCGCATCAAGGGGAGCATCTGACACAAGCTAGCCCCTCAAGTAAATTTGTTGACTGAATGAACCACCTATCTCTCACAAATTTCCATGTCTTTCCTTTCCTCAAAACCATGTGTATATAAAAAAGTCAAAACAACAACTTACAAAAATGAAATTATTTTGCAATAAATAAGTTTCTTTACAGTAATTTTTGTAGTTCTCACCCAAAAATCAAAATTTAAAATTAAACACCTGCTAGCCACTCAGGTTTAGATGTTAGCATTTAAACCCGAGGCGCTAGCACTTAAACATCCACTATATTTACCACTAGATGGCATAAGAATTCCAAACCCTATTGAAGAATCCAGGGCAGCTGACTTACGTCTTTACACTGATCTAACTTCTTGATTGCTTCATATTCTTGTGTTATTGTCTGAGGGAAATAGCATTTCCCTCTATCTTCTTCATATTCTGCTTTATAATTTTTCTGTAATAAGAATAAACAAAAACAGATCATGTTTGTCATTACTCCAAACCATATCACTGTGAGGTTTGAACAATTATCTTCAAACTTACATCACTGTTTTGAGCTGAAACTTTCATGCAGTGTATTTGATATGGGTCCTCAAAGCTGCCTATGTAATGTCCCAAAACATTCTGTACATAAGAATCTTTATACTTAGCCTGAAAAAAAGAAAACATATGTAACTCAAAGTGACAAATGATTTGTCAACAGAAGGAAAGCCTTCAATCCCTACAGGTAAATCATGGCCTTTCAAACCTCACTGAAGCTCTTCAGCAGAGTATCAAGTTGGTATTTGGGAGTCTCACAGTAATTCATGCTCTTTGCCTTTGTCTTCTCATAGTTTTCCCTGTATAATCTCTGTCAAAAGACAAAAAAATCAAACAACAATTGTCAAACAAAGACAAATATATCTCATAGTATAAATTATTTGTGCTATTGCTATACTTTAACCAAAAGGTAAAAACTGAATTTTTTCAGTGTTTATTTGCATAATGCAAAAAAGAAAACCAGTGAAGTGAATATGATAGAGAGTTATGTCCTGTATAATCTATGTCCTGTGAATATGATAAATGGTTTTTGGCCGTCTTCAGACAGTGCAGCACCTTGGGATCATTATTAATGCTCAGGGCACCAATCATCTTCCCTTCTGTGTTAATGACCACAGATATGTTTGTTATTTTTATCACAATATTTCTCAACCAGAATAAGTCAGAGCACACCAATGCTGCTGTCTAAGCAACTTTTTGTTACAATCCTCTCCTCTTGAATGTGTTTGAAGGAAAATGAATTGTTTACGAGCTGGTATAAAATGAGGTAAAAGTATAAGGTGGACCTTAGTTACTAACACAGTTCTAGAAAAGTGTTCACTCAGAATTCCATGAAAGCATATTTTATAACACTCCTGGAAAATACCCTTTATCACTAAGACCTAATATTTAACATTATATCAGTAATGTAGGAATAGATGGTTTCTCTGCTTTATTGCATGTAACATGTATTCCTTTACATTTCTATTAATTCTCCTATATAGAAATAAAAAGCATACTCAATAAAGTCATGAATATATATGACTGATACAGAACAGAGTCTTCTTTTGCTATGAATATAAAAAGAATTTTGTGTAGAATTCTATTTTTAATAAATATTTTTAAATGATATCAAGATTTTATAAAATGTTTAAAATAAAATACTTCACTCTGAGGATTTTGTTTCATCCAGTTTTTTCCATTTTGTCTTAGCCAGATTTTTCTCACTCATTGTCTTTTGTTTTTCTAAATGTGTTTTCACAAAGTACTGTTCAGTTAGATCATATAAGGGAGCGAATACATGCTTTTACATACAGAGATAATAAACCCATTTCTAGAAAAAAAAATACAAATAAAAACTATCGCTAGTATATATTGCCCACTGATAGACCTGAGAACATTAAGAAGGTTAAGAGATTCTTTATAATATTCTCTGGTGTCAGAGAGTACAGAGCTACCTACCATATACAGGGGTTAACCAAGCCTTACTAGTGAGCATTCATGTTTGATATGTTATTCTGAATCTCAGATTTCATTGAAGCTAACATCCCATCCAAGGTGCAATCAGTAAGTATATTCACATCTGAGAGCAAGACAGGATGACAGAAGCACTCACATCACTCTGGTTTTTGGCCGTCTTCAGAGAGTGCAGCATCTTGGGATCATCATTAATGCTCAGGGCTCCAATCATCTTCCCTTTGCTTTTCTCATAGTCTTTCTTGTACATCACCTGCAAAGACATCACACATGACACATCACCCTTCGAGAAATACCTCCTAGGCTCCCTGTCCAGGTGAACAGGCCATACTCACATCGCTAGCAATCTTGCTGTTGGCCTTGGCTGCGAGCAGGGGAATGGCATCCACTTTAATGTCGAATTTCTTAGCTTTGCTCTTCTCCCAGTCGTGCTTGTATACATTCTGGACAGGAAATTTTTAGTAAAGGAATCAGTGAAAATGATATGCACATTATCACATGACTAAAGTATAATTAAATGGATTGTTTTCATTTTTCAGGGAACATGCATATTTTAGATAATTCTCAAATTTAAGCTTCTAATTCTCCACAATCAAGCCTTTTTAATTCTCCACAAGCAAGCCTCTTTTTTCAACAAATTAACATTTGACTCCTAACACTGAATATTTTATAGTGACACAAATATTTTACACTTAATCTACTTTTCATAATAAATATTAATACAGTCAATACATATTATATAAATACTTTATAATTTTTATCTCTAAGTTGTCAATAAAGGTTATTTCATGAATTGTTATGATATTCACTGATGTTAGGTAAGCTGAGTATTTTCTCTTAGAATTGTTGAAGAAACTGAAGCCCTCCTTCCCACTACAGGGTTACTAGGACTTTCTGCAGAAATGAGTATTAAATTGTGTGAAATAAGGGACAATAAAGGCCTGGGGGATAAACGAAATGCATCTAGAAATCAGATCCTAAAAGAAAAGTAATATTAATGCAGTGCAAGTTAATTTATGATTAGAGGATCTAACATTAAGATTTTCAATTAAACATATGAGTAGTGGTATTCTGAGAGTTGGTTAAAATATATGAAGATTGATTGTATGAAGCTACTTTCAAAATTACTACACCCACTTTATAAAATGAATTCAAAGTTACATCAGAAGGAGTATAGGAATATGATATAAATATTACCTGTGCTTTCCCTCTTTCATATTGAAAATCTATTCAATGAAATAATTATAAAAACAAAAGCACTGTTGTCAGCACAACACAGAACCATGTACAACAAACTTACATCGCTTAGGTTATAGGCATTAACTTTGTGCTGCAAAAGGGCAGGAGTATCTGGAGGTATGTGGTACTTGGACTTTTCAGTTTCGTGTTTTGCTTTGTAATTTAGCTAAAAAATGGGTGAGGAGAGAAAACACCAATTAGTTCTGAAGTATTGTTGCAAATTATAAACAAAATCTTGGGTGATACTTTTGATTAAAAAAATGTAAAATGCATTTTGTTAAGTGACAGTTAACAAAGTTGTTGAGATTGAAAGAGATGGGGCCACCACACATTACTGACAATCCTGTTTGCCAGACATACAGCAGCTAGCGCTGTGGTACAACCCCAGTGGTGTAAGGTGACTCATTCGCACATGTTCCCCTCTGTGCATATCACAATGGCCCTGTAGTCCTGGGGCCATTCAGAGTGACAGCGCATGCTTCCTTTTCATTATCAGTGCTCAAGAAATGCAGAATTTTTTCTAACAAAAAAGGGATATAATGGAAGGGTGATAGTCCCTCATACACATTATGGTTTGTTGATACACTAATTGAAGTCTAACAGAATTGAATCGAAGTCTTCAGACATTACTTTCATTGCAATTTTTTTCAGTGGACACAAACTAATTGGAAATTAATACTTAGTGCTCATAGGATAAAATGTAACTCAAAGATTTCATTTCCCAAAAACTAAGAAAAATTTCATGTAGAGAATACATGTTTGGAGGCAAATGAATGACCCATGCACATATTTCCTTTCACTTAATCTTCAAGTCAATCATAAATTATAAAAAGGAAATAAGAGGCATAGAGGGGTTAAAAACTTCTACTTAGGCCCATTACGTCAAAATAGAGCAGGTATTCCAATTTTATTTGACCTGAACACGTACTTTGCAATGCACTAAGCTACATTAGTTTCCCTTATAGAACCACCAATTAAAAACTATTTTAGATGATTAAAAATACATATGTATCTATACTTCCAAACACTTAAACTTTTGTTAATAAATGAGGTATCACTGGATTTTACATGGAGAGATATGCTATGTTATTTCTCATAATTTCTTGGATATTTAGAGCAACTTACATCACTCAGTTGTTTGGTATTGACTTGGGCTTGCACCATAACAGGAGAGTCAGTAACTTGAGTGAATTTTGTCTTATCTGGATGGACTTTGTATGTATGCTGTGGGAGAGAAAGGGAAACAGGCTCAGCAGGATCACCTGTCCAGTCCAAGTTGACCAATAGGCAAAGCAGGCAGAAAAATAAGAAGTTTGCAGTAAATGAAACACACTTGCTTTTCTCACTAGACTGCAGTTTCTTTGAAAGATGTTCTTACCTCTGTACAAGAAACTTTTCCATGTCTTCAGATTCCCAATAACTTCTCTTTGGGAAAATGAGCTAGAATTAACTCTTGAAGCATATGGATGATGATGGATAAAAACAGCCCTTTCTCTTACAGAATAAATTCTATTTCATACAACTTCCTTGCTTTCACTTACTACTGGTAGATATGTCAACACTTTAAACAGACTGACCAGTTGATGCTACAGAGGGAATAATATTCAAAATTCATACTAAAGACTTACATCTTTACACTGATCTAGCTTCTTGATTGTTTCATATTCTTGCGTTATGGTCTGGGGAAAGAAGCATTTACCTCTGTCCTCTTCATATTCTGCTTTGTAGTTTTTCTATTAGGAAGGAAAAATCAGACATAAGGATGTAACCATTGTATTCATATCCTAAAAAATGTTACTTGGAAAATTCAACAATTGTCTTAGTACTCACATCACTGTTTTGAGCTGAGATTTTCATGCAGTGTGTATGATATGGGTCCTCAAAACTGCCCACATAATGTCCCAAAATGTTCTTTAAGTAGGAATCTTTATATTTAGTCTGAAAGACAAAACACATTTCATGTATATATTGGAGAAATGATGGCTCTTTTCTTCATTCTTTCAAAGAGAATGACCACAGGATTACTTACATCACTACTGAAGTTCTGCAGAACTGTATCGAGCTGAAACTTGGGGGTCTCGCAGTAATTCATGCTCCTTGCCTTTGTCTTTTCATAGTTTTCCTTGTATAGTTTCTGTCAAAGAAAAGAAATCACTGAAAGTTGATTCTTGTCACTACTACAGATAATAACACTCATATTTTCAAACACTAAGCAAAAGAAGATAAAAAAAGATACTGCCTGTCAACGCTCTTTAAAAAGTGACAAGCATTAGAGTGTCATGAATGACAAGCCTTTTCTATTAGTAATTATTGTAAATCCATAGCTGTTAACATTCTCCCCCAAATCAAGAAGTCAATGTGCCAATTCAGGCCAAACCCTTAGTTGTAGAAATTCCTATGTATTTTCTGCACTACCGCCTTCAGTTCCCAGGCATACACATTTTCCTCACAGACAGTGCAACCACAAATAGGAATGTTCTGGGAACAGAGATTTTTTTTTTCTTTCCTTAAACAAGCTTTTTGTGAAAAATCTGTTTATGTTGAGAAATATACATTCTTTCTCCTTTTACCAAGGTTTAAAAGCCCCTTATTGTACAAACAGCATACCTTAAAAATAAGGTATATATGACAATTCAAATCATGACTCTACTGACTCTGCTGAGATGTATCATTCACTCCAGAGGTAATAGTAAACTGGGTTTTAAATGTATAAGGAGAAAGCAAATCATTGTCATTTTTCACTTTGGATTTTGAAATGGTCAATGGTGCTATTTGTTTTAATATGTGTATGGTCCTGTCTTTATCAATGAGTGAATTAAAATGAATTTGAACCTGCACTTTTATGATTGATAAAGGTAAACTTACTTTGGAAGCAGAGATGTGCTATGCATTGATACCCAAGAGAGCTATTTGGGCAAATCTGTTTCCAGCCACATCTGTCACATCATTCACCCACTCCTCAGTCACATCTACACCTTCCTATGGTGCTGACAATCCAAGGGACAAAGGAAAGATAACTATTTCACATCATACATATGTATATGTTTTTCCCCAAAGTTGGGAAAACTGAATATGTAAACATGAGGGAAAGACTCAACTGATCATATATATTCAGTCTTTATTTCTATAGTCAAAGTAGATTTGAACTGTCTATTAATGCCAGGCTGAGTTCTCACTTGTTAGCTATCTTAGGTCTAATGGATTAGTCAGGCTCTAGTGACTACGTAAGTAGAAATCCCTGTGAAGACTAGGAAGCCATCTTCTATGCCTTGCTTTCTACAAACAATGCTTTCTGGGGCCAAGGTCTGAGAGGACAATGGTGAAGATGGGGGAAGTGGGGGAGAGAAGTTATGAAATACAGGACATTTTCCTTCTTCTCCCAGGAATGTGCTTGAAAAAAATAAGGGCAGGATGCTGAGGTAGTTTTACTCTCTCTTGGCTTCTCTTGCAGAGGCTTCTCCCTCTATCACAACATAGCTCCTCTTTCATAATGTCTTTGTCCACACCGAGGCACAGGACCCCAGAGCCTATAATCATGTGAGGATTTCCTAATCTATTGAACTGACTTCACATGGTCCCCAAATGGACAAACAGCATAATCAAAGGCTCTTATGCCTTCCAGTGCCTATATCATTCCAGGGAAACTACACCATAACCTTAAAGTATTTGCATTTAGTCATTACAGAAGGAGAGGAATTTCATCTCACTTGCAGGTTAGAAAAGCACTTTTGACAAGGGTATACTTACATCACTTAGGACATCTCCTGCTGTCTTCAGCTGCCTGAGCAGCGGGTTCTCTGTAGCAGGAAGTACATTATAATCTGCTTTTCCTTTACTCTTTTCATAGTCTTCTTTGTATTTTACCTGTATGAGTGAAATAAAGTGATAAAATAACTCTCCAGGTTATTTTTGTTCTTGTTTTTATTATGTTATTATGGCACAGTTCCACAAATCAATTTTCTCTTCAGAGAAATGGCAGCTTGACATTTTATAAACAAAATACTCATAGTAACTCATAATAGCAGCAGAAAAACTGCATAATTTCCAGGATACTTTTCCTTCCCATTCATTTATTCATTCAAAAATATACACTGGGTGTCAATTCTATGCCTGACTCTGGGACAAACACAAGATTGAATAACACCTGGCTTCTCCTCTCAAAGATAGAGAGACACATAAATAATGGGAGAGGGAAAGATGCACAAATAATGGCAGTATATCCTGTCCCAGAGACCTTTTTTGCCAGAAACTTCACACAGCTCTTAACCCCCAACTGCCTTTTGCCAACACATTTTTGAAGAAATTAATCTAGAGGCTTAATCAATCTACTCTTTTATGTCTTATCTGTAACTGTGTTTGAGCAGGCCTGCCTATAATGTCTGTAATACATTATTATACCTATACATAATCTACTAACATTTAAGAACCTCATAAGGCAAAGCCAAAGTTTGGAAAACTAAAGGTAGAGAGACGTGACTGAAACAAAGATGTACCACCCCCTCTAGTCCACACAGTACACACCACAGATCTCTACAGGAATGACAGAGATGAGTAGACTTTGTCTTTTATAGAATTATGTGTTCCCTTTAAAAATGGAAAGAACCAGAAATAAAATTCCACAAACATGATTACCCTCCTGCTTCTGGGGTACCAAGCCTCCTTTCCAGTTTATGGATGAACAACCAGGGCTAGTGGCAGAGCCACCTTGTCCTAAGTACCACATATTCCTACACTTCCTCTTCTCAAGCACAGCACTCAAGCCACTCCGCCCTGCTCCAACTGTATCACATCATTATCTCTACACTGGAATTTCTGCATCAGTGTAAAAACATGATGTGTTCATGCCCTCGTTGGTGGCGCAGTGGGTTAAAGCACTGTACTAAGAAACTTGAGCCCCTTCCGCATGAGTTCGATCCCCGTCTGCCCTGAAGGTGATCCACATGGTGAGGCAGACCTCTCCTGACCCGCCCACTGCTCCCCTCAGCAGTGTACTTCGTCGATCTGCCTGTTCTGCTCCCTACTCTGTCTCTGGTGAATCCTCTCGCCCTCCACATCTCTGGCCTGTATGAATAAATAAATAAATCTTTAAAAAAAAAATACATGATGTGTTCTTTCCTCCTCTTTATCCACTTACCCATTGAGGTAGTAGCCCCTTGTTCTTCTTTTCTTTTCAGGAAAATACTTTAAAAGAGCTGAGCATATTGACGTTCTTTTATTCCTCTCTCCTCATAATGAATCTCACATATATTGATAAATTCACTTCAGCAACTTTCAACATAGGTGATCCTCCCATCTCCTTTCACTTGCTGCCCACAATATTCCTCACTCCTGACTTTGCTCCCACCTCATCATGCTGATGTCCTCACATGGAAGCATTCCAGTTTTCAGTCCTCAGCGTTTCCTGTCTAGACTCATTCCCTTGATGGCTTCTAGTCTTATGGTGTTAAGTACTATCCACATGTTGATGACTGTCAAATTCTTCCTAGGTAGATCACCTGAATTTTCACTCATATAATTAACTGACATTTCCATGTGGATGCCTAAAAGGTATGTCTGAAGATGAGCCTCCTTTCCCCTCAAAAAAATTGTATCCACTTCTTCCATGGTCTTCATAAAAGAAAACTACACCCATCTCACTGCTTGTATCAAGACTTGTCTGACCTATCTGATATCCACCCCACCAGTAAATCAGGACATCTTTACTTTCAAAATTTTTCTCATCATCTGTCCCAATTCCGTCATCATCCGAACCTTGTACCTGGATCATGTAGTAATCTCGTAAGTGGCAGGATTTTCCTGCTCTGAACATTCCAGCAGTGCCAAAGTCAGAACTAGAACCAAGTAAGATTAGTTTTGAAGTTTATGGTTTAGAATGCTAGAAAGTCCAACTATTTACTGAAGATACTCTAGGGAGCATATGAGTATATTTATGGGTTCATGTGTTTTGTCTATGACTGTATATTCACCCATTAATCGGGAAATCAGAAAAAGGGTGTTAGCAGTAAGTGTGGCACTGCCCATACCATATAAAGCTGCTAATTCTTTTCTTGGGAGGAGGAGTTCTTTTTGAAATTATGGTCTTTCTACTTCTGGATATCAAAAGGACCTTTTTGAAATGTTGAAGAATTGGGTGTTGCTAATGCTCACGTGTAGCAATTTTTAACAAATTGATCCCTTAAAGTACAGACTTTATATAGCAGTTTTTAAAAGTTTGGTAGGCCCTTCCTGGTGGCATAGAGGGTTAAAGCATAGCACTATGAAGCTAGCCACAGCAACCCTGGACGTGATCCATATGGCGCAGCAGACTCTCCTGACTCTCCCACTGCTCCCCTCAGCAGTGTACTTCATAGATCTGCCTATTCCGCTCCCTACTCTGTCTCTGGTGAATCATCTCACACCCTGCACCTCTGGCCTGTACCCCACTTCTGTATGCATAAATAAAAAATATATTTTTTAAAAATTAAAGAAAAATAACTTTGGTAGCCCTATTTTTACCCCAAAGCAATTTTTGTTGTTGGTTTAATAGTACTCTTCAAATGGGTTGAGACCCCCTGGTCTCAAATCTGGTATCTCCCCAAGAACCCCCTTTTTATATTATAAGCAAAAGTCTTTGAAGAAATTCACCCACTCTAAGAATGTGAAGATAAATGAATGAAAGAATGTCCTAGTACCTTGCTAGCTGTCATTCCAGCTTGTTTATTCACTTTATACTCTGGTGTTTCAGTCTGCATGAAGTAGATCTGGTCTTTCATATTTTCAAAGTCTTCCTGGTACTTCCTCTGTAAGATATTAAACACACGGAAGAACTGTAGGGGGAACAAACTATAGAGGGGACTTACATGGGAGGACAGAAAATTCATTTTGAGAATTAATCAAAAATTTTCATAGCCACATCACAATTTTAGAATATGGTACCCTCACAAAATTTAACAATTTTACAGAGATTGGAGCAATTATAATAGGCTAAAAGACAGCCGACCAAAAATAGCTCTTGAAGGCCCAGGGCAGAAAACTTAAGAAACAGAGGATTGAATGTTTTCTAGTGAGGAAAATCTGAGGAGAAAATAATCAGTTTAATAAATGTACTATTTTGGTTCATCAGGCAAAGAATAAATTAAAAAGGACACCATTTGCATGTACCAACTTTGAAATTATATTTTTCCTATGAAAACTATAGCAACAATAATAGAATCTGATAAAAATATCCTTTCTCAAAAGAAAGGCATGGTTATGGGATTTCTTTTACTATAAGAACACTACATCTCAGATGAAGCTCCTGGACTCTAATATTCCAGCATCACTCCTAGTTTTAGAAGCAAGTGTCCAGAAACTATCCCAGGAAGGGTCACCCTTGCAACCTGAGGACATTCACCACCCCTCTCTACTTACTGCACTGAAATTATCAGCATTCATTCTGGCAGCTGCAATTTCAAAGCAAGGTGTCTCACTCCATTTGCCTTTGACTTTATTTTCATAGTCCTCCTTGTATTTTTGCTATGAAAAAGAAAAAGACAAGTGAAGCTCTGGAAGAGACAAGAGAACAAATGAAGTGGCCATGATCAAATTTTAAAAATATTTTGGTTTCAAAAAAAATAAACACATGCCTTTTGTAGCAACATGGGTGGAGCTGGAAAAGATCATGCTTAGTGAAATAAGCCAGAAAGAAAAGGGAAAAATACCGATGGTTTCACTCATAGCAGGAGTGTAATGGACCAGGTGAGAAGATAATAATAATAATGAACAATTATATACCAGAGACATTTTATGGGGGTAGAGTGGGGAATGGGATCAAAAACAGTGGGGGGAAGGAAATGCACTGGACTATGGTGATGGCACATGGGTGATTTGGTGATGGGAAGCCCATGAGAATTACAACTAAGATGGAAAAAATGCACAAAATGATGTAAAAATAAACTATTATAAAAAAAAATATAGGCCTTCCTTATGTCCTTTAAATCCTCCAGTATGGGGTCAATTTACTCAGAAAAATTATTTAACATATCTACACAACAGAATACCACTCAGCTATTAAACAAAACAAAAAAGCCATCTGCAATATCAATAGATCTAGAGGGTGATTATGCTTAGTGAAACAAGTCAGATGGAGAAAAGCAAGTAACACATGATTTCACACATTTGTGGTAACAAAAACACAAAATGAATGAGGTGATTAAAATAAAACAAATTTTTAGTTTATGAGAGCAAATTAGTGGTTATCTGAAGAAAAGGGGGAAAGAGTGGGTAAATTGAGTAAAACATGCCAATTGTATCATGTAACATGTATCATTTATCATCATGAGCTTAACATTGTGTAAACACATGCTGATTTATAATGATGCTCACATAAAACCTATATAGTGCTATAATATAATGTTGCTTCAATAAAAAAAATGTTTAAGTGAAATTTAACTGGTTTAAATTTAAGTGGTTGAGGGAGTAGAAGTACTTATTCCCTCTGAGTTATGGACTTAGTTTACTGAGAATCTATGAATATTCAGATGGTGAGGCTTGTGGGACCCTCTGTGCCATCTAAGATACTTCACTGCATGTCTGTGTGGTACTTGGGGGTGTGGTACTTGGGGATGAGTTAGTCACATTGGGGGTTTAAAATACAACTTTCTCCCAACTCTAACCCTTATTACAACTCTAACCCTTCATTCCAGTACTGAAACTTGAAAACAAGAGCTGGTTAACTTCTCCAAAAACCTTTGACTATTCATTTAATAGAGGAAAGCACACCTGATCAACTACAGGTTCTGGGACACCAGTGGACAGAATGTAATTATACTTTAATAGATGTCGTAAGACTGGTTCTCCAAACCATAGTCACTCCTCCTGGGAAGCCAGCTAGGGGTGCTTTCATTGCCAAAAGATGGGCACCCCGATATCCTGGGTAAACACATGACTTCATTTTCTACTTGCCACATGAGTGCCTATGGTTTCCATGTGGTTGTCAGAGGAAAGGGCTATACATTCAATTAATGACACTTCTGTGAATAGCTAAATGCTGGGACACTGACAGCTTCATTCATAGAAAAGTTATCTTCCTCAGAGGGACTACAGTAAAAGGGATTCCCATTTGTATTTCAATGCACATATTGAGCCCAGGCTCTTACAGACTCATTCCAGTCATTTCTGGTGAAGTAATGGAAATCTTCCTAATTCTGTATAATGGGAGGGTTTCCATGTCTTCAGAAGTTCAGAACCTGGCCTCTTCATGCTGAGTGACCTGAGTTTAACAATATACTACTAAAAGTTGATTTTATTTTAACATTCTTGTAAAATAAAAAGTATTACCTGTTCTCAGTTCCTGACACAGAGTTTCTGAAACATATATAATCTCCTACATGATAGGGGTGATAAGAGTATCTTGTGTTCTCACATTTGTTCCTGGTCTCCAACACTTAATGGGTCCCTAAATCCCTTAGAATCTCCTGGGTAATAAGAGTGTTTTTTGTTCTATGAAGCAATTATTGATCAGTTTCAGGATGGCTACTGATCTGAATGACCAAGCCATGATTAGAAGCTTAGAAAGTTCAGTCCCATTCTTCACCCTAGGGGGAGGGGAGAAGAGCTGGAGATTGAGTTAAAAAATCAACTATCTCTATACAACATAGCCTCCATAAAAAAACCCTCAAATACAAAGTTAAGAGAACTTCTAAGTGGGGTACCCCAGTTCCACAAAAAGAGAAGCAGAGAGACTTCCAGACCTCTCCCAATATACCCCTTCAGCGAGATCCTTTACTATGTAATAAATGTAAATGTACTGTGGGTCAATCTTAACAATTTGTCAAACTCAAGGAAGGGGAATCATAGATACAGAGCAGCTTGGTCACAAATACAGGAAACCCAGACTTGAAAATGGTTTTTGAAGGGGAGCAGTTTTGTTAGACTGAGCCCTTAGTATGTGGAATCTGATGCTAATTGCAGGGAGAATTGTTAGAACTGGAAGAATTGTGGCACACCCAGTTGGTATCAGAGAATTGGTCAGTAGGGAGGGTGAAAATCCACATTTAGTATCTGAAGTTTTGTGAATAGAAAAATAGAGGAAACAATTTTTCCTTTCAATTTTAGATTGCAGTTTAGTATCACTGAAATCTTATTTCATTCCTATTATGAATAGGGAAGGAAGCAGAGAAGCAGACACAGACAAACTGAAAATGTCCTCAGTGTTGCATTCAGAACCTCCCTTGCAATTTGTTTCCACGTATATAATTTCCTCACCTAAAAAGCATGCTTATATGTATTACTCTACTCTATGTGAGAGCTACAGGGTGCATCTGTTGGCATGTAGACAAAGAGGGAGGATTGATTATGCCAGGGATAGTAAAAAAGACTGATAAGCTGACTATAATAGCAACATAATCATTACAGAAACATGATCATCATATTAGCTGGTAAATTGGAAGCTAGAAGACAAAGAGATGATCTGGAAGACAACTCCACAGAAAAATGCTGAGTTTAGATGTATGAAAGTAAGTAGATAAAGATTTATTTTTGTTTGTTTTGGAAAGCAGGACAATGGTGACACTGAATCTTGGGTCAAAGTGGCTTGATAGTGGGGAAGACTTCAAGAGAAACAGAGTCACCCCCAGCAGCCTTATCCCTCTTTTACTGGATGATTTGGTGTTGGAAGGACCGCTGGCAATTGCAAGCATTTATTCCTAATACAGCTTTGATTCTGGATGCACAATGGTGTTGGGGAACTTGGATATCTGGATAAGACTACAATAAATATTGTTACTGTGGCTGAAACTGGTAATTTTCAGCTACTGCCATCCTTTACTTGGCTCATGTTGTTTTTCTAGAAAGGTAAACCAGCTCTGGCTATGCTTTCAAGTCACTTAGTGAACCATTGTATCCAACTGCAGTGAGACATTCCAACAGGAATATAATGCAAACCACCACTCTACTTTTAAATTTTCTAGTGACCATATTTTTAAATGCACAAAATGGTCAAAAATTAATTTTAAGATATTTTGCTTAGCCCAACAGTCTAAAAATATTGTTGTTTCAACACAGATATATCCAAAAAGAAGTAATAAACTGTTCCACATTGCTTTTGTCATATTAAGTGCTCAAGACCCAGGGTATCTTCATATATGTTTACACACACACACAAAAGAACTTTTTTCTATTGCTTTCAAGACCCAAACTGCATAATCAAATAAAGTAAAAGAATGTTGGTTTAGTAAAATACCTTTTAAAATATGCTTTAAATAAAAATTTAAAATCATCCTTGCTCCCCAATCTTATTTATGATATCAACACTTTCAATGGACTCTGACACAAGCTTTCCAACGTCCATCGTCTGACAGATTCCGGGTGGATCGGGATAAGCTCTGAAAAATCAGACTGTCCACTGCTGACTTATGTTATGACCTCCCTTTTTTGTATAAACATAATATCAAAATTTTCTGAGCAACATTCGGTTTATAACTGGATTGTCTTAGGCACACAGGCGGCTGCCTGGTTCAGGCAAGCTGCCCCAGGAGGAGAAATTCCTCTGTCTCCTGAGACAAAAGGCAAGCCCCAGGAGAAATAAGACGCCAGGACATAACTCCTGGGAAGCTTCCTTGGTTTCTTTAAATAAAAAAGCAAACCTCAGATAAGGCTCCCAGGGCATAATGGACAAATTTTAACCTTGACTACACAGGTGTTGTTTGATATACAACTGTACAACTTTCTCTTAATTTACTCCTTTATAAAACATGCACTAACTACTCTCTGCTAGCCTTAAATTAGCCACTAGCTTTTCTTTAGACAATCACTGATAATACTGCTAACACAATTTATTACTACCCCAAAACCCCTAACAACCTTTTGCTAACAAGCTCACCCTTTCTCAGACCTCTTTTCCTTTGAGTGATAACTAGACAGCTGTATACATGATAACTATCACAAAATGTATAATCTATTATACCATAAATTGTTAAGAGAAGAATGCTTTTTCCCCTTGTCCTTGAGAATGTTTTATGGAGATCATCTCATTAACTTACCCTATGCATTATTACAATTAACTACTTGCTACACAGTATAAATAAAGACCTGCTGAAGGGATAGCAGGAAGACTTGCACCCTATCCTGACTCCCGTATCTTCCTCGCACCCACTCCTGTCTCCCCTTTCGGAATCTCTGCTCACCGACGCCTTCCCATCTTAGGGTCCTGCCTGTGCTGCCTCCAGACACCTCAAAAGCTGGAGCTAGTCTCTGACTGGACTCTTTATGGACAGTTCTAAAGTTTATTTCTGCTTATTGTAGGCACAATTTCAGGCTCATGGCGATGCTATTAGTAAAATATTATTGTACTTACAAAGCCTTTTATCCAAATAACCTTTAGTGATACAGTTATCTGCAATATCAGATACTAAAAATCATCAATAAATAGACTTCATTAGAACAGCCTTTCTTCCTTCTCTTTTACAGGAGAACATTATTTTTTATTTTTTTACAGGAGACATAATTTTTTGAAAGATACATGGTAGAAATCTTGAGGGTCCATCAAAATGTAATCAGAAGACCAAAATGAGATTTAATTCCATAGAGGGCAAAGAAAAATATTTAAAAAACATCAGTGCCCAGGAGAAGGTGGCCTGCTTTGGAACACTTTTAAAATAGGCATTTTGCACGTGTCTATTCATCAGTTGAACATCTGTCTCTTTGCATTCCCTGTGAGAGCTGCATTCCTCAGAGCTGGTTTACCAACCTAAATTTAGGAAGGCTAAGCTGTTTGCCAGGACCTTAAAATTTATGAGCAGCACAGCCTATAGCTGTCACGCTACTGTATGTCTGTGAGACAAGTCATGCATTCTTATTTTCCTCCAGTCTGACTATAGCATAAAACTATATGTGATCTTCACACTGAATTAAAATAATCTGAGCCTTGATGGCAATGGGTGGTTCCTCTGTTAGTTACACTTCATACATTAATATGTTAAAAGACATGGGCCCTCCCTGGTGGTACAGCGGGTTAAAACACAGCACTAAGAAGCTTAAGCCACTTCCACATGAGTTCGATCCCCGCCTACCCCAGAGGAGAACCAAATGGTGTGGCAGATCTCTCCTGACCCGGCCGCTGCTCCCCTCAGCAGTGTACTTTGTCAATCTGCCTGTTTTGCTCCCCACTCTGCCCCTGGTGAATCCTCTCACCCTCTGCATCTCTGTACCCCAGTTATGTATGAATAAATAAATACATCTTTAAAAATATATATGTTAAAAGGTTTTAGGACGTAGGTTCTAGTTTCAAAATGCAGCTTTCACATTCATCAATCACCAAGTTGTCAAACTGCTAGACATTTATTAACATGACACCACAAAGTTAACAGATGTGCTGCCTTTGCTATATGTTTTAAGAGCACACTGAAAAAATACTCTGTGCTGTACATTTAGGTTCACATTATCCCTTTCTCTGGTGGTTGAGATCAACAGGCAGCATTCCAAAGGGAGACAGTGTCCAAGCCTTATTTACTTACTTACCTTGCTCACTTGATTGGTTACTTTCTTGGCAAATTCTATATCTGGAGGATCTGGTAGAGATGTGAATTGAGTTTGCCGTTCAGTGTGTCCTTTTTTATAAGCAATCTGACAAAATGAAAAACAGGAATGCTCATGACTCACAGAAAATTATTCTCTCCCATGTTCCCACTCATTGGTATTTAAAAAAAAAAAAAAGACCTTTTATCTTTAAGTATTAAATTTTAGTATCCTACATAATCATAGTTTATCTTTTTAGATGTTTCATGTCTGTGCACTTAGTATCATTAATGATATCGATGTTACTGAGTCTCCCCTCTTTTCTAGACAACTGGCCCTACATCCATTTCCTTCCATTCATCTCCACACCATGAACTGCAACTGAAATTTTCTTAACTCCCGGTCTTTTGCTTTACATCACACTAGCTGGCAAACCCATTAGCTCTGGATCAACTCCAAAGTTAATATTCAGATGCTTGAGTGCTCCTGAAGAAAATCACACGACTGTGGATTGGGTGATAACATAAGCAGAGTTAAAAGGGACTCCAGAAGAAGCTATAGAGGAGGGAGGGGGAGTCAAGCCCTTAGTTTGAGTTGATATGTTCTGTGGGCATATCTGGGTATTGAATGTATGGTATCAAATTGCTATGTTCCCTTTATTGATGCTTGAACATCCATTATATGTCTCTGCTCAGACTCCAATCCCAGTAGCTAGTCTAGAACTCCAACACTATCTTTAAGCCCCCAATCAACTCCTCCTTACTCTCAGCTTCTCCTTCCATAAAGAATGACTATATATTCAATCACCTTTCCTCCTTCCTGACCCTCCCGCTCGCTGCATGGCTCGGAGAAGGGTCCCTTGCTGATCATGAATTCCTGTACAATGAGTGTTGTTTGGTTTAGTACTCTTTGCACCCAGCTCTATCTGTCATCCCTCTTTCTTACAGGCCCAACCTCTCCCTTTTCACTAGTTCCTTTCCTTCAGCCTTTGAAGGAATTCTCTGCCTTGAATTAAGTATCATGTCCCTTAACCATTCATCCTCTTCACTCTTTGCTAACTGAATCCTATGGCTATTTCTTCCAGCAACCTTGACCCCTATGTAAACAATGTGGAACTACTCACAGGTCTCCAGATACATGGAGTCCTCTTCCATTTCTAGACTCAAAGATGCTGTTGCCTTTCCCTGACATGTCTCAACTCCCCCCTCTCCCCATGTATCTGAAAACTGTTACTTGTTCTCAGAATCAACAGTCTAGCTACTGAGCCCTGCCTGCCTCACTGACCTTCTCCTTGTATCTCATTCAACTTGGCTCTTCCTTGCTTTAGAGGAGTGATAAAAAGGCATTGTAATAGGTTTTTGTTTGTTTGTTTGTTTGTTTGTTTTTAATACCTCTCCCTCCTTGGACTATGAGCTCTGAGAGCAGAAAGAATATCACTTCTCATTTGGGAACTCGCGTCCTGCACATTACCAGACTGTAGTGGGGTAGTGAGGATTCAGGAACTGATTATAAAGTGTGTTTTATGGGATGAAACCCATGGGAAGTCTGAGGAAGAGAATTATGCTTCTGTCTCCTCCACTACTAGATCATGAGACTTCTACAAATTGTTTCTTTTACAGGGCAATATCTTTACGTATAATGTTATAAGTTGATAGTTCCAATCATCTTCTTCATGCTTTAACCAAATCAATTAGTTTACAAAACACAAAGTTTAAAATGTGTTGAATTTATTTTAAGTAAGTTGAAGTATTATTTTAGATATAGGACAACCGGTACTATCTATAGTTGGCCGAGTTTTCAGACAGAAAGCAATTCTTCCAGGAGAGATGCTTACTAAGTGTGACAACCTGTCAATAACTTTCAGAAAAATCATAGCTACAAGTCCTAATTTCTCAAGAACCTTGTTCAGAATTCTGTCTAGTAGGGACGCTATACTCTGGATCAGTCTAAAGACTCTTAGTGTTTGCAACATATTTTAGCTCTGCTTAGATAATAAGGAAAACATAAGCAGCTAACAGGGACACAGGAGTCAGAGAGGCCTCTGAAGCCAAACTCTCAGTTCAACATCTTCATGTCTACCCTGTGATATGTTGAGTGAACAACAGTTTGCTTGGGGCTCTATTCCCAATGACTATAAAAGTTTATGGTGCTGACAACAGTATTAATAGGCATGTCAGTTATCTGATACTTAGTACAGCAAAAATAAAAGCCATACCCTTCACTGCCAAGTTTTTCTGTGAAAGGAGGGGCAGTTTTACTTCATTATTATATATTCTCCTTCATTATGTCTTCTATTGAGATACAGGTATTCTCAGCTTTTGAAAGTTTGCCTATGTCACTTCATTTTTTTATGAAAAATCTACATAAGCACTGTTTTTGCTAAATAAAAGAAACCTAAAAATACTTTTCATTTTTACTACAAAAGCATCACAAACTTCTGTAATTGTTTTGCTGCAGCCATTCTAAAAGCAGTACTCACCCTGAGCACAAAGAATGGCACCATCAAGCTCTTCCCCAGGAATTACAAAAAGCAGGTTTTACGTCTACCAATCATTCCTGCTTTAAAATAGGGTAGTGTTATTTTAGTTTTTATGTGTTAATTTTGTGTGACTTGATAAATTGGGTTTTGGGTCCAAACTCTTCCATGTAAATTTAACGGTAATTGTTTCTGTGCTTTCTGCCATTTGGGCTACAGATGGTTTCATATATCTATTTTTGGACAGTGGTGGGAATATGTATCTCAACATACATGCTCAATTTTATTGATCAAAGGCCATAGCTTTAGAGTAGCAGCTCTCCTTTTAATGGGTAAAGGAAGATATTTGGGGATTATGTGTCTTCCTAAAAACCACCTGTCATGTGGCTTACATGACATGGCATTTCCTTCCCCGTTCAGTTTCTCTGACTCTGTATTCCCTTGTTCTTTTCCTGTCTCCCTTCCAGATGTCCTAACTGTAGTGTCCACCAAAACTCTGCCTTTGGTCACACAGTGTTCTTCCTGACTCAGATATTTTCATGTTTCAGTTTCCACTTTTATACTGATTACTCTCAAATATCAATAATCTCAATAATCTCTTGTCCTGATCTCACACCTATGCAATAGCATTTGTATTCTATTTACCCAGAGGTAAATAGATTTGATTTGAATGGTCTTCAATTACCTCAATTATATTTCACTTTCCTACGATGCATCTTTACCGGTTGTACCTTCACTGACCTAGACTACCAGTCTGTGGTCATAAATCCAACTACAATTCCTTGCCTTCCTTCATCTCTAATAGTCGATATGATTAACACTTTTTAAACTACTTATCACCTCCAGATTCCTTTGTCTTCATCATCCTCCCGAATCATCTATATTACTAAAATAGACTTCTAGAAATCATCACATTTTTTCCTAGTCCCAGTCCACCATATTCTTTACAAGAATATCTCCAGATTCTATTTGTGTCATATGTTTTCCTCTCAAAGCTCTAGCAATGCTGTTATTACCTACTGTATCATGCCTGTTATTTCGTCTGATGTTCAAGGTGCTGCCACCAATTTCTGACAAATGTCTCCCTGACTAGGCACTGTACCTGTAGTATAGCAGAAATCTGTATTATAAAATAAGACAAGCGGAACTCAGGAATGATAAGGTCAGTTACAGATTTATCGCATGTGGACCCAGGCAAGGACACACCTCAGTCTAATATCAAAGCCTAGCCCAGACCTAAAACAGAGGGTTACTTTTAAACATATTTGTCTCAACGTTGGCTACACAGATTGATATTGTTTTATAGCTGACAAAACCATCAGTGGAGAGCAGAACTATATTTCACAGGAAGGGGAGCCAAACACAGTGGGAGGGGAGTCAACCCTCTGGAGATTACTCTAAGGAGATAGACCCATTTGACCTGTTATCTGACTCTCTGGAAATATAACTGTGTTCAGAGTGTTAAGACTGGCCATGAATCTTTGCAAGTAAGCAAACTTGTTATTTACGACTGCATTGGAATGTTTAATTGCACCAGGCCTGAAAGCACCAACCTGGTAGATCTTTATTTGTCCAATAATATTTTTCCATATCAGCAGTATTTATTTTCTTTGGCCCCCCAAACTCCAAACTCATTTTAACTCTACCCTTTTACACCTGAAATGTCTTTAGCTTTCATCTGCCCTCTCCCTTGATGTCACACCTCCACACATCTTCTCTTGTCACAAATGTACCCTGTGTTTCTCTTAGCAAGTATTAGACACCAAGGTTTGTTGTTGTTTTACTTTTTTCTTGTTGTTTGATATATAATACTTTCAGTTGACCAGCTTGATTATGTATCTTCAAGGGAAAGGACAAAAACTTCTTGTCATACCTTTTTGTATTGCCAGGTATGCATGCACGCATAATGAGCTCTCAGAAAATAACTACTGAATACTTTTAAAAGGTCACACACAATATTATGTATTTATGAGATCTAGAACCAGAAAGCTAATCTTAAAAGACAACTAGGAGATTCCCTCACATAGAAAACTATACCAGGACACATGTTGATGTGAGAAGAACAGTCTTAGGGGAATAAGACAAGGCTTTTGTCCAGGCTCTGCCAACAACTACTTATGTGATTTCAGACTTAGGTTCCTTCCTTGTGTGTAAGAAGGGATTTGAATTAAATTTTATCTAATCCAAATTATAAGTCATTTTATATTAGACATCATAAGTTATAATGACCCTAGATGAAGTCCTTTACAATAATGTTATTTCATCTTAAAAAAAAAAAAGAATTCTAATAAACCTCTGGCCAGGACAGGTAATTAGAGGAGTCCACATTCTGAAATGTGCATACCCCAAATGGTATCCACCATACCCACTTACATCACTGAGAGCTTTCTGGGCTTGGGCAACTCTTCTCAGCTCCGGGCTATCATTATATGGGTAAAACAAGCTTTTGTCAGCTTCCCAGTCTTCAGTGTACAGTTTCTAAATCAGAAAAAGAGTGAGAAAACGAGATCACACTCTGTGCTTTTATCCTCCTCTTGGAATAAATACTAATGCAACTATGTGGAGTCAGGAAGTACTGCATAATTACTATCACAAAATAGATCTTCAATACGAGTGATATCCAGGAATGTCCAAAGGGCAGCAGAGGGTCTACACTTTGTATATCTTTATGGGTCTCTCAGAGCTGGTTCTCAGAGCATCTTCATTCTCTCCAGCCACTCTTACCTCTGGTGTCTTAGGTTACCAACAGGAATCTCTACTCCACTCTGCCCAAAACTGTCTTCTCAGTTGTTCCTCAGCAAGCTTAACTTTACAACCTCAATGTCACAAAAAGGCTGATGTTCTGGGTTATCAGCAGTATACCAAGATTCCAGAGTGGGAAGACATTGAAACAGAATTGGCAACAGACCAGAGGCCTTTACCTTACTGAACATGGCTGTGTTCTTGACGGCCTGGACAAGTTCAGGGGCATCAGGGGGAAGCAGGTACTTATCCTTGGTGTCTTCCCAGTTCTGCTTGTATAAAACCTAGACAGAAAAAAGAAGAAAACTCATGGTATAATGTCTTTCCCTTAGAAAACAAAGAAAAATGCTGAGGCATGAAGTGTCTTTTATATTCAACATGCCCTTGCAAAAGGCTGCTGATATGCCAATGCGTTACTGGCATCAGTTTTGGAAATGTTAAACCTACTAAGATCCCAAGTTGTAAGTTTTCCCTTGAAAAATCTAAATTTTAAAAGTGATTCTACTTCAGAATCATGAAGGACTCTATAGAGTCATTTCAAAGGTTGTAACCTATCCATCATTGACTGAATTTAGATGATAGGTGTATTTCTTTTGGCTTACATGTTTTGTTGTACTTTTTTTCTAGTTTTTTTTTTTTTAGCGACATGCATACATTAGGATTTTAGAGGTTTCTTGTTAAAAACAATTACAAACTTTATTTAAAAAATAAATAAGAAACTCTGGGGACTTTGGGGCTGCTTTATATGCATCAAGTTCTTGGAACTGAGTCAATGCACCAGGTGCCTGAAGAGCTGCTCAGGGCCACATCAGTCCTCTACATGGATGTTAGAGCTCATAATACCTGTGGACTCGAGTAGAAATACTAAACAGGATCTGGCCCGACTAGTTTGTGTCTCTAAGGCCAGGCAGAGGTATTACACATGCTTTAGTACCCTCACCACTCATATCATGACCCTACCTTGCTGACTTGCTGCGACACTTTCTTTGCATGTTCAATGTCCTTGGCTTTTTCATCTACATGACAGATAGTTTTAGCAACATCACCATCCATTCGATACTTAACCTGAAGAAATAATTCACAATTAGAGTTTGTGACAGGCATGAATATGTGACTATATTTTAAAATATCTTACGCCCAAAGAACACTGAATCAATCACTTCATATCTACATCCCCAAAGATTCTGCATTTAGACAGGAAACTAATCTTCAAAGACTACTGCTGTGTACATTCCTGTCTAAGTTTCACCCTCCCTTCATTGTGGAGAACCACTGTTAGCTGGAACTTCCAGCTCTTATTACCATTTAAGTTAAATTGTCAAGCCAAGTTTTTTGAAGTTTCTTTAGGTTCCCATTTAGAGCAACAGAATTTATGGCTTCCTCTAGATTTCTAGACTTCTAACAATAATTCAACCATTATTTTATTTATGCCTATTTAGAATCCTCACTTCCAAATAGTAGGCATAGCTTTGAAATGTCTCCCACTTTTATTTTAGTAAATATCCCACCTCACTGAGTTGATCCTGTACTTTCTTGATCCTGCGAAGTTCTGGAGTATCAGTGGTGATGGCAGTTGGCTGTCCTTTTGCTTTCTCATAATTCTCTTTATATTTATTCTGAAAAGAACATTAGCTATTAACCCCAAACCTTGAAAGACAGCAGTAGAAATTCCAGGCAATGCATTCATTCCATATGATAGTTAAAAACCCTACAAGTTGGCCCTTCCTGGTGGCGCAACGGGTTAAAGCACAGCACTGAGAATCTAAAGCCGCTTCCGCATGAGTTCGATTCCCGCCTGCCCCGGAGGTGACCACATGGCGTGGCAGACCTCTCCTGGCCCGCCCGCTGGTCCCCTCAGCAGTGTACTTCGTTGATCTGCCTGTTCTGCTCCCCACTCTGTCTCTGGTGAAGCCTCTCGTCACCCCTGAGCCTCTGGCCTGTACCCCAGTTCTGTATGCACAAATAAATAAATCTTTAAAAAAATAAAAAACCCTACAAGTTATCACAATTATCATTTACAATACTTTTCTTTTTGTTCCCTACCCCAACTCTCAGCAAAAATTAAAACAGATTTGTTCATTGTTCTTCATAAACATGTCTGAGTGCTAGAGACAGTTGAATTTTATTACAGACTATTGTCTTGGAAATTACCTAAAATGACTCTCTCAAGGTCTTTATTGTCTGAAAGTACACATAAAAATCCTGAACCTAATAATTTTAGAAAATAAAAATAGAAGTTGAGCCAAGTCTGCAAAGATTTTATTGCTAATACAATGCAAAAATTTTCGATTCAGAAGTTGTAGCTAAATTTCAGTTCTTTGGATATCTGAGACACCAACTGAATTAATGAGAAGTGTAAACTATGGAATATTTTAAAAAGAAATTCAATCTTATTGTTTCTATAAAATACAAGTTCTTACTTTAACTATAATATATGCAATTTATCATTACTAATGATTCAAGAGTACTCTTGATTAGTATAATCAACAATGTAAATTATATTATTGACTTATTACTAACCACTTTTAAAATACTATAAACATTTCCTTCAGATTACCCAAAGTTTTAGGACATTAATGTTTGAATTAATGAGATTTTTGTAGCAATATATCGACCCCCCTAAAAAAAATCTGTATTTGTTTAATATAGCAGTGATAAAGAAGTCAAGGTTTTGTTTTTGTTAAATCTAAATGAAGAATCTAGACTAAAAATTTACCAAGTAGTTCCCAGCAGTCAACTCTAAACCAAAAGTGAATATTTAATGACCAAAACAGGACACTTTTGACAGGTGTACCAGTTCTATATAATGCAACATTCCCTTCAGATTCTTGTTATTTTTTGCCTCTTGAGAAAATGCAATCAGATCACCTAGTGACACCTCAGCCTTCCCCAGACTAGATGTATTCAAATGGGGCTCAGTCTGCAACCGCTCAGTATAATTTACAGACATGTACATGCCTTTGAGGTCTAGGAACAATCAGAAATACTTCTTAACCTGGGCTGTACATTGGAATCTCCTGCATGCCCTATAGAAGTCTTTCTATGAAAACTTCAACCCTGGACTAGGAAGCCAGACCTAAACATCAATAGTTTAAAAGCTCCTAAGCGTTCTAGCTTGCAGCCACAGTCAAAAAACACACTATTCTAGAGTATAACTGACATTCTAATCCTTGATTTCAAGTGAATTCTTAGTCTGGTCCTACTTCTAAACTGTATGTTCTTCATAAAACATCTCCTAGAAAGTATCTTTTTTCAAAGTACAAGCTGGTTTACTTAGACGGTTTCTTATTCTTACAGTTTAAGTAGCTCTTAATAAGCTTCCATGAACTGATTTCAAACAAATCCACATTTATAATTTCATAATTCTAAATTGGCTAACAGATAGTGATTAAGTACCAGTAAATGGTTTATAATTGATTTATGCTAATTTTTAAGGAATCATTTCAATAGGATACTTATCCTGACGCTGCAAAGGAACCAATGAATTACATGAAAAGAAATTTCAAGAGTCATGAGTATATATTTTTGCAAAGTAAGTTTTCTCTCATACAAATTGAGAAATAAATCTAGCTAGTCGTCAAAAGCATCAGTTGAGAAAAGGAATTTTTCTATAATAAATACAAATGAGCAGAAGTTACATTAGAAACTTACTGTGCTAAAAAGATCCTGCATTTTCTGACTGTGTGCAATATAGGGAGTCATGAACTTGGAAGAGTCCACTTTCTTCCGGATGACCTTCTTCCTCTCCACTGGCTTTGCGGGTTCTGGCTGTGCCAGTGCTGGTTTGGAAGGTTCCGATTGCTCATAGTCAGATGTTGTTGTCCTTGTTGTAGTAGTTTCATAGATTTCTGTTATTGTCTGAAAATTTGAGATGCAGTTTAAAATTGTTACCAAAGTAAAAGCTGTGATTCCAGGGTCATGATATACATTATTCTGACTTCAAGTCAGACTTCTATTGGTGGTGTTATTTTTCCATATCTAAAATAAGTCAAAGTAGGAAAACACACTATGATATGCATATGAAGGTACATTAAGTTATATGATTCTGGATGCTGATCATTTGAGATTGCATGTAGTAAAAGGTAGCTACTTATTAATTTGCATTATTGCCTTAAAAATCCATTTGCAAAAAGGAGTTCAAACATTTTAACGTAGGGGAGAAATAAGAAATTATAATATCGTAAGCATTTTAAAATCTTAAAGTGTCTGGGTAAAGTAAATCTTGATAAAAGATTAAGACAAATAAAACTCAAGTTCTTGACTTATATTAGCCTAAGAGAAAAACTGGTTGTTTGCCCTGCAGGTATTTAGGCCTTTTCCTTTGTAGTATCAAACAAAGGATAATGAACTTTAAAAAAAAAAAAATCAATCACATAAATATTACAAGTGATTACCATTCTTTTAGCTTAGTCAGTTAATTAATGCAAACTAGAGTGCCATTTCTACTAATAAATGCTTAGGTGGACTAGAATGATGATGACAACAGAATGAGGTAATTATCCTCAGGACAGTCCTATGTATTGGTAGGTGGTAAACTACTTTTTTTTTATAATAGTCTGTAGTGGATGAAAGTAAGGCCCAAAGGGTCCAGCTCAAGGTTAAAAATACTGTATGTATGAAAAGAAGACAAGGAGCCAAGCCTTCAGTCCAGCTCATAGCATAATTTCCTTTGCTGCTAACATCTGTACCAAAATAGAGTTCTGATATCCATTATGAAAGAGAAACTTAGGGTCATTGCACATCTAGGAGAACGGACCCTAATGTTGTCTGACCATTGCAACTAAGTTGTTTTCTGCTTCTTATAAATGCATAGTTGACCATGAGAAGCTAACCAATTCACAGCATCTATAGTTGCTAGCTTTTATGCTGTCAAAGGCTCGCTAAGTATGCTTCAGGGACTAGTCATCCATATCAAAAACCTGAAGCATGATGGAAGTATTTCACCTTGAAAAAAACAAGGTCCACCTTGGGATATTTATCTTTCAGAATTCCTAATTTGCTAAAATCTAAGTAGCATTTCATCACATCATCAGGGACAAAGACTTCGAGGCAACATCTCTCTTGGCAGAGATGGTGTCCTACAAATTGCAACTACTCTGCACAGTAAAACTGCTGGTCCCTATGTGAATCATAAATCCAAGGCTATGCCTTTGTTACAGAGAGTGCCAGGTGCCTCAGACTTTGCTGTAATTAGCACTGCCTGCACCAAAACACCACATTTCCAATAAGGAAATCATGCCATCCATCTGGAATATGTTCGTTAGCAAACATGGTGGTAGAAACTGTCAAAAACTAGTATTCATTCTTGTACAGCCAGCTGTCAAATACACATAGGTGGTTGATCTTCCCACAGATTCTTGTTTTGCAAGCTCTGTGCACCCCCCCCCCCCAGAGAGGTTTCCCTGAGTTAGTGGGCATGAAGTACATGCGGCTGGGCCTTACCTCTCCTGGCACCTCCTCATAGATTGTCTCCTCTGTGTAATACTGTAAATAGAGCATAGAGATAACACCATCAGAACCAAAGCAGAAACCACCTCTCCTGAGCCTCAGCTGAAACACTTGGTTTCCTTCACTAAATTGGGTGGCTTGCAATGTTGGAAGAAATAGTTGAGGGAACCTGTTCATGTTTTGGAAACCCTTTTAACTTTGTGAAATCTTCAAACTAAAGCAAATGCCCCAACGAGATGAGTATGAAGAGAAAGGAGTCTAAGACTACTTATTAATCAGGTAAAGCTATTTTACTTGGGACAAATAAAATTTTTCTTGCTATACCCAAGGTAGAATCTGCTGAGAGAAGACTGTAATAACAATATTTTGAGTTGAGCATGGGAAGAGAGGAAATGTGATAAAACTTACTTGTTGCTTAATAACAATAAACAAAACAGAAACCTTAGCATGAATAAAAGTTTTAAATGGATTGCATCACAGAAATAATAATATCCAAAAGCATAATCACACCTCAGTTTTCCATACATCTGATTACTATATACTAAGAGTTTCTTCTGGAATGAGTAAATCCCTTTCAGTAGTGTAATGATCCTAAAAGGTGTGTTCTTGTGAAAATTTACAAATACCGAGGGGAGAAGTAAAAAAAAATGAAAAAAAAATTCCTCATCACAAAATATGGTGAAATTAGGATGTGGTTTGCCAGTGATCGCTCCTAGGAGCCTGCAAGCTGGATCTGAAGTCAAATTTACTCTTGTTCTACTTCTGACATCACCTGCAATAAATAGATCTGGATAGGAACTGGCTGACATTTTGTTTCGGATATGTAAGAAGAGAAGAATCCTACCCCCAACATCACCCAGTGAAGCTGGATGAACAGAAAGAAAGCCAAGTTTAGGTCAACGCATAAAAGGAAAGGGATAAAAATGAATTTCTTGCCTCATTTTCTCAATGAGCAAAACATATAATATTTTATACTTCATTTTTCTTCTATCAAAGAGAAGGAGAAACTAAGGTGCAAACTTTCCCTCAGTGGACTCTCTTCTTCTGCTCTTGATTCAGAAGTCTCATCAAATTATTTAGTCATGTTAAAGGCTACATGCTCTATTTCACCTGCAGTAAAAAACTTGCCTAATGTCCCTCACTCTTGCACTTTCTTTGCTCCTGTTTTGCTTTTCACATGTAAAATATAATTCCGTCTACATACCCTTATACATAGCAACATAAATCACAACTCTCTTACAGGACAGAGAATTACCCTCATATTTCCTTATAACTTCATTGCATGGGAAATATGATTTGGACAATTTAGGAAATGCTGTTGGTTGCTGATTCACAGAGAACCTCCCCCTCTGGTGACACAAAATGTCAGTGACTTGAGATAAAACACTAAACTAAAATGAGTGATTCATAACTATTTTGGGTTTTCTTAGTACCTAAGAAAAAAGCAACTCTTTGGTAGCCATTCAATTTTGCCTTTACCATGCTCTCACCAGTAAGTATATCTTAGAAATAAGCTTACGAAAATGGCAGCATTATCCAAATGGCTGACATTCACTTATGTGCAAAATTCTTTTTATTTAAAGTTGTGCCACTAATTAAATAACACATCTTTGCTGCTTCTAATAAATTTATTTGAGAGTGATAGTACACTTTTATTTAAATGTCCAAGATCCTCAGGGTATATATATTTAAAGCATATATTTTTTCCTGTTTGGTTTTTGAGCTTTCCTGACCATTTTCTTGACTCTGCCACTACTCCATTCTCATGGCCTCTTTTCTGAGGTCAGCGGGACCTTGGTTCTATACTCATTGGCAGAAAATCGACTGGTTTAGCACCTGCTGGTCAGTCCCAGATGCAGTAATGGGAACAAAATGGCAATGAGGGAAGGCCTAAAAATAGCACCCTCCATTTTTATGACATCTAGTAAATCAATCAGACCATACACTAAGGACAATTTTCAATGACCTACGAACACCATCATTTTAAGAAGACAAAGAATACTTAAGTTGGAGGCTAGAAAGTGTTCCTGGTATTACCATCAAGAATAGTGAAGGCACATTTTATAATTGTGTGAGAGTTTGATAGTGATTATTCTTATTCTTAGGGACATATATGTAAGATATACACTAGTGATGACATTGAACATGAAGATGTAGTCTTTGGGATTTAAGTCAGAGAGTTGGATGTTACATTATATAAGATTCTTTATTGCTGGTGGGCTGTTTTTCATGTCCATCTGTAATAAAGGTAACTTCATTTGCAAAATAAAATGTTTTCTTCACCTAAATATAGAATAGTCATGAAAATAGTCTCATAAAGACAATTGTTGGCACTTTGATCCAGAGTTTGGTTCTGGGAAGCTTTTAATGAAACCCATGGATTTTCACAACTGCCTCAAAGTGTCTTAGAAACTTGGAGAGTTTTATATGTTTAGATCATGATTGTTAATTGGCAATCATTAAGCACTCTCTACTCAATGACAATGTATTCATATGGATTATAGCCTCCAAGCATTTAGATTTTATTTCTATCATATGAATCTAATGGCAAGAGTTGGTAGACAAAAAAAATCATAACATCATAAAAGCAAAATTTTATAAGACAAATATAAAAAATTAACTGATTTGTAAAATGAGTCAGATGTCCATCAAAAATCAGGAGGAAATTTTTGAATGTCCACTACGGTCTATGGTCTTTTTCAAAATTCAAGAGCAAAAGCTGCTCTTAAATCCTTGGGTTAATCTATGGAGTTGGTGGGAATGTTTGGCTCCAGCTGTCACTTGCGAGCACTCTGAGTTTCTTTTTGCATGTGTGTGTGCATGCGTGTGCACATACAGATATGTAGAAATTCACATGTGCAGTAATCTCACATATATAATTCTGAACTTTTTACTACCTAAGATTCCTATATATAATTAGCTAATTTAAGCAAAAAACAAGTAGCTCTTTTTCTCTATTGCTATGCGACACTGAAAAGCAAAATTCAGTTTTCAGAACTATCTGTTCATCTTCTCTGTCCCCTAGATCATGGGGTATAGGAGCAAGGAACAAGTTTTAGAAGACAAATTACAATCCACTTCTGCACTTCCTTTTTGAGAATTTAAAGAAAAGCAAAAGTAGGAAACAATGATATTTCTTTTCAATCTAAATCCCACATAATTATAGTGAAACTGAACATAAAATATTCCTCTCTTATGCCTTCATGATGATTCTTTGTGAAGTTATAATAGACAATGTATTTTTCAAATGATTAATTCACCTACACAGCTTTGACTGTCACTACATAAAAACTTGGCTGTCAGAGTTGTTTTTTTCAATCTTACCTCCACCACCTCCTCATATTCTTCATCATCTGCCATTTTCCCAGAGTAGTAGAGGCACCTACAAACTTTTCGTATTCCAGACAAATGAAAATACATTAGCATCTATCCCCAGAACTGAAATCATCTTATAACATTATGAATACAAAATTTAAAACTAACCCATTTTTAATAATCATATTTTTTGCAGGCTAAGTGAGGCAAGAAATTTACATACAGGTCTAAAATTCTGAAGCTCAACCATCTTTTCATTCCCTCAGGAACATGCTGAGTGTGGTTATTTCTAGATACATGATCATTTTAGTTAAAATGGCAAAAGGAAGTAGGGTAAGGGGGTGAGACGGCTTAATTCAAATGAACAGAATATTGATTTAAATTTTTAAATACTTAGAGAAAAACATTTTGATGCAAAAAATTTTAATTTAAAGAAGGTCAGTTTGACTTTCAGAAGAAGGCAGACTTCTTCCCCATAGAACCAGAATTTTGAAGGCTGCCTCAGGTCTTCATACTGCTCTAATACACTGTGTCCAGTATATCCTAAGCTTCGCATTAAAAAATGTAAATATAACTCTGCCAATAGATTTTTAAAAGAAGAATAGAAACCTCAAGGCAATGCAGTTATTTGCTTTCCAAATACCATGGATTTGTGTCGATTTTTCTCTTTCACTTCTGTAGCTCTTGATCAAACCTGAAAAATAGCAAAGTTTAAAGCATTAATTAATGGACGTTGAAGATGATGGTATCTGGCCTAAGTTACTAATTCTGGAACTAATGAAAAGATCTCCCAAAGCCTTCCTCATCTGACACCAGAGAGTAGGACTCTCTTGACAAAAGTGGATGATGACTCCAAGCAGCTGTCCCTTACCCCAAGATATTTGTCATGTAAACCAATACCCGCAGGGGCTAGTTTTGTTAAGCTAGCGAAACTGCCACTCCTTCTGAGGCAAATGGAGCCCAAGATAAATATAGGAACATAGAACACAGATCCCCTTTTTATAATATATTTAGGGGGGGGGGAAATCACAGAGAAAAATCATAATGTGAATCAACTCAGCCAAACAATGTATTGGTTAGTAGAGGGCTTAATCACATACTATACATCCAATTTTAGTAGGGCCTAAGTAGGGCCACAAGGTTACAGAGTTCTTAGTCACATTTTCATTCCTAATTTTTCTAGTTATGACCCCAACTTTTGGGAAATATTTCAAGGGAACATCTCCTGAAAAAAAATCACTGAAAAAGTCATAAACTGACCTTACCTTCAATCTATCAAATCAATTTCCTCAGCAGCAAAGCCTCTCCCAACTCTCCCCTCCTGAGAACCCCAGACAAGAGCCAGTGTGGTGCCTGGGCTCAGAATTATCATGTGGCAAGAGCAGCCAATCACATCTTCAGTTGCTCAAATTTCAGGAGCTAAATATATTAAGTGATCTTCTGAAAACCACCTGTTCATCAGTTCCACTAAAGGATAAAGGGTAACAAATTGCTTGCTTAGACCTATTCAAATGTAATGGAATTTTATCTAACTTCAAATATATGAGGTTCAAATTTAAGTTTAATCTCTTTTTAACTGTTACCTTGTTTAATATCAAATTCATGCAAAAAAATTAGGAGAAAACAAACATGACTTTGAGGATTGTGATCCTTCTTTAACTGTTTTCTTCTTAACATTTGACAATGTTCATGCAGTGCAGCAGGTGAGCTACAGGCATATTACATGTCTTGATGTAATATAAATACAAAAAATAAATGAATAAAAAATAAGATCCAGAAAACATCAGACTGGCAAAAGTAATTTTGAAAAATGTGATAAAATAATACGATAGGCAAAAATTCTTGACAGTGACACTAGATAAGATGTCTACAGAGTATAATTAGAAAAATTAGGCCTTACAATTTCCTTATTACTATACCAGGGAGGTTAACCCATTACCTTTTTATTTCTCCTTCCTTGGAAAGGCTAACAGTTAGGATTACAGAGTCTTTCTCACATGTAACTGGGTGACTGATTTTCTATTTATTTAGATGCCTTCCAGAAGCAATGTGTGGTTTCATGTACAACCAGTAAATGCAGCGCTCAATTTTTAAATACAAAGAGCAAATAAGGCACTCCCTGGTGGCTCAGTGGGTTAGAACACAGCTACAAGCTAGCTGCAGCAGCTTCAGTATGAGTTTGATGCTCATCCCAGAGGTGACCCACATGGCACAACAGACCTCTTCTGTATCGCTCACTGTTCCCCTCAGCAGAGAGTTTCATCAGCCTGCATGTTCTGCTCCCTTCTCTGTCTCTGGTGAATCCTCTCACCACCCCTGCACCTCTGGCCTGTACCACAGTTCTGTATGCATAAAAACATAAATCTTTTTTAAAAGAGAGCAAATAAAATGGAAATCAAGTTACTAAAAGTTAATGTCCTATTAGGCAAGTCAGAGTATAATACATTATTTTATTAAAATTACCTAACAGTGGCCCTCCCTGGTGGCGCAGCGGGTTAAAGCACAGCACTAAGAAGCTAAAGCCACTTCCGCATGAGTTCGATTCCTGCCTGCCAGGAAGGTGACCACATGGCGCGGCAGACCTCTCCTGACCCGCCTGCTGCTCCCCTCAGCAGTGTACTTCATCAATCTGCCTGTTCTGCTCCCCTCTCTGTCTCTGGTGAAGCCTCTCATCACCCCTGAGCCTCTGGCCTGTACCCCAGTTATGTATGCACAAATAAATAAATCTTTAAAAAAAATTACCTAACAGTTTTTTACCCGGAAAGTTTTCACTCACTTACTCTCTCTCCAACCCACTGCACTAAGGCAAAACCCCATGGGTCACCTGTACTTTGACATGAATTTAAGACTACACACATGTAATATATTGTTTCAATTCAATGTTAGGAAGTAATCTCACACTTAAAGCATGTGTACTTCTCCCCTGTCCATGATTAATATGATGGTAAATGAAAGTGAGCATCTTTTTAACTAATTATATCTGTTCATTATGACCGAGGGGTATATGCATAATCTGCCATCTGGAATCCAAACAAAGACATAGCATTTTAAGTTAATTTTGGATAGAACTCTAAATTGGAAATGAGAGGGGGAAGAACATTCCAGAGTCAGTGGATAGTAAGAACAGCTACATAGAGTGTGTGGTGTGTTTGGGGAACAAAGATTAACCTGGTTTAGATCAAGTAAGCTCTACATAGAGAAGTAATAGACAATAATAAAGTAGAAACTATGCTATGGGAGATACTGTATACCTAGCTCAGCAATAGAAATTGTTGTGTCCTGACATTGCTTAGATCTTTGTTCTCTTCTGCGTAGTATAGGGTTTTCTTTTTAAAAGATATATTTACTTACACATAGAAGAATTGGGCCAGAGGTGTAACAGGTGAGAGGATTCATCAGAGACAGAGTGGGAAGCAGAATAGGCAGATTGACAAAGTACACTGCTGAGGGGAGCAGTGGGCAGGTCTCTCCTGAGAGACCATGTGGGTCACTTACCAGTCTGGGAACTGAATTCATGCTGCAGCAGCTGTAGATGGCCTCACAGTGCTGCACTTTAACCCGCTGGACCACAGGAAGGGCCCTACATAGTGTAGGGTTTTAATGTCAATGTATCAGGCATTAGTAAAGTAGGCTACATCAGAAATACATATTATATTACATACAATTAAGTATATTCACTTGTAAAGCATGCAGATTTAATAACATGATAGGATACATAGGTAATAATACAAATATATATTAATATGGATAGAGTTTTTTTAATTATCAAGCCTCCCAAGCATTACTCTGCTTTCCAAAATCCATACTGAACACAGTAAATTCCATCAATGTTGCCCACTTATCCTTCTAAATACTGCTACTTCTTCATACTAATGTTTCCTAAAATCAAACCCCATACAAAATACATAAACTTGGAAGAGGGAGACTTTTAAAGTTAAAGTACCCTGGGCCTCCCTGGTGACACAGGGAGTAAAACTCTGTGCTATCAAGTTATTGCCAGCCAAGACTGTCTGAGTCTGATCCCCGGCAGGGGGGCACAGCAGAACTCTCTTATCTCACCCACTGCTCCCCTCAGCAGCAATTTAAGTAGATCAGCCTGTTTTCCTCCCCACTTTGTCTTTGGTGAATCCTGTCATGTCCCCCCACCTCTGGCCTACACCGCCCCAGGTCTCAAATGTATAAATAAATGAATCTTATTTTATTTTTTATTTATTTATGCATACAGAACAAAGGTACATGCCAGAGTTCCAGGGGTGATGAGAGGGTTCACCAGAGACATAGTGGGGAGCAGAACATGCCTGCTGAGCAGAGCAGCAGTCGAGACAGGAGAGGTCTGCCACACCATGTGGGTCACACCCCTAGCCCAGGATCAAGTGCATGCTGAAGCAGCTGTGGCTAGCTTCCTCATGCTGCGTTTCAACCCATTGTACCACCAGAAAAGGCCCTAAAATTTTTTTTTTAAGTTAAACAAACCTCTCATTCAAGCCTAGGTTCTTTTCTTCTGTCCATAATTTCTTATAAGACTGGGATGTAGAATTATCATTTAAGTGAACTCTCATTAGATTTTCCTGTTGGAGTCATGACTTCAAAATAGTCTTGTCTCTTGATCTTGGCATGAAATGGCTCTCAGCCAAGATTTCCAATATTATGCTTCTATTTGCGCTCTCCATAGCCTAGCCCCAAATTGTTCTTTCAACCTACTAATCATAAATAATTCAACTGTTATAAATTATCAGAATTTTCTTTCTTTCTTTTAATTAAAAGCAAACTTCTTTTGTGTACACAGGACAGAATATAACACAGCTTAGCAGAATGCATATTACCCCACGCAGGGGAACGAATTTCAAAGCAACTGTAACTGAAAGCCTTTCTGTACTGTAGACCTTCTATACTCTGGAAAAGAAGTAAAACCAAAACAAATAAAGACCCCAAAACCATGCAGCAGGTGCATGAGCCCAAGGGGAATGTGATGGCGAGGCCACTGTCCTTTTGCCCTGACAGCACAGGCCACATGTCACAGCTGGGAAGGGTAACTCCAGCTAAGTAAGTCTGTTCGTACTTGCTAAGACAGAACAACTCCATCAAAACAGAACCAAACTGGGGTAAGTGGAGACAGGAACACCAAATCCTATGTTGCATTTACAACAAACCTCCAGCCAGCCGGAAGTAAAATATACATCTATGTATAGGCTGTGCAGGTTAGAAAGCTATAAAATGGTTTGGAAAGAGACCTTGATTAGAGCACAATGTTAATTAAGGTCCAAGCTGTAGGTTTAATACCTTTGTGGGCTAATTAGCTTTCAATAGAGGAAAACCTTTCGTCTCCAATGCTATAAAATGCACTTCTTGTCCCTGTGAACTTCTACATAAATGTGTTGCTGGGCATAAGGGAGAGCAGGTTGAGATTATGGAGTGCTCCATTAACAGAAAACAATTCAAAGCTAGTGTCACCCTGCCAGAGTCAGCACCATCCAGCACAGCCATTCTTAATGTGCTAAGTTTCCTGGGGAGCATCGGTTTCTATCAACAGAGCAGGCAGCAAGGCGCTTCCACTTTCTAATAACTAGTTCTCTATTTTGAGGTTCCTTTTCACATAGCTTTAGCATGGTTGTTTAAAGCTTTTCCAATATTCTA